AAAAGCTATGTACAAATCTAACATTAATTGCATATGAAAGGCGTGAATGTTGACATATAATTTATTCGTCCCTGCTCTGTTTGGCCTAAGCCTTGCTACAATTTGAATATATAGTAAACTTTATCGTGAATATCGACATTGTCTTTAATCATGCCCATTTAATAGTATTTTTTCCAAGATGCTGCTACTGAAAAGCTATGGGGCTAGTGCCCCTCGAAGCATGCATACATTAGATGGGAAGGATATTCTACCCCATGTTAAAAGGGACAGCCCCTCCATCAAACTTTATGACACCTCTGAAAAAAGTTATCAAAGTCTCTAGAATCAAGGCGGAATTTTTGCATCCTTGCTTTTCAACTAAGAGACAAGGTAGGCAAAGTATTTAGATGTGTATATAAACTGTGTATACTTTTCAAGTTTAGGCATCTTCTGTATCAATAAATGATCCAAATCCCCCTATTGATTTTTTTAAATTGAGGAAATTTTTGTCTGAAAACATTTTATCTTGAATATTCTGTACTGATATTTACAAGTATAAACATAAAATATTGCTAATTCTGTTTTGTTTAAGAGGTAATATTGTTCAGAATGTCTGCTTTTCAATTTGGATGTTCTTGACATTGACAATTATTGTTCTTGGTTTTTCAAACACTCTCTATTGATGCTGAGCTGAGCATTTTCTTTTTCAAATAATACATCTTCTGAAAACTCTTACTCACTAAACTTAAACAAGACAACAATAGATGAGATGTTTCTTGTATAGTGTGAATTTGATATGATGATGCCATCATCATTAATAATATTTAAACACTACAACTGTCTTAGGGTTCACATTACTTTGATAGATGGAAAGAATACATTATTTTTGTTTCTTGAAATTTTTTATATGGTTTAAACAATTGACAATCATGAAAAAATTTTCTTATTTGTTTTGTACAATTGTGGGGTCATAATGTTTACTGTATAATACCATGAGATTGTACTTTTTTGCTAAAATAATAATTGAGAAAAAACAATAAAATCAGAGCTGTTTTTCTCAAAATGCATGTATTTATTGTCAGATTTATCAGACATATAAAGATTTTATGTTATATAAACTTTCAATGATTTTCTTATTAATGCTTTCAGGTATTTGGCACCTTTTTTCAGAACTTTATTCAGACCTTTGGGAGATTTTTGGCAAACCTTCTAACCAGTTCAGAGACTACAATGCTAGTTTAATTTTGTGGTTCTTAACTTTCATTAGCAAGACCTATTCAAAAAAACATATCAATAATATTACTTATGGATATGATAAGAATAAATACATATGGATATAAAATGCACAAAATCAACTGTGTTAGCCACATCAGGGGTAGGTAGTACCTAGGCATTTCCCTGTTTGGCAAACAAATAACAGATTTCAATGCAAATAGGGGCATTACAAAGTTCAATTTGGCTACTTAGCCTTTCATTTTATCTTTCAGAAGAGGTAAAGGAAATTGTGGTGGTTTTGAAAAAAATAAAGGGAGTGAAGAGGTTTACAACTGATATTTCATACAAAATCTCAATATAAAAAGATTAGTTACTAATTGGAGTGGATACCATCCTACTGTAGGCATGGGGGCTGCAAATTTTTTATTTGGCACAAGGACCTTTGGAAGCTGTTCTGACTTTCTGGAGACAAGATGTTTCAGTAACAGATGTCTATAAATCGCAATTTCCCCTCAAAATTCAAAGGAACGGGAGGGGTGGTTCTTTGGGTGAGATCAGATACCAGGATTCCGCATAGAAAATTTCCTATTAACGCAATTCTGCAAGGAAATTTTCGTTTTACCGCAATACCGAGCTTTCAAATTGAAAACTACCAAATATATCGTAGTCTGAGTTTAGATTCAGGCAAGTGAATTTCGATTAATTCTATAGCTCAAATTTTATGTAAAACTGTTTTATGCACGATACAAGCATGCATTATATTGCCCCTAAATTGGAAAATTTGGAATATGTACACAACTCTTCTAATCACCATATATGAAGCTCGACCCTTTTTTATCAAACTATCTAGCATTAGCATGTATTAATGGCGAATTGTATCTTGCAATTGCCCAATCAGAGACTCCTTACTGAAAGGTTTTATGTAAAGTTACAACTAGAATATCAACGACAAAGTTGGGTAGCAAAGGAGGGGACATAGAAACGTCTTTGGCAAAGAATTACATTCTTCCTTCTGATATCAAAGAGTCTGAGTAAAATGGGATTATTTGTCAACGTTAAAGTTGAAAACATTATTTCGCTATTGCTTACAAAGAATCAACGGAGATAAAGCTGGACACCTTCGCGCCTATAAATAGGCAACTGAAAACTCATCATAATGAAACTTCTTTTCGCTACGAGAAATTCCATACAATGGTGTATTTTGGTACAGGTCAATTCAAATACAAATTGGATGAGATTTGATTTTTTCCAGAACAACAAGACTAATGTTTGTTGATTGTCTTTAAAAGAAATCACAGTAATCATTTAACATAGCCCTCGTCGAATTTTATCAATTTTTCTTCATTTCAGAATTGAAGAAAGATACTCCACTTTTTTCCCTTTAGAAAGAATCGGAGTATTAGCAATAAATCGAAATTTAATCAAAAACGGAATACAAAAATGGAAACACAAAAACAAATTAATATTCAAGTCCAAAGTTTCAATTTCCAAATCTATCAAAACCTTGAAATAGCTTTCCGCCCTTGAATATTCATTTGAAGAGAAAAGTTGTATAAGTCACAGAATGTCGCCTCGTGTCGCAAGTAAATCGAGGAGACATGATTAAGGATATATATTTATCTATTAAAATTTGAGAAATAACTTCTTTTTGTTCATATACATAATAATGAAATGTTTTCATTCGACTCATAAAATGCCTTTTTGTAACTACAGAGACAAAAATTCAGCATCCAATGATTATTCAAATTTCATTAGATTTAATTTTCACATTAGTTCATAGAGAGGCCCATCTATGCTTGGGACTAAATATGCTAGTGCGGCCCTGTTATTAACCAGTGTAAGGAGTTAATACAATAATGCTAATATATAATCATATGGTAATTTACTTTATAGTTGTTCTTGTACTACCCAGGTTAAGACTTTAAAAAAATATCCCACCTTTTCTCCTTTCTTTAACAACAAAGGCCTTGGAGAATGATGGATCAGAAACTTAAATTAATTTGTTCAAAGTATATGACATGATTAAAGTATATGACAAGGGAGTGTTATGGAACTTATGGTTTTCTTATTATAGCAGATGAAACAAGGAACTTTCAGTGGCGCCGCAAGACACTAAGGTGTGGTTGGGACAGAATGAAAAAATTTCCACACCTTTTTGCAGTCAAAAAGCGCCCTTTTAACCCCAGAAAGTAACTATTTTACAAGTAGGATGCGCTCAAGACTAATTTTTTTGGTTACACAGAATCAAGTATAATAATTTCCTAAAATATTATCCCTTCCCAAAATTTTCTCATCGGAATTCGGCGAAATACAAAATCAATTACACCGAGATGTCCCACCCACTCTTTCTCTGTCTCTGCCATTGGGAACTTTGCAATGTATACCCAGGCTAAATTTTTTGTGCACCTTGAATCGCATTATAAGACCATACGTCTGCTTACGGTTGCCAAGACCTAGATAGTGGATAGCATGGTCTCACACGAATATGAAACAATATATTGGTTTTACCTATTGATTTCGTTTGACATAACAAATACAGTGGAATCCCGATATAACGATTTCTGAAGGGAACCAGAAAATAGTTTGTTATATCAGGAGTTCGTTATACCAGGGGTTCATTGTATCGGGATTCCACTGTATGCTATGTTCATGTGTCAATAGTCCTACCTCTTCAGCTGTAATTTCCTCTCTTTATAGGATCTAAATAAAGTTTTCTACGTTTCCCTTAAATTTTTGCCATACAGTTATGAATAAATGTTACTTTGAAGAAAGTCAATTACAACTTTGAAGAAAGTCAATCATATTTTATTGATCCTATCAATAAGACATTTTGATGAATAATTAAACCAGAGCGATATTTCAAATATTGACCTCTTCCGTAGATGTTTTGGATAGGGCAATCAGTTTTTAGGTAAATGTCCCCCTATTGTTTTATAGTGTTCTATAGAGGGGACACTTTTGCATAGTGTCGTTTTGCTATGCGTTTCGGTCCCCCCGGACACTTTTGCATAACAAAACTGTTTTGCACTTTCGCGTACAGTTTTGTTATGCAAAAGTGTCCCTCTATTGTTTTATAGAGGGGACACTTTTGCATGGTGTCGTTTTGCTATGCGTTTCGGTCCCCCCGGACACTTTCGCATACAGTTTTGTTATGCAAAAGTGTCCCCAAATTGTTTTATAGAGGGGACACTTTTGCATAGTGTCGTTTTGCTATGCATTTCGGTCCCCCCGGACACTTTCGCATACAGTTTTGTTATGCAAAAGTGTCCCCCTATTGTTTTATAGAGGGGACACTTTTGCATAGTGTCGTTTTGCTATGCATTTCGGTCCCCCCGGACACTTTCGCATGGGGGGACCGAAACGCATATTACACCGGCATCTTGATAGCTAATAGAACGATATCCTGCTTGTGTTTTGAGTGGGACGAAGAAGGGGTGGGTGTGAGGTCAAGATGGAGTGGAATGCAATAAGCAAATTGTCAGCTCGTCACTGACAATCAGTATTTTTCCCTTTCCAGCTGCATATTTTTAACTTCCAAAACTAAGTAATAAATATGAACTGAAATATATGCAAAACTTTTGAAGCAGTTATATTAAGATCATTTGCAGTCACATTTTCTTCAAGGGCTTTTCAACAATTTGATAAATTCTGTTCCTTGCTTCCACTCAAAATAGAAACCATTCTACATTACCCTAGCTAGCAAATTATTAAACATAACAATATTTAATGTCACACTAACTTCTTTTCCAACAATCCCACAAGTTCTTTTATTCACCTAGATTTTCTGCTTTCAAGATAAAATAGACTTATTTCATCACATGTAATTATCTCTGCTTGTATTACTGACAGTTTAAGGTCAATTAAAGAACACGACAAAGGCAAATAAACAATTTTCATTTCTAATTTACTAACATAGAAGACAATTCATTTTACTCTTTGATACAGATTCAATTAATAAACAGAGAGATTTAGGAAACCTGACTATTTTCCCCCTTATGATATAAGATTAAACACTAAATTCGAGAACGGTGATGAAACTTCCCTCTTCAACAACAACATCATAGTTTCCTAAAACTCGTAGATACACGTCATCACAAAACAAACAAAATTGTAACGCACGTTTGACCTATTCTGAAAAAATTCATTCTATGAACATAAAAAAATTAAAAATCAAGATTCATGCCTAAGAATCTCACAATCAATGTATTAAATTACAAAACATCACAGTTGAAGGATGGTGAAATATGGTCACATCTAAGGCCCCGTTCACACGGGAAGGCTTTAAACTATACCTTTCCGTTCCGAAATTTAAAACGCTCTCGAAAGTGAGAAGAAAAATGGAACGGTACGCTATCGTTCCGTTCCGTTCCGTTCCGTTCCGTTCCGTTCCGTTCCGTTCCGTTCCGTTCCGTTCCGTTCCGTTCCGTTCCGTTCCGTTCCGTTCCGTTCCGTTCCGTTCCGTTCCGTTTCGTTCCGTTCCGTTCCGTTCCGTTCCGTTCCGTTCCGTTCCGTTCCGTTCCGTTCCGTTCCGTTCCGTTCCGTTTCGTTCCGTTTCGTTTCGTTTCGTTTCGTTCCGTTCCGTTCCGTTCCGTTCCGTTCCGTTCCGTTCCGTTCCGTTCCGTTCCGTTCCGTTCCGTTCCGTTCCGTTCCGTTCCGTTCCGTTCCGTTCCGTTCCGTTCCCGTGTGAACAGGTGAACTAAATGCCTGCATTGTTCATATGGAACTACACACCATGCGCATTGGCAAACTCTTTCTTCAACTCTTAAGACGAAACGATCACGTTCCCGTGTGAACAGAAGAAAAAATTGGAAAATGATCGTTCCGTTTCGTGTAAACAGCTAATTTTGTTGTTGCGTAAATTGAAACCCTATTGGAACGGTATGCAATCGTTCCCGTATGAACAGGGTCTCAACTAGTCTTTTTCAGGGCAAGATAAACCAAAATTAGGCTTGATGCTGCAGCACAAAAAGACCTGTTATTGGGCATATTCAGTTTCAGGAAAATTCCCCGTCTGCTTTCATCTGGGATAAATTCAGGAAAGGCCTAACTCTGCTGCACCATGAGCACCCACTTTAGACTGGCCTTGGTCTTTATGTAACAAACCGACGGCAATCTGAGAAGCATCCAAAATACAAAATTTGAAATCCATTTTACTTATAACGTTAAGACTTTTATCTTAAACTAAGATTCTAGTCAGCAGACACAAGGGGTAATTTTCTCTAAAATAAAGTTCGCTACAGCTTTGACCTTGCATTGGGGTTGTGAAAACCCCTATAATTTCTGATGTAGAACGCTTAACGCAGCATTTGGAGAAGGACATGGGTGCTAGCACAAATCACTACGGTAACCACATAAACATCTTTAGAGATTAACACTGGATGACTTACAGGTAATGCGATTGCCACGGGCTCCAATCGAGTCCTCATGAATTCGAACATTAAAGAAATACACTATTAAATAGGCGAATCATTCTCAATATACATTAGTTACACCAACTTACATCGGTCCAAGTGTAAGGAAATCGAAGCATATCTCGCATACCCGCACTGGCTTCGTGAGTTCATACTTCAATATTGGCATCTGCTTGTTACAGCATTTGGCGCAAAGCAATCGTCCGCAATGTCGGCTGTGAATGCAATTGAAAGTTTTTTATAAATCTGATCTAATTCACTCGGTATGCTAGTGTTATGAATACAGGACAAAATCTAAAAGTCTAATGCTATTATAGTATTTAGCCTCGTTAAATTTTGCTTCCAAATTAGAAGGTAAAAGCAGCAAGGTATTGCATACGCTTTCTATATACGTTTTTGTTGCTCCTTCAAGTCATCTTCGTTATTTTCCACTATTTTTCGCGACGGACACAATTTTCTAATTGGCTCATACGAATATCTGCACTAAAAACGACAAATTTCATGACACAATGTAAAAACATAGAGGCGTGATCGTCTTTGCCCGCATTCTCAACTACTTTTCGATTATTAAAAAAGTGATCCAATATACTTTTATGAAAACTTTAAGGTCCAAATACGATTAAGTCAATTCTAGGTCACACACGAAGGCTGGTAGTTCTTTGTGACAGAAAGAAAACATGAAAACTGAATCATCTTGTTTTAATTGTTTTAAATACGATGATGGAAGGACGTGACACGACCGCGAAATGAAATGTTTAGGACTAATCTTCATAATTCGTCTTACTTTCGACCAGCATACTGGATTGAGTGTCTTTTATTAGATTCAATAACATTATAAGCTTACGGGGATTGCGACGTTTCCTTTCATGCAACTGGTATGGTGCACGAATTTAAAACACAACAAGCTTGCAGAAAAAGAAGATACAACCCTCTAGTTATCCTTCATGAATTCCTTTCCTGCCTGGAGTACAAAGATCATGTAGCGACAGAAATCATTTACATTTAGGAACACTTTGATTAGTCTAAGTACTGAGCTCTACTACCTTAAAATAGAGTCCTGCGCAAACCAGCCGAATCAAATTTGCCAGACACAATACACAAAGCAGACTTAAAGCCATTTGAAATCAATCAAGAACCGCAAATCTTAAAAAAGAACTTCGATTATTCGATTAAAAAAGAAGCTAGGCAGAATCCCAGGTCAAAAGTTCCAAAAGAACTTCAAAAATCCGACAGTAATCTTTGGAGTCTATATATGGATACTCAAACTATAAAGAGCCTGTAGATAATACGTAAAGAAACCAGATACGAATTTTTTTGTCTGTTACAAAAGTTTGAACCATTTATTAGAACTGGAAATTATCGGCTCGGCGAAGCAGCTGAGAAATAGCTACTTTGCTTGCATTTGCATCTGAGAGAAAAAAATCTTTGCATGCAACTATGCTAGTGGTGTTTGTGAGACTGCATAAATTTTCAGCCAAAGCTACCAAAAAACTCGTTTTCTAGCAATGAGGAAACGTTGCAGGAGAGGACGAAGGTTTCGGCGCGAGAATTCTTTTAAGTTTAAAGGAGTGCATACCGTCATCTTATTTCGAAGTCTATGCTGAAAACTAGGTTAGATATTGATACTTCATTGGCGTATCTTGGGCGGTGTATTCGGAGTCAGCAAAAAGCAGTTTATTCGAATGGATAATACAAAGAAGTGCAAAAAGTGTTTTTTCCTCTACCCTTTCGCTCTAATCTGGCAAATATTTCAACATTTATGATTGCAGAAATTTGTTCCGTTTGAATGAGTCTTTTACTAGTTAATCTGTTCTTTCCAATACTAAAGGGAAAATTAAAGGCAATCGATAGATATGGCTAAAAACATCTGGCTGTCTTTTTTAGCCAATGAATAAGCACGAGAGTGGTACAACGCTCACTGATTGGCCAATGCTGATTGACAGGTGTCTGGAGCCACTAAAGTACCTGCCGATTGCCTTTAATGACGCTTGTCCTAGTACATCCTTTCTCCTACGAGTTCGATCTTACTTCTTCCATCCATGGTCTTTCAACAATCACCACCCCCCCCCCACAAACAAACATTTCCAGTCTTGGCCGTCCTCACAAATTTTTTCTTTAGCTGACCGTATTCTAATTCTTTCAAAAAAGCGCAACGGCTTTTAGCAAATAGCTTTGGCGCATTTGCATTTGCAAGCGGTTTTGAAAGGGCACAAGTAGTGTTAGGATTAAGATTACAAAACTGTTCTTAGAAAAAAACATGACATAATATGGCCGTATTTCCCTCGAATAACAGTGGAACGCGAGCATTCTGTCTACAAAATTCGCTTTATACAAAGAGCCGCACAACAGGATAGAATCAACCGACACCACCAGAAAATGTTTTTCAAACACCTCCTTGCATTACGTGTTTTCTTACGAGCAGGGTTTGCAAATAACGATCTAGCAAAAGTATTTAAACGAAAAATCAATTCAAGGATCCATCCAAGGGTTAACAGACGGAGTTACTTTCATCGAGAAGTGACGTCACAGGGATATTATCAGGTTTACAAACTATATTGGCAATCCTTCCAAATATTCTTCTGAAAAACGCTCACTGTATAAATTAATCTGTAGCTGCAAAATATCATTATCCCTTTCTTCCCCTGTCAGGTGTCTACAAGCCCGACATTGACATAAAAAGTGACTGAAACTCTTGTACGAGAAATGGACTTCATCTCTTTGTTACCAGTCACTGGAAAACGGTATAAGGAGTTCAGGGTGATCAAATACCAAATGTGTCTTCACCAAAGAACATTCAAGAAAGTCATTTAAACTAAGCATCTAAAGAGATAAACATTTGTATAATTAAGTCAAATCTTACAAGGATATGGTAACGCGAAGATTGATATAATTTCAAATAAAGTTATAATCTTTAAATAACCTGTACATTTCTTGAAGACCAATAAGAGAAACCAGCTTTTTAATATCATGTGCTAGTTTTTGCTCCCCAGGAAAGAATTTTTTTTCAAGATTTTTGGTGCTTTGCGTGACTTTTGTATAGTGATCGATCACCCTGTCAGTGATAACAAGTTGAACAGGAAAGGCAATAGAGGAGATCATTGCCGTACCCCATAGTTAGCCCTCCTTACACGCTTAAAGGTCCACTTACTTTAACATATACAAAACATTAGTTTCATTGGTGAAAAGAAATCTCTATCGTCTATAGAGCTTTTTGTGCCAAAACAAGTGATTTTCCTGACACAGGCTCCGTTTAATCAAAGCATAATTGGGCGGAATGCTTTTTACGTGGGCTCTTTTCGTCTAGAGTGCTTGGAAAAACTTCAAATCGTTTACATAAAACTGTTTATTTCTGATGCATTTTCTAAACATGTTGAAAATTCTACCCTTCACCATAGGGAGCAATATTTATTAACTTGTATACACGGTTGAGTATTAGCTTTCATCCGTAAACTTTTACTGGCTTTTGTTTTTACATGACTGTTTCTTAAGATGAACAAAACAAGAAAAAAAGAAAAACACACAGATAATTGAAACGAAGCAATGACACTCACCAGTGATGTTTCCGCGTTGTGACGTTGAACTTCACTCCACATTCATGGCAGTTAGGTCCATCAAGCCACGCCGGTTCCGCATTCAGAAGGTCTGAATGATAAAAAATAAGCAATACTGATTGGTTTTGCTCCAAAAAACATTGTTATTTTGTTAAAATGGAATGCTTTCAACACGTGCACATCATGTATCAGTAATTCTTTTTTATCAAGCATTCTTTATCTTCAAGCACAGAAAAACATTCTTTATCATTAAGGAACAATCCCCAGCGAGGAGCAATGTATTGTAATGTATTTGAAGTCAGTAAATTGAATGTCTTTAAGAGAAATTATATATAAAAACTGGTAATGTTTCGTGGTGTCATTTTGAAATCTGCTGGTTGGAAAAGCAATTATAAGAATTTTACACAAAAAGAATAACCTAGATACAGAACAATTCTGGTCTTCGACGTACATAAAAAATAACATTTGAAGATGGTATGAAATTTCGGAAACATAGGATATTAATAACAGCAGAGCCGTTTGAAATTAAAAAAACCGTACCCAGAAGCCTAAAAAGCAATTTTTTCGTTGCAACTGGAGCATTGAAGAGAGAAACTCCTTGCTTGTTTATAGTTCCTAACTTGGCACCAGATCTCAACAGGGCGCAGCAGAGGCCAACAGCACCGCTTGTATATGCCAGGAAAAGAGCTAAAACGTCAAACAGGTGAAAGCAGGTCAAAGGGTTAAAACAGGTCAAAAGGTCAAAGCAGTCAAAGTTAACATATCGTAAGGAAACATAGGGAAGGACAGCAAAGGAAAATCTCTCTTCTGGGTCTTTCTTTATATGAAACTTCCAAGATACAAGGCTGGATTTTAGCACTAGGGAAGTTACCTTTTCCTATGCTTCTAGCTTTTGGGTCATTCCATATCAAAGGAGGACAGGCATGTCACCCAAAGCTCATTTTTGTTAGAGAAGTGGATAATCGTGAGATAAACACACATGCAAAATTTTACGTCAAAATCTTCTGTCATTCTAAAAATAGAGCAATTTGAATTTTTGCTGATGTTCAGCATTTTTTCGAATGTCTGTCATTTGGAATTTAAGCCTGATGTTAAATATACTAGATAAATGCCTCTATTTACGATCTTAATTCAAAACTCGTGTTATTTGATTAATTTATGTATTAGGAATCCCAAAACAGTTATAGGAAATCTGTCAAACATACCCACAGCCTTTAATTAACTAATTGACGAAGAGTGGTTGTTGTCATAGCAACAAGTTGTCATATGTCAAGCAAATTTCTTTCATGTTGCACACCTGTCTTGAATTTCAAATTTTCTACGCATTGAGCTTTAGCCATAAAGAACTGTTTTACAAAGAATGTTTTACAAAGTTATTCCCTCTACATAGCTACAACTCTCCTTTTCAATGTGAATAACTTAACTGTTGTCGCTTTGCATTTTGATAAATATTGATATCATTGCTTGTAATGTTTCTATTGATAAAGTCTATAAACTGACTCAAGAGCACCGATGGTGACGAAACCCAGTACATACCAGTTCATGAAATACAATAAAAACATTCACGTACCAGAATTATCCTCGGCATCCAAAGCGTTTATGTTCATATCCGGTCGGTTCTGCCGGAAGAGTTCGAATATAGCAGCCGCGTTGTCTTTGTTGTATATAGCTAAACAGTGTAGCGAGTTCTGCCCTCTGGAAACAGAGCAACGGAAATTTGATTCATCTGTACAGCATTATGATAATTTTTTTGGATACCATTAAAGGCAGTTAAAAGAAATAGCGCTCCCCAAAAGAAATGGTTTTTCGGAAAAACGAAGTTTCGGACCAAATGTGCCAAAATAGGGAGAGGGGTGGCAGGGAGGGGAGGGGGCTCAATTGTTTGGTCATACCCGATATTGCGGTAGATTAGCTAGCAATATACACTCCTTGATGACATAATGATAACCCTACGTTACAGTTTAAAGTAATTATTGAACTAACGAATAAGGATATGATACACACGAAGTCATTGGTTGTTTGAATCTTGTCCATACTGACAGTAAATAAGCAAGGCAGAAATTCCAATAAGCGCCCAGGTAAGTACTCGGTTATTTGCAAAACCCTACAATCTACTTGTTAAAGTTGGGTTGCAAAATTCTAATTACCTTCCATTTTGCGCCTCTGCATTGGCATTTGATTCTGTCAAAAGAACTCTGATTGAGTTGAGGTTTCCATTTTGGCATGCCAAGTGCAATGCTGAAATCAAAAAGGCAGTCATTCGTCATTCAATATTGGGAGCGATGCTATCGGTAAAAGGACCTCAGTTTTCAGAAGGAACTCCTGTTGTTATGAAACAGGCTCCGTGTTTCAATACGGTGATTGGATAGTCCATCTTTAGTCTTAAAGAAAGTACCTTTTCGTTAAAACCCTTGAAGTGGACATCACCAGACTTTTTAAAGATAACTATTGTAAAACAAAGTTGAATGACAACTTTGCCGGTAAGAAGGTAGTTGAAACAAAACAAATAAAATAATTAAAATTTTTAATTTTATCACTTTGGTTTCAAAAAATTCCACGAACACAGGAACATGTAAAAGCATACTCCCACTACATTCATTTTTATGTACGAAGAATGAGTACATGAAGGGGGGATTTTGCTCAGCTCGATGGGCATCCATATATATATATATATATATATATATATATGTAGAATTGTTGCCAATTGTGTAACAATGGATCGGCATTTTGATGAGTTCAACAATGGAAACATAGAAGCCGAATTCAAAGGCGGGAGACAATCGAAACAATGCAGGCATAGAATGCCAAAATCAAAGGATTTTCCCAATTTTCCCAAACGAACAATCGAGAATCGTGAGTTTCCCGATTAAGTGGGCAATTGAGGTTCGCTAATCGACACTTAGGTCTATAATCGTGCTATTAAATTGGGTTCGGCTGCTAGCCTGAGATCCCCTTTGTGGTCATCCTCTTAGATTCGACCAATCACCTTTAGTTTTGCTCGTGACGTTGTGCAGTTAAAATTGGTTCTGCACGTGCATGTTGAACGGTAGCCAGAATAGATCAGAAACTTCTCGTAATCGAAAATGGTGCTTTCATCCTGTCAAGCGTCAACGTAATTAGACGTATAATTTGCAATTTGCTATGTAGGATACAAAAGAAAGTGCGGCAATATGCGATTTCACGAGTTTCTGCAAGAATTAACTTTCATGCATGAGTCGTGGAAAATATATTGTAAGTGTATCAAATCTGTTTAGTTTTTCGCAAGTTTTGCAAAGTCGGTGAAAGTTATTCGAAGATTTCCAGGCTTTGCGAAATTGTCACAAAATGCTTGCAGGCACTTTTCAATTTTCTCTGGGGTTGATCCAAAATTCATTCGAATTTTTTCAGACCCCATATTTTTTTTAAAGAAAGGGTCAATATGTTGGATAAGATAGTTTGGTGCAGGAATAACGTAAAAAAAATAGAAATTTGGATCGTGTGAGGTCAGACCAACAGTTACGGGAATAATCAATTAATAATCTTGGGATCTGTGACTACATTTCTTCATCAAATAGTTGAATTGCCGAGTTGAAGAAATCTTTGCACTCGCAACTAGGAAGTTTACGAAATTAAAAGTTTGGCTGCTCACAATTACGTACGAAAGATTCCCCTTCGTAATCAAGTAATTGCACTGCCGCGAGATCATTATGCTGGAACCGTTTTGTCAGCGCGGGTCATTAGAGATCGTTAGGCACGCATCGATTTCTCCTTCCTGCAAAGGTTGATAGTGGAATTCAAAGATCTGGGTTTTGTAAACTTACTGTGTCATAGCATTCCCCGCTGTTTATCAAGAAAGTGTAAATCTGCGAAACGCATTTTAATAAAGCAACCAAATAAGAATAATTATTCGTGTTATGTTATCAAGCAAAAAAAGTCCTTCGTCAAATAAAAGAAACAGATTCCCAGTTAGGTTCCACTCACAGAGCCCCAATAAATGAGTTCTGTAATCTTGGCAAGTCATAGCTCGTGCCACCGTTTTTTAGGTATTTTAAATCTGTGAATCGCAATCTCATAGAGCATGAAGGTTCTTAGTTGTCTGGGAAACAGACTGGAAGCGCATCTAGAAAAGTTCAGACTTTCAATACATTTGGAATCTTCGTTGTCGTCATCATTGTCATCGTCGTCATCATAATCATCATCATCATCAATCATCATCATAATCATAATCATCAATCATCATCAATCACCATCATCATCATCATCATCATCATCAGTTTTGTCCACATCGCCAATTCATAATATCGAAGTACCATTCCTCCACATTCTTCGTACATTGCAAAAGCCGTGCTATTTTTTAAAAGAAACATAGGTCGATGTTGAGTACTCCAGATTGCTAATGGTTTTGGAAATTTCAATTCTCGTAGTTTCTTATTTTTCAGATAAGATATCATTAATTTTAACATCGGGTTCGAATATTTAATTTTTTACGTTTGGAAAGTTTATTGTGAAGGGTTTTCATAGCTGCAAGCAGTGAGAGTCGTAATTCGTCAATGTTTTATTGTTTTCAAATGCTTTTGACATTCCCGTCAATCGATTCGCTTCCATTCTAATGCTGTACTTAGATGAGAGGAGTGTGTTTTTATTCTCTGTCTTAACTTGTCTGTCATCAAGCCAATCATGTTGATGGATTTTTAAAAAATCACTGAGCTCTGAATTTTGTCAAAATTCAATAGCTTCCTAATTTCTTTTTGCTCTGAGTACTGTTTCTTAATTTTCTCCGATCGCCCAGTACTCATTTCTTATAGCCAGCTTCTTATAGAAAAATGAATGTACTCAAGCTGGGTTTTCTTAGACAACCAAGGAAAATTCAAGTGGTGTAGGCAAGGCTTCGAATTTTTGTGTATAAACTTTTTAAAATGACTGGATGATCAAATAAATTATTCATGGTGCTAATGTTACGAGTCAAGCCGATCTGCAAGCCTTTGAGCAAATGTCAAACGAATGACCCAAAGTTGCACGTGTTCTGTGACCCTTCTTCCGCATTTAAATTGCAAAACAGTCGCTGCACACAACGTTGAAAATTAATCAAAGAAGAAAATCATCTAAGAACTTCAACACCAGGATCAAGTGGAAAACAGCTTTATAGAGGCGTTCTTACCATTATTCTGAGAGCTATCCAGCAAATTCGGATCGGCTCCTCCTTGTAGTAAGACACTTATCAGTGTCGCTTTATCTTCAATCGCGGCAACGTGGATAGGCGTTCTTCGACTCTTATCCGTTGCATTTATGTTTGCACCTGCCCAGATCTAAACAATATGTATAAATACTGCAAGATTACGCATAACAGCGGAAACGATTAAAGCAAATACAGTGGCCGCTGCCTACTGAATTCAGCTGTTAGCCAAGAACTTCGGTTCAAGTCTTTGACCGTAGGAAAGACTTTAGGGCCAAGATATGTGTGTTATGTTGGGAGTTGTCCCTTATTGGAAGGTGTCCGTTGGGGTGTCCGTTATTGGTACGTGTTCGTTATTTGGAGGTGTCCGCTATTATGAGGTGTCCATAATTTGGAATTTTCTGTTTTTTATAGGTGTCCATTATTGAGAGTCATCCATTACTGTGAAGTGTACGTTATTGGGAGGTGTCCTTTCTTGGGAGCGGCCCGTTTTTGTAGGTGTAAGTTACTTGGAGTGTCCGTTATTGGTAAGTGTCCGTTCTTGGTAAGTGTACATTATTAGAAAGGGCCTGGTGGCTTCAATGTCCGCAAATACATTTTATAATCACTGGAGCATAAACGCTGGATCTCTCTTGTAGATCACTGGACTAGCATTTCGAAAAATTCCAAAAGATTCCAAAAAAATGTACACTAGAAAGGTAGCTATTGCGATATCTTGGAAAGCTTTTTCCATCTTTTTCAGCTACAGACCACATGACTTTCTACACCAACATTCTCGACATTATCGACAAAGCCCAAGTTAAAAAATGCACTTAATCAACGCCGCTTTTCAAAAAGAAGCTTCATTCAAATTGTTTAACCGAAAAAAGATTACAAACTGCAGCGTGACCAATTAAAGTGGGATGAAAAATCCACAACATTTCTTGTAAAACCTATTTCTATTAATCAATGCTTACACATCTACCTAGCTTTTGGAAATTCTCATAGCAACACAATAAATTCCTTTGAAAACAATATGGCATCACCAAACAACATCAATCTAGCATCGTTCATCAATGGGACTCAAATACTTGCAGCCTAAGAGCTATGGAAAACATTATCACTGGTGTGTAACTACATATATTCCGTTGTTTAGTCTTGACTTTTGTATCACTGGTGTGTAACTTCATATATTCCGTTGTTTAGTCTTGACTTTTGTATATATCGTGTACTGCTACTCTGTTGTTTGCAAGAAAAGTTGAATCCTGCGAAGTCAGACCTTCAAGGGGGTAAGGAAATGATCTGTCTCAGCAAATGTCTAACTCATCCGGGGTATGAGTTTGAGTTGAATATGGTAGGAAAATCCAATCGTAATTGAAAATCAGTCCAACTTATTGAAGCCCGAGTTATCAATGGTACGACATAACCGGATTCAACTGCAGTTCCTTTAGCATAGCATTCAGCTCACAAATAAACAAACGGTATGTCTATTTTGCGAACCTCCAGCCCCGCTCCTCCCCTATCACCCGAACAATTCCCTACAATAATGCACAGTTAGAAAAGCAAATATGCTTTGCATAAATTCTGCGATAGCCTTACCAAATGCCTAACGATGACCTCACTACCACTCGGAATAGCAAGATGAAGTGGTGTCCGTAACGAGCCATCTTGGATCGGAGAGCCAACATCCACTTCAATACTAATTAGGAACAAAACTCCATCGACATCAGAATTGAGTATTGCCGTGTGGAGGTAGTTGCGGCCTCTACTGTCGAACTAAAATAAGAATTGAAAACCATACCCAGCCAAAAGCACTTAAACAATATATTAATGGCGTAACGTAAAACAATATATAGGGGTTGAGTATGCGCAATAGGCAACGTCACAACAGAACACACACCTGTAAATAAACTTTTGTTATTTAGAATTACATTTACATTTACATGTGTTTTTTAAAATTGTGCGGATCATCTTCTAGCAACTGGTACAACCCCCTGCTGCAAATCCTTGGATTTCATCCTACCAAACGCATTTTGAGACATTTAAACAAGAAAAAGCCGTTGTTTATTTGAAACAGAATAATTTTCTTTGCAGATTTACCTTACGTGGCAATGTATATCGCCCACGCGTGGGTATGCGATTGGACCACAATGAACCTCTGGGAAATGGTACCAATTATTATCGTTGCTGGAAGGGGGGATACCATTGAATATTTGGAAAAATCTTGTGCAGCATACTAAGACTTTTGGAAGGCAGAACATCTATATAGTTACAAATCGAGGAACCTCGACTTCATTAATAAAATAAAACGAGTGAACAACGTGGAACATGGTAAATATTAGCAACAACAGATTACCTGTTCAGCTGATGATGGCTCGCGTGACAGTATCGCTGCAGCGGCTTCGTTATCCTTTGCGTTCATCGCAACAGCAAACGCAGTTTGGCCGGTCCTGTCCTTCAAAGTGAGATCGAGTTCTGGATGGCTCAATAGCAGCCTAGTTACGATCGGGTTATGGCTGGTTATTGCAATGTGCAAAGGCGTGCGTTGTTCCGAATCCTTTAAAAGCAGAACGGTTTCATAATCAGGGCAATCAAATTAGAAAAAAACCAGGAAAAAGTTTAAGGAAAATGCTTGCTAGACACAATATTTCTAGCTGACGAGGAGAAAAACCTCTATATCTAGATTGAATTGCTTTTGAAAAATTGAAGTTAAAAGGAATCATCGTTAAATCAAGTTTTGTTTAGAATGACCTGCTACAGGCAAAGATCTGTATTCCTTGACTGTCTCTTGTGCACCTGTTAACATCAGTGTTTGGTACTGATGATAACAACGAGTTGTAGTAAAATAAAGAATTAGGCAAGGAGTTGGACATTAACATGGGTGCCGCCGTGGAGATATTATTCACGGTCAAGACATCAAAGATGGAAAACATGTTAGGGGTAATAAGAAGTGGGGGGTATTTGCTATCTCGCATCATGACTCTGCAGATTCTTCGAACTCTAGTGAGGGTGGCAGGAGGAGGAGGTTATCATCCATTTGTTTATCCCATATTATCAAGCTCTTCATCATGAATGAAAGATAAATAGCTTCTGAGAACACAGGAACTTTACAAATCTCGTAAACAAAAGCTATACAGTGCCATCTTTTTCTAAGAAATTGAAAGGTTGGCTGGGAAAATTACTGAACGGGCACGGTTCATTTTTAGTGGCTTCGTGTTCTGCACGTTGGAATAAATGATAAAAAAAGACACAAGTCCATTGATAATTTTTTTGCAATTTTCTTGCTATAGGCTGTAGCAGAAAACAATCTTAACGGCTACAGCTAACAATGGTTGTGGCTTATGAAAAGCAGGCCAATTTTAATTTAGAAAACACATGCTGCGAAAGAATACCATAGACCCAAACAAATTGGAGGAAACGATCTTTCTGCCCTCCACGAGATACAAATTCTTAGCGTTGCATGTTGATTCTGTACAAATGTTGAAACAAGCACGACAAATCGACTTAAAAAGATGAAAACAAATTTTAATTCTGTTGCAAGCTTGAGCATACCGAAAACAACAATATCCAGTGTGGGTTATCCTGTTAAGTAGACCATATTAAGACCGAAACTTGAAAAGAAACTTCTCAAGTTTTCTTTAGTCAAGTCGAAAGTACGGGTTTCAGAGGCCTTTTCCGGGTTTGTATTTCGGAACATTATATATCACCAACGGCCGAGAAAAAAGCTGTACCGAATAAACTTCAAACCTCATGCATTTCATTTCATACAATACAAAAACTGAGTATCCCGGCCCAGTTTTTCATGTTTTTAAAAGAAATGATCCCAAATCATTTGAAATGAGATCTGGAAATATGAACAAAGAAAACGAGAGATACCTGGATTAATTTTGGTGATAAAATTGAGCGTTGGGGCAGCTGCTAGTTCACAGCAATATTCCTGATGGAGGAGCGGATACCCCGTTGACTAGGTCAGAAAACAAGCCTGGATGCTCGTCAACTGCGTTACAGTGGTGAAAATGCAATGAGGATTGATACTTTCTGTGCACATAAAGCTGTGTAATCGAGCTTGAAAATGACCACATGGAAATCTCGCACTGTTGTAATGTATTATTAAAATAGAAGAAGGACAGAATAGTTGTCTAAATCAATAGGGTGTAGAGATAAATCCTCTACAAAGACAAAGCTACGGGACTTTCCAGCAAAGAAAAATGAAAAACAACAGCAGCTTTGGTTCGATTTAATTTTATTCCATGCGATGCAAAATATTTGAGCCTCAATCTCTGTTTGATCATTACGGTAGAAAAAACGTATTACCAACTATTCGATAGTTTTCAGTCTTTACCTTAGTGCTAAGCAAACAAAAAGATGTCTTTTCAGATATTGTTTTAACACTCTCCGATATTGTTTTAACAGAAAACATTAAGTGTTGTTTAAAATGCTTCGTTTATACCAACAACATTACTCCTCAAGAGACTTGATGGACTTTCTCCATCCAGAGACTTTTACTGTCACCCAGCAATCGAAGAAAAAAAATTACTTTTGGAGAGAGGTCATTTTAAAGCAGTTATGTTCTAAAACCACATAAATTGGGTTCAAGAATTTGGTTAGCCATTCAGTTGTAAATGAAATGAAAACTGCAAAATCAATTTGAACTCGTATATAACTGTCCCTACAGGCTGCAAGGGGGCATGATTTGCAAATTAGATAGTGCGGAGATAGTAATGGGGAGGGGTGACTGCAGAGGGAATTTTGGTAAAACCAAATTTTTTACTTTGTTCATATAAAACCTACTGTCTACAACACAAAAATTTGTGTTCCAACTGTATTGGCTTCTACGAGTACAGAAGACCTGATGTTGATTCAGCCGATAGCCTTACTTCATCCTGTTTTGCAAACTATCAAAGCTTACAAGTGAAATGAGCATAGAAAATAAACTCATTTTTCATTTTTCAAGAACATCTTCCCGTGTAAATTGTCATTCGTATCGCCATTTCTATCCCGGTTCAGACATAAACTTCCTATCGAGTTAGTTTCCGTTCGTGTAGCCAACTGTAGCCAACACGATCAAACAAACTTTTATCAAGCTACCTGCTGCTCGAGATCAAAATCAGAGCAACCCAAACCAACCTGGCTGCAAGCAAAACATGGAAACAAAATTGTTGTATTTACCTGTGCATTGATTTTTACACTATTCTCTACCAGGCACTGGACAACTTCGTCTTGACCAGCAGCACATGCTAGATGCAAAGGAGTTAATCCGTCATAAGCTTCGACACCACCATAACCACCAGGACCTGGTTTTCTGGCACTGAAATCGAATTGAAAGCGACGAGGATAATCAACCTGCCGTGGAAGCCGTGTGGTAGGTTTAACTCTGCTTAACACGAATTAAAGCTTTTGCGAAACCGATTTTTCACCTGGCAACACTTTCTGCTAAACATGACAATCGCAAAATGCATAATGAGATCTGTTACTTGTAACAACCAAGGTGAATGAGACAAAGTGAGCTATTAAGCAGTTGGAAGTTTTGTTCAAACAAGATATTATGTGAAACATAAACAGTTGGTGGGAGAATTGAGCTACACAGTGCCCCTTTGAACAGTTGTTTCCGCTATGTTAAATCTCGTCGATCAGTCTTAACTGAAATTATGTTTCCAACAAAAATCCTGTTTCATAGCATTTGGCTGAGACGTGCAACAATAAAACCGTTAGCATTAAATCGCCTTCCACTATACACATAAAATTATTTTATATGATAACAAGATTAAAAAGATTTTAATCAGCTGGGTATGTTTAAAATCCAATAAAAACTTTATTGACCTGTTGATTTCACAGCCATTTCTGATCAAGAAGCAAGCGGCCTCGCCATCAAGCTCGTAAATCGCTCGATGTAACAAGGACCAAGTGCAATTGTTGATTCCAAGGTTCCAAGCGGTAGTGTCACAGCCATTTTTGACCTTGAGTGGAGGAGGAAACATAGATCATAAAGATTATGAAATGGTATGGTGCAAACATGGAACGTCTACATCCATACACAAAAAGCAACGTCAAGGCAGTACTGATGCAAAAAATTGCAGCAAAAATTACCCAATTATATCATAGATCCTGGAAGCTGCAAGAACATCCCTATGCAAAAAGGACAGGTCTTTTTAACTAATCACTGTATTTGCTGTTTGCATGCTGTTAAGAGGTTATGTAGTAGGGAAGAGCCAATTCTCTTATAAACAGAGGTTGGTCGACGGCTTAGGAATCTTAATCCAAGTGCCTTATTTCTTTCACCTACAAGCTTTATTTTGACAACAATATGATGAAGTTGATGAAATAATTTATGCTCTAAAGAAGGGTGGATAATTTTTTTCACTATGGGACCGCAGTTAGAATAACAAATATATATGGAGCAAACTAGCAGTACAGACAACATTCATATAGAAATTCAGCCTATTAAGAATTTGACTATTGCTGTTAATAGCTCTTTCCATTGCCTTTAACAGATATTACATTCTGAACCAAGCTTCTGCTACTATATGGTATGTTCATCTTGAATAAAAAGCAACCAAATTGACAATTTTTCCTACTGATTCAGTACATTTATTCTCCAATTATTACTTGATCTTTTGAACTTGATTTTTTCAATGTAATTGCTGCTTTTAAGTTTAATACCCAAAATCTCACATCGATTCAGGATAATTTTACTTTTGTGATTTTATGATTGTGATCATTGCTGACTGGTTTGTCGATTTTATTTCTCTCATACTTTCTTGATTTGAAAGATTCTTTATTTCTGGGGTTTTAGTGTCTAACTGTAAAAATTCGGCTTCTTGATTTTGTCTCTGGGACCTAAAATATTTTCTGAGACCTATGGTTTCGTTGTCCGATACACCCCTGGCTCCACAAGCAATTTGTAATTTACGTCCCTGATTAAAAACAAAACCAATGCATAATAGATTGGACAGTACAATAATAATGAGCAGTCGGCTCTGGTAGAATAACCTAACAAATGTTCCATGAAAGACTATTATCTTACATTTCTGAGATTTTGAAGCACAGACTTAAAACACTTTGTCTTCGAAATCCTGAATTCAAAACCAAATCAAGAATTTTTTAAACTAAATAGAGCTCTTAAGTGTTGAGGTCGCAAAAATCTTCTTTCATAATTTTTTACTTTGCATCCCGTAACCTGAAAGATCACTATGAAATAATTCAAAATTTGCAAAATCAGAAAAATGCGTTATGAATTGGCTGACATATGACCACATGAGCACAGTTTTTCCCCCATCAAACCTCTCTTACTCGGCACATATTTTTATGAACAGAGCCAAAATAACAGTGATTCGTTAGCAAACTTTATATCTTTCTTTGTTCATATCTCACTAGATTTTAGACATATTTAACTAATTTTGAATATTAAGTAGTATTTCCTGGTGTTCTTTTGGGCTATGTGATCAAATTAAAAATTCTAAAACCAGTTTTTTAGAAAATTCTAAAAACGTCACTGTGAAGAACTTTATAGCCATTAGATAAAATGAATTCAAAAAAGGCATATTAAGGTGCAAGTCTCGTTCCTTTTGAGACGTTTGTATCTCAAAAATCGTATGAATTCGATATTTAGCTTTAAAAAGTGATTGCGTGTAGGTACACAATTCTTTCTATTGTTTCTTATAAAAAGGTGTATAGAGAAACATACCAAAGTTGTAGCTATATCCATTTGTCGGCTTTTTAACGCAATCCAGAGAGGCGTGTTGCCATTTTCATCACTGCTGTTCTCGTCAGCACCGCGCTTGCATAAAGAATCGACAACTGGCTCCAGTTGTAATCTGATTGCCATTAGCAGCGGGGACATGTTTTCTTTCGTGCTGGGAAGAATAACAAATTTTCTCTTTTACTTGAAATATTCCAAAAAAATCATCACAAGGATAGACATCTAACAATAAAGCTATGATATCAGCAAAACGTAAAAAAATATTGACTATGGACAATAAAGAAAAATTCCTTCTAGATTTTGATCGTATGATATTGGGAAACATTTATTTAACAGATGTTGGGAAACATTTCTTGTTGGTTTAGATGTATGTATGCAATGCTTATAAGATAGACCTTTTTAAATGGGCAAAGAGATCTATAACACAAGTTCATCCGAAATGCAGTCAAGGTTCTAAACCTTTAGATCTAAAAAACATGAGATATAGCCATAAATCAAAAATAATTTTCGATAAGAAGCTTGTATGTTAAACTTGCAGAAAGAAGTTTTAAGTTTGGGCAAAATAATTGAAGCTGTTTAAGCAAGCAAAACATGAATAATTTCCAAAACCGACCCCCCAGTGTAGTTTTAGGGTGACCGGTAAAACATAACATAACATAACATAACATAACATAACATAACATAACATAACATAACATAACATAACATAACATAACATAACATAACATAACATAACATAACATAACATAAAAACGATTTCCCAAAGATGACATTACAACTTTGGGAAATCGTTGCAAAACAATTGAGCTTGCTTCGTAAATCACTATAGAATTGGAATTTTATTGCGCTTGAAATCCTCAACTCATATCTATGTTAAACAAGAACTCTCTTTTTAAAATGGAACAGAGAAGTAAAAAAAAATTACAGTCTATTGATGTCTGCGCCATTATCGATGAGGAATAAGCTCGAATCGACGTCTTTTCTAGTTATTGCCTTGTGCAACAAAGTCTTTCCATCAACTCCGATGTGATTTATATCAGCCTCGGCATCAAGAAGAGACCTGGCAACCTGGTATTGTTTTTTCCAGAGTGCTATTTCTAGGACTGTCTGACCTTCGCTGTCTTGCAAATTGAAGTCTGGAAATATTGGAATACGACCCATGCCTCCACCGTGAGATGCATTATCTGTAGAACGGAAAAAATAGTCAAAAACAAAGTCAACAGCTAATACTCAAACAATTAGGTATTCAAACATAATCACTTGAGCACTGGAGGTGTAAATGCACATTTTCCCAAAGTTATCGTCGATTGTTCGCGTCGACACTGGTGCCTTAACAGCATTTTCAAACGTCCAGTTTTCAAATCGTTGCGATAAGGATGCACAGCAAATAAGTGTAAGCCTGCAAATCCGATTGGCTGATCTCTCCTAAAGAACATTCATTTTATCTAAATTAACAAAGAATGAATAATGACTGAGAAATGCGGAAAATATTTCCCGATGAAAAAGTAAGGAAAGCACCAAGCAACGTACCTTTGTATTCAACAAAACAGCGGAGCACAGACTCGTTCTTTTCAGTCACAGCAACATGCATCGGCGTTCTATCCCAACATTCGGTTATGACGTCATTATCTAAGTCAGACTCGATTTCCAGGTCGCTTATTGTCATTGCGTCGTAATCAAATTTTTCAATTGCAGTGGGCGATTGCACTGCATTCAGATCGATGCGTCCATCGTATGTTAATATTGTAGGATTAGAGTCTGAGGTCGCGCCTACAAGACAAAACATCATCCACGATTAATGCAACAAAGAATCAGTTGATCTCTACTGCATCTAGAAAGCCACTTACCACCAAAATTCACAAGGGGAGCCAAATTACTATGATGATTTGCAAAGCGTTTGCTACAAATATGATGTTAAAATCCCTATGAAAGATAGCAAGGAACTATGCGAAAAAAGGCTGGAAAACTGCAATCACAAAGATAGCAAATTTTATCCACGTCTTCAGCACATTCAAATCAACGTATAAATTTTGTTAACAACATAAAAAAGTTGTCCTTGAACGGAGACATGGAGAACCGAGATGGGACGGAGAAAGAGATGTCTTTTATCAAAAATAATTTGTTTTGAAAACGTATAGAATTCTTTAAAGTGAACTGCCATATGGATCTTTCATAAGTCTTTTTTATATGCTTGGATCTACCATACATGGTTTAGGCATATGATTTAGATTACGCTTCAGTCAATATTCAGCCACATGTCCATTTCTGTTGCTGTTATAATGGTTTCGTTTGTTGTGAATCACTTAATTTTGGGTTTGGAAAAAGATTTACGTTGCTAACACAAAGTGGTGATTCAGTAGCAAAATTCACTACAGTGGGACCACAAATACGCGAACAGAGACTCTGCTGAGAGGTCACAAAAGAAACGGAAATATCCGCTGTGTGCTGAAAAGCTTCTTGGATACTGCTGCAGTTTATCATCCCATCAGTATTAGATATTGATGAAGATTCTGATTTTGGCTTCAGTAGGCAGGTGGCTGAATGTTTCAATAAACTTTTATTAAGGATACCTAAATTTTTGCTGAGCTTAATGTTCTCATCTTTTTTAATGTTGAGTCTAAGATGATTCTTAAAATATTCTTGAGCCACAACAAGGAATAACTTCGCCTGAAGACCAAATAAACTCAAATCTTTGTTGATGTGTTGCTTGATCGTAAAAACAAAACAAGAATTGAATAGAACAATAAATGTGGAATTCAATGTACTTAGCCTGTTATTATTATCAAATAATTCTTACTTCTTGATAAAAGATATGCGTAAAAAGACCTAAGGAAGAAGTCACTGATGTCTCGGAAAAGGAAACTTTATACTGGGAAAGACCTCAATACCTGTCGTTTTAACATTGTAATCACTATCATTTCTTGTCATTGTACGTCCACTTAGAGCCATGGCAGCCGAGGTGGCGGCTTGAATTTCATTCATGAAATCGTTACCTAAAGATAGGAATAAAACATAAGCATGAACAGACGAAGACTTGAAGTGTACATAATGTGATTACAATAAACTTCTCTATGCCAAGAAATAGGGCGGTCATGTCAAAACACAGTGGCGTTCAGATATCTTTTTCAAGATTTATGCTCCCAAATGAGTTGGCTGCCCTTAAGAGGGGTAAATGATCTTTAAGGGTGAGGGGATAGCTCAGTACATAAGGGCATACTTTAGGGGACTAACCAGTTTTCCATTAAGGGGGCTGACCGATCGTTAAGGGGCAGAAGGATTCTATGGGGGCTAAGGTTAAAGAAAATTTTTCACAATTTTAAGGAGTCTTGAATATTCCTTGAAAACCAAAATTATAACAACATATCAAATTAACAGCCAATGCAAATTTTTTTTATTTTCTCTTAAATTTACTTCGATCATTTTCTAATGAATTGTGATTGTGATTGATGACTGACATGCCATGCCAAAACGCAAGTCTCTAATTTTTCGATTGATACAGAGATATCGAGATCGAGAATACCTTCGGCTGCAAAGGGATTGCCTTCCCCGTAAGCAGAATCCACTGGAGAATTCAGAAACGGATTGTTATCTGCGTAAAGATCTTTCTTCGAAGGTTCTAGCTCGTCTGTCGTGGGGGACCTTAAATCTAAGGATAAGTCTTTTTGCTTAATTTCGGTGTTTTTCTGTTGACTTGAGACAGCGTTTGTGGATTTTTGCTGTTTTTCTTTAAGTTCCTTGATTCTTTTCATTGCCTTCGATTTTTCAAGCGAAACAATTCGAGTTCTTATTTCTTTTAAATTTCTGACTCTCTTTTCACGGCGTTCATTTGCAACATTGCGTAAATAGTCTGTCGCCACTGTCCTTGCGTTCGAATTTGCACCCCTGCAAGTCAATGATATCATTTAGAATCAGATGGCAAAATATTGCAGAGTGGGGGGGGGGGGTTGCTACGTGTATACCCAAGTGCATCTAAGGCAAAAAGAAATCTCTCTTCAGAGGCCTGAAGCACATCCTTGTATTGACCACATATTTAAGCTATGCAAAAGTGAAAAAGTTGAAGTGTACAAAAATTGTACAGTTCTTGTTTTGATCGTGTTTTGCTGAATTTTGACAAACTTCTTTCACCATTATAAGCAACTGCCTTTACTTAAAAGATTTACAAAGAGTTACGTCACTGATCGCACCGTTTGAGCAGTTCCTTGACCAAACTGGCATGTCCTTTCAGTGATGAAGCGTGTAGTGGTGTTTCCCCTTTTTTGTTTGCATGGTTCGGCTGAGCACCCTGTGCCAGCAAAAAGAGACCAGCGGCTTCATTTCCCGAGAACGCTGCGAGATGGAGCAGGGAATCCCCTGAAGAGAAAAAACCAAAAGTTAATAGGCACATATCATAAAGCTGATTGGCATATAAATAAGCTTGGCTACAACTTATAGAAAAGTCAGCAGAACGTTAAGCCTATAAACGGCAATTAAGCCTACAGTGAACCAGGGTTTGCCATCGCTTAAGGTTTCTAAAACGAGATTTTTAAAGGTTTCTCCACGCACTCAGTCACTCTCAAACATCCTTTTTTTCTTCAGGTCAAACATCTCTGTCTGCGATTCCCTTTCCTCCTTTTGGCCGACCCAATAAGGTGCAGTGACACAGGCATGATTCCCCTTTGTAAACAACGCTCTTCTCGAGCGAGTGGCCCACCTTTATCAAACAGAATATCGTAGATCTTAAATTGAATATACGAAGGGATGTGTCTGCTACAGCGTGAAGATCCATGGCATTGGTAGTCCATGGACTTGTCTGTGTAGCTATATCAATATACGAAAAGGGCTAGACTCGAAAACACAGAATCTTCCCGAGTTGATTTACACCTTTCGCAAAAGCATTACAAGGTTCATTCATGCTATGAAACATTGTCATATTTACTAGCTTGAAAATAATAGCAGAAGAGAAATTTTCCGACAGATAAAAGCAGAAAAGAATCAAAACAAGAGAATCTCAACCATGTGAATCTCGGGAACAATTTGCTCAACACTTCTATTCTTTGGCAAAGTAAAGAATCTTGCTATGAAGTAAGCTAGCTAAGAGTCATTCATCTCACCTGAAAGCGGGTTGACAGCATCTGCACTGCTTCCTCGTTTGACAAGCTTGGCAGCGTAACTGGTTTCTGAATCATCATCAAGGTTCACCTTGCTCGAAAGAATCGCAAACCAGAGCACCACATGTCCGTCTTTGTCTCTCCGCTCTAGGTCGAGGCTGAGAATATATTCAAAAAAGTCAGATGAATTGCAAGCATCTAAAGTAACCAAGAGGGTATTTAATAGGCCTTGATGCAAGCGAGGCCATACTAGCAAGGCCATGCAAGTGATCGTAAGATGGAATAACCAAAGCTTGGCCTAATTTCTCAATGATTCACTTCGGTGGGAAAGGGGGCGAAAAAATTCATTTATTTTCAACCGGTATAGACCTCATTAGAGATGTAGTTCGTTTTGTCAATATTTCATACTTAGCAAATTTGCTATTGCAAACATTGAAAAGAAAAATGCCTCTCGGAGAATGGTATAAGAAAAAGATTAAGATAAACAGCTAACCTAATCAGTCAAACATCACTCTTAGATGCATAAGATCAATAAGTAAAGACAATGACAGTGTATGCTAGGGAGTGAGGATACTTGCCCATGACAAGGGCACTATCCTGTCTTTCCTTCAAACGTCTTTTTACGAAAGGTGATAGACGTAAAGCCATGCAAAGACTTTAAGTGGATTTACACCTTTCGAAACTCAAACAAACAGTTTCTCTATTATTAACCTACTCTGAAATAACTTAATAATATATTAAACATACCAAAATCCAATATTCAACGCCCAGTCGTTTATCTAACTCTTGCTCCTTAAAAGACTGGCGTTTAATAAAAGGAGGGATTAATAGAAGAGTTCATAAATTACTAAGATGATGAAAGCTTCTCTTTCTGGTGTTTATCGGGTTTTACCAAAAAGAATGAAGTGAAAAGAAATATATAAACAAAACAATTTTAAACATACTTTGATTTGATTAGTGGTACATTTAAACAACTTGTGATTCTTTTTCAAAGGGATGAGTCCTGTATTTTTTAACTAAGGCCCGCTTAAGTTTTAGGAGCAATCTGCAGGAGGGCGTTAAAAAAAGGCGCTAATTTAGTTAAGTTGAATAGAAGGGAACGTTATAAGAGCAAATATGGAACTCGAAAATAAGGGTAACTGTACTTAATCATCCTTTGTTTTCAGAACCTGATGTTTATGAAAGTTGTCCTCTCTAAAAAGGAAAGCCCCCAAAACGGCTGAAAGCACTTTCTGTAATTAACATATTTGTAACCTACCAGCGCTTCTAGAGCCATTGCTAAAAAGTCAAAAATGACGATTGTGAAACTTTTGAAACCTTTTGTCTACGCCATGTTAATGATTCTTACAACTCGTCAAAATGTAGCCCTAAAACCATTTTTAAATGACATAGCATTTTAATCAGTAAGAACTTCATACATGAACTAATGCATTAGGAAATTCCAAAAAATCGGCAACAGAGATCGAAATTTCTGGCATAACAGGTCATCAACTGTAAATTACCCACCTTGGATGGTCTAACAAGACATCAAAAACGTCCGCATTATCATGAGATAACGCTAGATGCAAAGGTGTCCTGAAGAAAAATGAAAATTATAGAAAAATTATTAAGTGAAAAAAAGATCAAATTTCATGATAGCGGGGACGATTTACATGGCGTGAAATATACAGAAAACAAACTAGAATAAAGTTTGTAAAGAAATTTCAAAACCAATTAATGAAAGATCTTACAAAAAGCTTGCTATTAGAAGTTTTGATTCAACAAATTTGACAGAAACAGCAAAGCAGCATTTCATGATAAAGGATCTGTGAAAACATGAAAGATTGTGTGCGTCGATATATTCAGAATAAGCTGCTCGCTGTTGTAAAGATATCGAAGAATGAACCAATATTCGGTGATGGTAGACCATACTAGTAATAGGATTAACGTCAACAGAACATCGTCTTGATACGTACAGGCCTGATGCATTCTGGGCGTTGGGATCGGTGCCTTTATCGACGAGTTGTTTACAAACACGAGCCATGCCTTCGCTACTTGTCATTTTTGACCAATCTTTTCCCTGGTCAGCTGAGGATGACCTTGATGACGATGACCACGGCCTGAAATTATAAAAAAACAATAAAATAAGGGTTTTCAAAATAAGCGATCATTATTTTTGTGATTACTCAAGGGTGTGTTTCCTGTAAAAGTACAATTATGTAAACAAAGACTGCAAGACAGCTACCTATAATACTGGACTGAGGTGAGGTGGTGGTTTTACAGCCTTGCATTAACCAAAGGCTTCTTAACTGACTTTACGCAATATCCCACGATCACTATGCACAGAAGCATAAAGAAGGTTGCAGCCACAGACAGCGTTCATAAAATACGGGCAAGGAACCCAATTTTACTACTAGGTGGAGAAAGGTACAATTTGTGTAAACACTTAGCCAAAGAATGCTATCCTCATGAATAATAAGTGCAGGTCTCAAACTCTTAACCATTACATCACAGAGGCCACTAAAGACAGTACCGTGCTTCTATCTGAATACCTGGACTCTGTCATCTCGGTTCAATTCATTAACTGTACAAACGTCTACGAGACTTACTGGAAATTGTGCTGGAGACGTGCTCGCACATGTTTTGGGGGGAATTAGTAAGTTATAAGTATGCATACATTTAGTTATTCGCGTGGTTAAGGAACCAAATTAGGTACTTAGAGAAACGTAAAAATAAGAGCCTCGTGGAAACAGACAGTTAGGAACAGTAAATACGCACAGCATCCTGCATGATGCACAGGAACATGGTTAAATCGCGGGAAAACGTAAGTTAAGAAAATTTGCATATTAATCAGTATTACTAGAAACATGGAACAATTTCGTATAAAAGATCTAATAAGAAACATTAAAGTGGAATTGGAGTAGAGTCGCTCGAAAAGTAGGTAAAGGACGAGTGAAGTAGAGTCACGTAACAGTTGTGTGTGGAATTCAGCAGAGAATTAAAGAAGTATGAAAACGATATGGTCTTTTTGTTGAGAAATTCGGTTCACTTTTGAAGCCTCTTTCGAATCAGCAGAGTGAATCAATTGATGCAACAAGAACTGAAAAACGCCCAACCCATAGATTCGTAACAGCAGGATATGCATTGTGTTGCAAATGAAACAATTAATTAAAAAAACGATATTCCTGGCAAAATTTTCGCCGCTTCGTCCATCTAAAAATGAGAAGATATATCTGCTATCCATAACAATGGAATTAAAGCTAGAAAAATAAGTGGGTAATGAGGACATTCCACTTTATTCATATGTAGGATCATGATATGAAAGAGATAATGGGTACGGAATGTGAAAGTCAGGATCACCGTCGTCACTCGCCAATCGAAAGATATCCTCGTCACTAGCAAGTGTTAACAAATGGACTAGAAAATTTTTCTGCTAAGTTCATTGTTTGTCTGATCATTTGTTGATTGACAGTTCTGTTCTGACCAATGATATCCACTGTTTGGCAAACAAGACAGTTGGTGTAGGATTTCCTGGTCATTGAAACACCTCTTGTAAGAAAGTAGCTTTGATTGTCGAAGATACAACGAACAGTGATGATTGATGTTGCGATTTCGATGCCACAAATAAAGAAAACTGGCAAAGTTGAAAATAACAACGAAAATTGCGACTCACTAACTTGTATTTTGCTGACAGATGAAGCGGCGTGTCACGTTCAGCAATTGTCACAGATTTGACGTTTGCTCCATGCTCGATCAAAAACATCGCTCCAAATTCATCACCATGCTCCACAGCTCGATGTAGCAGCGTGAATCCATCATGGTCCGGGGAATTAATGTTGCAACCGTGGTTAACCAGTGTTCTAGCAATGCTTTCTTGCTTCTCGTTCAAAGCGATCTCTAACGGTAGCTGGTTTGTTGTTACTTCCCGTTCGTCAATTTTAGCAGGTAGCTGTACAAAAAAAGATTTGTATCAAATAAAACATTTTAATTCCAACTACATCAATGGGTATGTTAACTTCTCTATGTTTATGGGTACAATACAGATCCCCTTTTCAGGTTCCAAGATGCAAAAAAGAACCACGGTAAATAATGTTCAGGTAATCTAAAACAATAAGGAAACTTTTGCTAGTTTGTCTCCTATTTATTATAAATTTAATCTTGTTAACGTTCTCATTTCCCTCGCTTTTCATATTTGTTCTTCGTGTGAAAATTTTCACATTGAACTCTGTAAGATTAAAACCATCCACAGTAACAACTGTTTTTCTAAATCCTTGGTTGATAAGTTAATCCGTGTCTTTCTTGACAAAGAGTTTAAACCTACTACTAAAACTTCTAACCTTGCCAGTAATAAACAGCTTCTCTTGTTCTTTTCACCCTTTTAGGATACTATAGCCTCCGCATTAAGAAAAATATTACAAAGCTTATGAAGAAATGCTACCCCGATATTCAACTCAAGTTCATGTTCAGATTACCTAGACTTATCTCTAATTTCTTTATCTTTAAAGACCGTCACGCTCCCCCTTTGTGCTTTAATGTTACTTACAAGTTTACGTGTAGTGGCTGCAGCCCATTTACTATGGTAAAACACCTCGTAATCTCATAAGGAAACTTTTTTTAACTTTTCACAATTTTGGTAAACAGGGTTTAAAAACTCTCGGGTTCTGTCAAATTCTGAAAAATTTCACTTTTATCTTAGACAAAATGGAAGAAAGCAGAGATTATTCACTGGCACCTACAGTATCTACTACAATAACATTATTACAATAATAAAATTTGACCAAAAAAACTGTGTCCCCATTTACCAACTGAAATGAGCAGTGAAATCATTTGCTGCCTCAAGATTCTAAGGCAAGTGTGTTTTCTAGCTGATAACATTTGTTGTGACAACATGATAACAATTACCTTTAAGAATGAGCTGAACGAAAAATAACAGATTTCATTCAGAACAATAAAATAATTTCAGAGATTAACGAAAGCACAAGACGAAGAAGCAGGCCAACAAATATTTATGTGGATATATGTGCATTTGTCACTCAATATGACAAACAAGTGGTCACCAGGGTGAACAAAAAGCACAAGAGATCAGCGGCACAAGATTCTTTAGCAGATTGGAATTTTGAGGAAACTGACAGATGAAAGAACTCTGTATTGGCATGCCGAAATGTTAATAATTCTGTGTTGGGATAATTATAAAATTAAAGATATACTTACTTGAGCATTGAATTCAATGAGAAACAAAAAGACAACATCTTCTCTGTGGTGCCTTATTGCAAAGTGCAATGGAAATTGTGATTTGGCCTTGAACATGTCATATAACAAGGGGGCACTCATTTCCACAAAATCTTCTGTTTTGAGATCATTCTAAAAATAAAATGGTAGGCAAAAAATAAGTTTTGGTTCTTTGAGACATGAAATGAATATGCAACATACAATATAGGTCTTTTCGTAAGAAATTGCCCACACGAGTGGTTCATCGCTGGTGTGATTTCTCTTGCGTAAAGATCGCTCTGATAGCGAAAATATTGTTCCTGTTATAAGGTACCCTTTTGTTTAAGATAACATCAAATGAAAAAGAACTGTTACAATGGTCGGAATGTGTTTCCATACCTGTTTAAAAACGCTTTTACTGCCCAGAAAATGTTGTAAGTGATACTGTATATAGTTCAAATACTAAGTACCTAAAGTATTCCTAAACATTCGCTGTGGAATTGACATTCAAATGCATTTTTACATTGAGGTGTGGTTAAGACAGGTTACTTACAATTCCTGTGTTTTGATATACTGGCTTTGTATTGTCTATGTCACTTGCTTGGTTGACAAAAGATTACTAGAATTGTGTTAATTGATGAGACATTTATTCCTCACAATTTATTGTTTTGCGTGAGCGATCAAACGCTCACGTGGTTGGATTTGCACAAATGCTGACGATCAAACAGAAAGGCCTGCAATACGAATGTCTCAATTGGAAAAAAGCCTTTTGTCTTGAAAAGCAAAAATATCAGAAAAAAGTAAGCAGAAATTTTCTAAAGAGCTACTGGTAAAGAAAGCCCTTGAAAACAGAAGTAGTTAATATGCTGAAGATCTAAATATACCTACTGAATATAATATTTAAATAAATAATTTGAGTACCCAGTGGCTTGCTATGATTTCCGCACAGTATTGTCTCAATGCATTGGCACCAATGTCCTCAGCAGTTTGGTAGAATTTTATGCAGTTGGAAACAGTTATAGAAGACATAAGAATTTTCTCACATCTACAACAAGAAATTCAAGCATAATACATTTCAAGCATGGTGAGACATATATTGCTCTGAGCAAGGTGAGGCATATTGAAAAATAGCAGACCAGAATATATATAATTTAAAGGGTTCCTTTGGTGTATGTGTTTTTAACATGGGATATCACACAGGATTTAAAGGAGAACTGACACGCAAAAATAACTTTGGCTTATTCGATGCAAAATTTGTCGCTGACTTCAAATCTGGAAAAAGTTTTCTTCTTAGATTCGCCGTTCTTCGGATATTTGCGCTTTTATCCGTCAATTACGTCACAGCCAGGATTTGGGAATTACCCGAAGCGGAAACAAGATTATCGCCAGGAGTTGTTAAAATTCTCGGTTGACGTCACAAGTGACATGTTAACAATGCCGTTGTAAAGGCTTTCACCGCAACGGTGAAAGTACAAATGAAGTTTCGTGTTTTATTGAAAATAGTCCGCGGTGAAAAGACAAAAAATTGTCAGTCATTTCATTTATAAGTATAAAGAAGCTAGAAAATCCTAGCTGCATGCCTGCTAGGACGCTAATATCCACATAAAATTTATTTTTATACCAAGATATCTTCGAACCACATGCTTGGAAACATTGAAAGAACCTCTAAGCTTGTAAAAAAAGGAGTCGACTTTGTTTGAAAACTGATACCGTTTCTTCAAAGTTTTTATTTTTATAATTATAAACAAAATCGAAGCATGGGGGTGGGGGAGGGGGGTGGGGTGGTTGAAGCAATATCCAAAAGACAAACAAAATCTAATGGAGACAGCGGTAAAAGCGATCCTGCAACCTGCTTTGGGTGCAGAAATATGAATTCAAGAAAAATCTTGGTTGATGGGTGCTGCGAGTGTGACTAAATAATAATTTCACTGAACTTGATTATTGTATTTGAACAGAGGTTAAGATACTAGGGAATAACCCAGTCTTGCAAAAAGACCACCCCTACCCAAGGCAAAATTGTTTGTAAAAAAAGATAATGCGCTAGTTGATATTCCTATGACAGCTAAACAGCATTTTCTTTGACTAAGAAGTCAAGTTCTTTGACTAAGAGCTAAGAGCCTATTTCGTAACTCCAGATTTTTCGACTGCCAGGTAACTTATCAGTTCCCGAAACCCTTCACGCCCGGTGAAAATGGCATATAATCCGCACAAGTCGACTTTTAACCCGCCTTTACTATTTAATATCACGAGTTTAGGGCATCATAGGCATTTCAGCGAATTAGGTCATACAGACAAAGCAGTCTGAACAAAGACGCCTCAATCTGAAATGAAATTTTAGTTTTATGGTACCTGATCTCATTTAGATTGTAGCAGTAGCATTGTTTTTAATAGAAATTCCATATCAGTTTTTACTTCCAGTCTGTTCTTTGTTCATAACATCGTCAATGTTGAGCCATGGGACGACTGTCTGCCCAAGCGGCAGCGCTGGTTGGTAGCAAAAACTCAGACGGCTGAAATTCTCCATTTGTTTCAAAATCAGTGTAATAAAACTCGGATTCAGAGTCCCAAACCATTGAAAAGTCAATTATGTGTCAAAAATGCAAAATTAGCTCCTTTCACATGCACAAAATAAACATTTGTCTACAGCATTTTCTTAAAGGTTCTATAGAGAAACACAATACGTGCTGAGAACATGTCACTTGTGACGTCAAAGATGATCGCCCACTTGTGACGATTTTCGCCTCGAGTCTCAAGTTGTCGGAACAATTGTCGTTTCTCAACTTAAAACGCCTGTATTTCAAAAACGGTAACTGTGATTTAAAAAAATTTTTCAATCCTGGAATTTGCTTGTCACAAACTACCGATATAGCCAAACTTATTTTTGCGTGTCAGTTCTCCTTTAAGAGGTATGCATGAAAGAGATGAAAAAACCTGGGACAGCGGAATGTCATCAATGTAATTAAAAAATGTCTATGATGATTAAATGGCGATTTGAAGAAATCTTGACAGATTGTCTTAAGAACAAATATATAAAATATGGCAACAATTTATGAATATACCTGTTCTTTAATGCATCTAGCCTATATCTGTTGGCAGCTTTAACCAGTTCTATAATGAATTTCTCATCATTCTTTATATCTGCTCTGTCAGTATAAAGCCACTTTATTATGGCACTCCCAACTTCATTGCTAACACCTAGAGAAACCAAGATTACCAATTGTTGAGAATAGACAAAATGCTAAGAATGGAAAAATATTTAAATTAAATTTGATGCTCGTAAAAATAAAAGTGCAACATTCTTGTTGTTTTCTTCCTGATGAAGCCTGATATGATGTATTAAAGCAGCAGTAAATACTAGAATCAAATGTGCTTTATTCAGCAACAACTTTTGATTTCAAAAACCTAAAGCTGTAGTCACCTTCCATTTCTATCTCTTCCCTGTTTGTCATGTCAAGTTCCAACCACACAGAACTTCGAGCTGCTAAAACAAATTTGTGACCTCTTCTTTTCTGTGTGCCATATTTGATAGTTATGTCACTGCATATATAAAGTTGAAACAATGAAGTTTAAAAGTAGAAAACATAAGGACACAACATACACAACTTAAAAATAAAATGCTATAGGCCCATTTTGTTAAAAAGTGGGTCAGCAAATCCTTTATTTGCTCACAAATTTAAAAACTTGAAGATGAAGAGCCCCTACATTATGAAAAGCTTCTCATTTCTGTGATGAGTCTTTTTTGCCAAGGAATGTCGCAACTCCATGTCCCACTGTAGCCACAACCCTGGATTGTTGACAGGAACAGCAATGACAAGGCTGCACCTCTTTACATTAAGCGTGGCAGGAAAAATTTTATTGTTCAGATTATTACAATTTTGAGTCATTGTTTCCATTGTATTTAAACTAATCATTATATGCAACAATATAAAACAAACTTCCTTAGAATACTGCAAACAATAAACCTGAAAAAGCTGCTAACTCCTTTTGTTAATTAAGCACAGACTCTTGAAAATTTTATCATGACAAAGCAAGTTGATACCTGAAACTATCTTTATCATAAAGGTCTGCAACTAATCTCAGTAGCTGTGAGATAAAGCTGTCTTTCTGGAGATCCCCAGAAGCTGCAGTGGCCACACTGAGCTTCTGCTCAACCTCAACCATCTTGTTTTGCAATTTAACATATTCTTGTCTTAGCAGGCTGAGATGCTTTTGCAGCTTTGCTACTTCTTAAGAAAAAGAATAAATGAAATGATTAAACATTAAATATGAAACGTATATCCTAGACATTTGTTGACAAACCAGAGCTGTGAAAAATATTTCCTTTCTGGGAACCTGTGAAACAAGCAATAGTATTTCTGTGAAACTTTAGAGGGGACGAATCTGGTTACCTGTTTATGCTTATCAGCTAGCTTTTGTGAGGTGAACGTGTTGTGTACGATAGGCTCTACCAATAGTACCCACACATTTTTATGCAAAGGCTTTTTATTTATTGGGTCTAATTTATTAACTAATTTGGTTGTTTATTACATCCTTATTTGTCCTTGGCAAAGATTGGCTATGCGAAAAAGGAAAAATGATTTGTGTTCCAAATGGCAATATGTTTATTGACTAGAAGAAAAGTTCACCAAAGATGAGACTCTCCACAATGAACTGGTGTCTGGGAGAGGTAATAGATGCCAACTTCAGGGAGGATGAACATGAACAGCTTGATACATATAGGCTCTAGCTTGAGGGATTCAAAAGTACTTAAAAATCATCATCGTTCAAAAAAGATTTACAAAATACGCCCTGTTGCTAGAATAACAAAACATTTTCAATCAAAAACGAACTGAATACAATGTTACATTATATCCTATGTCACCTCCTCAAGATACTTTACTTATCAAAATGAACAACTTTCTATATCAAGTTATCGTTGACATGACTTATGGTACGTGAGCTGATCGAGAGGAAAATCATCCATTAGGCCAACTTGCCTTTGATTGGTATGGGCCCGCCCAAAACTTACCAACTTTAATAATAGTCTTGGAAAAACTACACTTTCTATGATGATAGTTATTGCAAACTAAAGGCATGTTTTCGGGGCCATTCTTACCTATACTTTTACTCGTTTCATAGAGAGATTATAGGAAAATATCTATAAATGACCCAGAGAAACACTCACCCTCCGCAGCCATTTTTGCATCTCAGATTGTGGAGAATGAACTATCTATTTGACGGACCGCCGAATCATGGAACCAACTAGAGAGAGGCTTTTCAAGTTCTCTCTTACTCTGCGGAGGAGAGGAGTCCACCGAGGGTAAAATATTATGAAATGAACTGCTTACTCTGGAGCAGGTCTAATAGGCTCTTTTTAGATTCAGCTATTTAGTTGTAAATAAATTGTGTAATTGAAAGGAAGGTATCAAATATGCTGAAACTACCAAACTTCCGGTTTTTGGAACCTATCCGAAGAGAGACAGCAAAGTACTTTGTTAGGCCATTAGGCCCTTACTCTAGAAATGGAGCCCTGCTGTACAACTCTAAAGGATGCACGAGAGAAAACAGCACTTCATCGCGCGTTTGCATAATTGGAAGTGGTCCAGCTGGATTTTATACAGCACAGCAGCTTTTGAAGGTTGACAAAAATGTTGTGGTTGATATTTATGAAAGATCACCAGTGCCTTTTGGACTTGTTAGATTTGGAGTCGCACCTGATCACCCTGAAGTAAAAAATGTCATTAACTCGTTTAAAATTGTTGCCCAAAATGAACGCTGTAATTTCTTTGGAAATGTAAATGTAGGCGTAGATGTCAAGACAAAGGAACTTAGAGATATGTATGATGCTGTTGTCCTAGCATATGGAGCAGATAAAGATAAGACTCTTGATATTAAAGGTAGGTTCAGTGTTCCTTTGATCCAGGTTAGAAAGCATGCATCATTAGGGCTATAAGTAGCTGCAAGTATCAACACTATATCTGCTGCAGCCTGCAGGCAAAGTTATTTGAGCCACAAACGACAATTTTCAGATGTACATGGATATATGTCTTAATTGATCTTGTGGGTCAAGCACATGCATGAGAAATCCTGCATAGCAGCCAGACTGCATTCTTTGTTGTGTAATTATGTAATCTTTGTATACCAGAATTTATGTTCTCAGTGCAAAACACAGAGAATGCAATCTGAGCTGCCAGCACATTCATGTTTTTTGCAAGACCTTAGAATTTTGTTTATAGAAATTTGTTAACACAGGTAGTTTTTAGATCTAACAATAGAAGTAACAAGATTCTAGAGGTGAACCTGCAGCCTGTGCCCCTTGATTGATATTCTTGAATGAATACCCTGGTTGCTCACTTCCACCTCAAAAGGATGGACAGCCGAGTTGGCTAGAGGCTTGTCAAAAGCAGGTATGTTGGCATAGGGAGAAAGCCAGGGTGAGTGCCATTGGAGTCATGCCTATTTAGGGATCCTGTAATTATGGAATAATTATGGGCCTGCACACATTGGTTGCCTTGGGGCCCTACCTTGCTCTCCTTAGCCCTGGTCAAAGTGATTTAGATGGGATACAAACCCGCAATATTCTGATTATGGGCCAAAGTTATGACTGCATAACAATATTTGTTTGTTTGTTTTGTTTTTTCAGTAGTGCAACCTGTATTGACAGACTGCTTGCAATGACTTTTAATTTAGAAATTTATTTTTAGGAGAAGACTTAGATGGAGTTCTTTCCGCAAGAGCTTTTGTTGGATGGTACAATGGAATGCCAGCTCATGCCAATCTTAACCCTGACCTTTCAGGCCAAACAGCAGTCATTATTGGTCATGGAAACGTAGCCATTGATGTAGGCAGAATTCTGTTATCACAATATGATATTCTTCAACACACTGACATTTGTAATTATGCTTTAGATGCCTTGAAATTGAGTAAGGTCAACAATGTTTATGTGGCTGGCAGAAGAGGACCACTAGAAGCTTCATTTACAATCAAAGAGTTAAGGGAAATGATAAATCTCCCTTTTTGCAGAACTATATTTAAAAAAGAGGACTTTGAACATCTTAAAGAAGATATACCAAGTCTTCCTAGGCAAAAAAAGAGAATAATGGAACTCATGTTTAAAACAGCAAATCAGGAACCTGTTTTAGAAAATACAGCTAAGTTAAATAAATTTCAACCTTTGTTCTTTAGAAGTCCAGTGGAGATATTAAGTGATGAAAAATCTAAGGTCAAGGGGGTGAAATTTGAAGTTAACAGATTAGCTGTTTTGGAAGACGGCTCGCAGAAAGCTATTGGAACTGGTCAATTTGAAGAAATCAATTGCAGCCTTGTCATACGAAGCATTGGTTATAAAAGTATCAGAGTAGATGAAGGTATTCCATTTGATGCTAGAATGGGCTTCATTCCGAACAAAAATGGAAGGGTTGTTGAAGGAGCAGGTAGTGATGAAGTTGTGAAAGGTCTCTATTGCAGTGGTTGGGTAAAGCATGGACCAGTTGGAGTAATACTTACCACTATGGCGGAGGCTAAAACGACAGGTAACTTAATTGCAGAGGATATAAATAGCAATGTGCTAGAGGCAAAAGGACTGACAAACAGTGAAGTTGATAGTTTTCTCAAATCAAAAAATGTAGAGTCTCTAACCTACGTTGATTGGGAAAGGATTGATGAAGAAGAAACAAAAAGGGGTGCAGAACTCAAGAAACCTAGGGAGAAGATTGTGTCAGAAAAAGAAATGATTGAAATTGCAAGCAAAATGAGAAGTAAGAATTCAAAAGAGGATCTTCAAATATAATTACAGATTTATTTTAAGATGGATACAAAAAGTGTGAATATCCCTTATAAGATGATAGAATGCCTCTTGGCCTATCTTGCTGTTAAGCAGTTTTTATACATTTTTATGTGAAAGATTAATTGAAATCATGTTTGTTAATTATTTGTTAGGTCCATAAACTATTATGTCATTCATGCTAGCTCGCCATCTTTTGCTTTATTTGATTCCTCATGTGCCTAAGTTAGGTGATATACACTACATTTTTCTGACCACAGCTTCCAAAATGCTCTATTATTTTTCACTATAATTATAGAAAAAATGAATTATGGTATTAATCAAGCAGATATGCAGAGTCTTTGATATATTCTGAGTCTTGAGTCAAACAGAAACCTTTAGTCACCAGAAAATTTTAGTTTTCTTTTGTTTAACTAATAAAAAAATGAAAATTAATATAATATATTTGAAGTGGGAACTACACCAATATTAGAACTCCTCTTAGCAAGCCTCTGCGAATTTAAAGACCAAGCTCTATCTGTCTTAGGATTTTAATAATGATTATTGTTTTTGCCAGAGCTGTATATGCTTTATGGTGTATAGAACAGGATGGTTCAAAGTTGCAACTCTGAGTTTCTCGCTTAGTGTGATCATGAGGCAATTTGTCTTTTTATTGGCATTGTAGAATCCCAACCCCCTATTTAGAACTAATGCCATGACAAAAGCAAAATATATTTCATTCATTCTCATTTAATCTTAAAATCATTATATCGAATTTAAACACACAATTGATCACAAGATGTTATTGAATCACACAATTGACCACAAGCTGTTACATCTTCCAAACCTTATCTACAAATGCAAATATTTGCTAAATTATTTCTCAAAATGAAACTAATCTTAATAGCAGTAATAATCACACTCTACAGACAATATTCCAGAATGTGATCATCAATTTCCTTAAAATTCCTCCTCCTCCTCCTCCTCTGGCTCTTGAATGTCAAACTGCACCTTTTCATGCTGTTCTTTGTCAGTTCTTACCCCACCAGCATTTATGACTACATTGTAAAGGCAGGGAATCTTTGCCAGATCATCATTTCGACTAAACTTTTACTTGAGATGAAAATGACTTATGGCATCAGTCACAATGGAGCAGGAAGCTGGAGAGGGCTATAGCCTCTTACTTTTTGCCATAAACACAAAGTGTTGAGAAATGGACCATGAGTCAAATTTCTTTTAAATTGGTTTTAACCTCTCTAATTTTATCAACCAACCTAGGCATTTTTTAACCAGGATGAAATAAAAGATGACCTGATTTATACTCTCCATTAAAAATCATCCTCAAAAACGCTTGCTTAAAATAACCATCGTCTGTACAATCCTTGACAAAAGTCCTTGGAACACCCTGCGACAAATGATGATTTTGAAGAAATAAAGGTTTCCGGCTGTAAGATACAGAAATATCCCCCCTCCCCCTAAAAACAATGTTGGCTGAAAAGCCTATTACTTACCCTAACTGATAAACTGACATTGGACGAATTTCAAGCTTTGAAACTGTTGTTATTCAACATTGTTTCAAGGGGGAGAGGGGGATGCTACTGAAGTTATGCGAAATTTTAGCTTGGTGTACCAAGACTTTTGGCAAGGATTGTAGTTTAAAATCAAGAAAATACAGTAGGCCAATTATGATTGGTTCAAATTACTGCTTCAAGTGCTAGTTAAGTATGCAAATTATGAAAACACATCACCCCTACAAATTTCAAAATGGTTTAATTAGCTTAAATAATGTCTAATAAAAAATAAATGATATGTTTGATAGTATAATTTGTAAATAACACACCACAAACATTTTCCATTCCATAAGGCAGAGATAAGAATTTAAATACATGGTAACACCTCTTGATTTTCACTTCAAATCAACCTATTCCGAAAAGGTGAATGCCTCAGATGCTTTTCTCTGCACTGTATAAAAAGAAATAATGAAAATTAATGTCAATGAGCTGAGACATTAACTTAGATGTATTGTTTAAAGTAAATTAACAACATCACATACTTTGAAATAGTCCAAAATCATGTTCGTCTCTAAGATGATTTTTGAAGGACCTTTAAACTTTATAATTTGCAAATTCAGGTCGTTTTTTAAACTTGTTACTTGTTAATGTGGAAAATTGAATTGTTCTTGAATCCGGGATAAGAACCTGTGGATTTGGTGCTTGTAGCAACGAATTGATCCCGGGCTGCACGCTTAAGTAAATGCTAATAAATCATCAATATAATGTCAGCTCAGGACAAAGATCATGCAAAACTTGTTCATGGATTAGCAAATAGAATGCTTCAGCCATGCATGGAAAAAAGGACAAAGAAGGAAATTTTATGGAAAGGAGACTTGTTCTGAGGATTAGAGAAACCTTTTTGAGAAACTATCATGGATTTTGGAAAATTTTCTGATAGAACTCAAAGCAAAAAATTTTTTAATAGAAAGTTTGAATAAACGACTTACTCGGTCATCGGCTCATTTTCCAAAATTTTATCATTCAGTGACAATTTATGAGTTGCACCAGCTTGTGAACGTTCCATGTTAGTATACTGTGAATGCAATTGAGCTTGTCAACAACGCTCATTTCTTTATAAAGATATATGTCAATGACATTTACATTTCATTGTTTTAAGACGTACGCCTACAGAACACGGGGAGCAGCTTTCTCTATAACCGTCGGAACTCAATTCATATTGGAAGGGGGCTGCCTATTGTATTCCTTCTCACCCAGTACACTGTTATAAAGTAATTATACCACAGTTCGACAATTATTGGGGCTCCAGACTCCCGGTTCCGATGGCCCTGTATTAAGTAATCAATGACTGACAGATAATGGAAATTTTCATTATACCAGTAAATGCAATAAACCAAACTATCACATCGGTAAGACATCTATAATAACAGCCAAGCAGCTTGTATATTGTGTGGGTACTTACGCCTTCAATACGGGTTTGAGTATGACGCCTTCCTGGAGCCACCTTCAAACAAAAACATTGAGTGTTCTCCATTGAGTATTCTTTTGGTTGTATACAAAGAAAGGAATATTCTCTTGGTTGTATATGAAGAAACAAGGAATATTCTCGTGGTTGTATATGAAGAAAGGAATATTCTTTTGGTTGTATATGAAGAAAGAAACACATAGCTGTAATTGGTGAACACTTTTAGCAATTTACTACATTTGCATTTCGTCGTTACTTTCGAGATAGTTAAGGCACGAAAGCTATAACTAGAGAAAAGTTGAATTTGCTGTCTGACAGTATTCCTTATCAGTATCCAGAGGGTTACTTTAATACTAATGACAAACTGCTTTATACACTTGCACCCATGCAAAGAGTATCACAATGAAACAAAAATTGTGTTGCATAGTTACTTTGGCTTCTTTTGCGTGACGCAATCGCTGTGCAACAAGTCGAATTAGTAATACAAAATACGGAGTGAATAATCTTTGCGTATCTATCAGTATCAATTGTCAAAAGTACTGTTATAAAGAAATTATCATATTCTAACTTCGTGCAAAGATCACGCGAATGCATACCTTATCTTGCTTGGCAGGACCACCAACAAATGACCACGCCCTTAAGGAAAATAAGAGTAGGTACAGTATATACTAAAATATTAAACACTTACCCATCTATTAAACATTTTATAGTATCTCCTGTAATTCAAAAGCTGTGCCCTTCAATAGTTGTCTCGAAATCTCCGTTTTGTTCTTCAAGAACCCTTTTTGTGAAGTGCTGCTTTATAATAATTCCAGAAGTACGAAATTTAATTCGAGAATTTTTAGAAAATTTCGAGAATCTTGATATTATGGGAAAATTTATCCAATCCTTGAGTTTGATAGCTAAATTGATTAAAAATACAGATATTTCTCAGTTTTAACACATAGATCTCTTTTTATAGCAGATTTAGAATCCGAGTATGAAAATAATTGTGATGAACGTACAAAAAATTATTTTTCAAATTTCTTCCGATCGAATTTATTTCATACAAATCTGCACCAATACTACAGATGAGAATCCTTGCTTCTTTCAACTATCCATTTGTTTTCAAGAAAAAAAATTTTACCACATACGGACAGTCTCATTTCCCTCCGGTCTGTCCGTCCGTCACGAAATTGATAAAAAAAGCTTCATCCCGCACATGAAGAAAAATAATCTTAGCACCTTTTACTTTTTAACTATTTGATTTCATTATAACAACCATGATCGTAAATGGTATTTCTGCTTGTATTATCAACATAAATAGTGATATAGAGGTACCATATCATAGATAGCGCAAAATAATAGTTTTTGTCGCTGTTTGTAGGGAGGAAAAAATTCCTGAAAATTTTGTGACAGACGGACAATTCAAAACTTGTCCCTTAACTGCGCACTGGGTGTTTGACCTACCAAATAAACGATTGACTTCAACCATTATTCATCTCTACTCAATGTTGATGACAAAGGATGTGCTTTTCAACAATTTTAATCTCAAACGACATTTTCCAGTCCATTTGTCACGTCCATCCATCACGTTGATCAGTTGGTACTTTCGGCATAAAAATTTCCAAATGTTGAGAAATACAGTTGTTCAAAAGATTTGATGATGTTTCAAACTGATATTTAGTTGTCAAAGATATTTCAAATTTATCTCAAGTTCGTTGGATTAGATAGAATATTTGAACACGTGAAAGAAGTCTTAAATTAGAACACGTGATTAGGTCTTAAATTGTCTCTCACCTTTTGGCAGCAGAACGAACACGATCCGTAACTTCAGCAGTTCGTAATGTAACTCCAAAGATGTCTTCGTGGTACCTTCCAGATGACTGCAATCGAAAAAAATATTGCATTATCAAAAACTACTTTTGGCCTTATGGTTGTCAATCATAAACCTGTTTGAGCTTACAAGGAAAATGCATACAATAGCAGGGACTCTAGATAATTAACAATCATCCACATGTACTCTAAACCATTCCTCTCACTATTCACAGACAATAGGAAGAAATCAGTACTATGTCAAGCCTTACCCTTAGCTGTGCCATCAACTCTTGTGCTTCGACTTGAGACAAAGCAGCAAATTCTTGCAGAAGATTAAGCAGTGTGTTAGAGACATCAGAGGCCATAGAAACATCACCGCACACAAATATATGACCTCCATTTAGCAGGATTAATTCACATATCTGTTCGTAATTTTTCTTGAGCAAATCTTGCACGTATTGCTAAAAGGTTAAATATGAACAACGTCGTAGTTATGTGCGAAATAAATCTACAGAAAGAAAAATGAAAGAAGGCTGTGAGAACAGGGATGGGGGTTGCAATAGTTTTTAAAAAGTACTTTAAACCATCATATTTCTGCTTGCTTCCATTCATTTTGAAAATTTAAACCCCGTCCCTCATTTACGCCTGTTGTATACTCCATGGTAGTTGTGTACTGCATAACTAAGTTATCTTTTCAGCAGATTTTACGATGCCAGTAAATTGAGCAGCAACCAACAAATAAAACAGATAGTTATTTCAACAGTGAATAAAGACGGCGGCCTAAAACGAAGTACATTAAGATAAGGATGACACAAATGAACGAGGATTTTGATGAGCATGAAAATTATCATGTAGGACCATGACCCAGTAACATGACAAACCTTTGGCTGTCCAGGCTCCCTGGAAAAAGCAGTATGCAGCCCGTCTAATACTCCTCCTTCGGACATTTCCTGTAACTCATCTTTGTAGATGAAGTCTAGTTTTGATGTTCTGCAGCCAAAATACAATTCAATAGGTCCAAGGTCCTCTTTCATTGTTCCATTTTGAATCTCGTAGAAACGTTGCTGCCAGAATGCACGGAATGGGGCTATGCCCGTTCCTGGGCCAATCATAATAACTGGGAGGAATTTATCATCAGGCAAATGGAAGCTGGGTGCTCTGGAAGAAGATGATACTTTGAATTGATAATATCAAACTTAGCTAAACTGTCCACTGGAAAGGGTCACTCCGGAAAGGGGTCCACGTCCAACTGCCAATCGTGCAAGCTTTTGCAACGAAGCAATTTTTGGATATGAATTTTACTAATCATGAATCGTTGTTTTTCTGATCGATATTATTCTGATTTCTGATTGCTTTATGCTGATAGTAAATATAGTGCTATGATAGGAGACAGATACACAAGTTGAAAAACTTACGATCTTATTCGTACTGGCACTGCATCCCCAGGGTGTAAGGAATTCAACCAAGTTGAGCAAACACCATGATGCAAGGGACCTTGGCCACCTAAAAACACAAGGAATGGTATTTAGAAAGTGACACAATAGGGCTTTTTTAGAGAGTTAGAGTAACAATTGGAAATATGGATACAAGCATCTAGACACATGTTTCAAACGGTAAGAAAAAGAGTAGTCTCATCGAAAACACGTATAGAGTGAACAACGCCACAGAAGCACCAACGCCACTTTTTGCTGGTCAAAATTGAGAGCATCATTTACTTGCCCTCGTCAAACACGGTGAAAGTTGCAAGTCGTGATTGAAAGGAATTGTTCATGTGTAATTATGGTTCTGTACTTTTCAATTGACATGTTTTATGGCCCAATCAGAACCAATACAAGGTTTTAAAATTTCATGGTCTATGATGCTATTTATATCTGGTACTTTAAAAGAAGGAACAAGAGAAAAAGCTTCAATCAAACTCTCCAAGCAATAAAAAAACAAACGCACATAACGAAATACTGGTATATCCTTAGGCAATACCACATGTAGAAGTGCATTTAGACGAGGCACTTTCAAGAAAATTAGCAATGATAGCGCCCACCGAGATACCGCCGCCCAAAAAACACTGGAAGCAAAAGTAAAATACTTTTATTTTGTGAAACATGGGTTGTTGCACTTTTTTATCAGGGCTGCCCCCCCTCCCCCTCAAACAAAAAGTTGTATCTCTGTCTTTGGCTCCTATAACAGTTTTTCAGCCAATCCTACCCCTCAGCTTAGAATAAGTACAACAATGACGCACCTTGGGTTCTGTAATTCACAACAGCAACAGTAATATGCACTTCATTTGGATACAGCAATGGCGACGAAGATATTGAATAATAGCGCTGTGGGAAATGCAGAAAAATTATGATATTAGTAAGGTGAAAATTTTTGTATGGTGCTACTATCTTGTTCAACTGCCACTGATGTAATTTGTATTGTGTTTCACGAGAAACTATGGTACCAGATCAGCTTGGCATCATTATATAACGTAGCCAGAAACAAATTCTTAACAAAATAGTTAGTGCTTACAAGTTTGAGTAGGATGTTTTGCCTATAAATAGGCTGCAAGTAACATTTTAGCAAAATTGATAATAGGGTCACAGCCGTTATCTTTCTACTATCAAAAAATCAGTTTAGATTTTTTCAGCATCAACAGCAGAACTCAAAACTCTGGATAATTGCTCCTAGCCTGCTTTAACATTCTACCCCTCATGAACGAGCTTGCGCTCAGTCGATCCTGCCCATCACATTGTTTGGCAATTTTTGCGTTCTTTCAAGACTAAGCCTGCTCTTTGAATCTCAACTCGATGTCAAAAAACATTCTACCATGACCTACCGATTGAAGAAGTGGAAGCTGGGTCAGAATGAGCATTACATCTGCTTTAACGGAGGGAAATTCCTGGAGTACTTCAACAAGATTTGGAAATCTGTAAAACTTCCAGTCTTCGTACAAACTTGATCCCTAAGATGACAAAAAGGTGGTTGAAATTTCAAATATCATTTCAAATAACTGCATCAGGCAAAGCATTGTTTTACAAATGTATATTTTGCAGTGAAAAAGACATTTCTATCACTTCTTCATTCATATATTGTATTATTGTGTAATGGAGAGGCGTCAGAAATCAGCTCCTTGTCTACGTGTAAACCCCCAATTGATAAAAAAACTTAAATTCAAAAGATGAAAAGCACAATTTGAAGAAGGAAAACAGGACCAAATTTCATCCAGAGGAAGATAAGGGCGTTTTCTGGATACTGATGGAAAAATTTGGTCTAAGGGTTTTTAAAAAAAGCTTGCAAGAAAATAGATTTAAAAGTCACGCGTGTTTTGAAATAAGGGTGATAACTGTGTCAATATTACGTAAAAAATACCCATTTCATTTTCAGGCACTTTCATTTTTCAAATTTGCCTAAATTTGATGTAAACATTTCCGAGAGGGACTAGGTTACACCTGCTGCTGACATCTTGCCAGGTTATGAAAGGGCTTCCATTGCCCTTCCATACATCAAAGCTCAATATTTGCATTGAACGATCGTCTCAAGAAAACTATTGCTGATAGTTTTGATCTATCTAATTATTTATTATGCATTCAAGAGGTCACTGGTAGAGGAGAAAATATATTAGAAGTATGATGCACTCTAACCCCAAGGTTTAATTAATCGTTATATTCACGTTGTATTGTAATCGATATAATTAATCGTTGTATTCTTATATCACACATTCACAAAAGTAGACTCTTTAAATGACAATTGCAATAATACCTTGCCAAGTTCTTCCAATTTTTCCTTTTCCTTCTGATCGGTGGCCTTGTTACAAATGAAAACGGTTAATAAACGGTTAATAATTGCAAAAATAAAAATTGTCTATATAGAGAAATGTGATAAAATCACTGAAATATATCTTCCTTTAAAATCCATTTTTAGTTTGTTTAGATTTCCATTTTTGTGCAGGGTTATCTTGTTATTTACCAGTTCTACAACTTTGCAAATAAATGTATGAATTACAAATATAGCACAGTCTTTTTTGCATTCATGAAATCATTTTCAAAGATCCTTTCAATCACTCATGTGTACAAGCGCCAATCCTTGAAAAAGCACCCCCTTCAAAAATGCGGCCCCTGAAACCATCAAAAATTAAAAAAGCACCCACATTGAAAAAAGCGTCCCCCCAAAAAATCGCCCTTCCTTCAAAAGATCTTGATTCATATAGCATATAAATATTGCTTGTAATCGGTTACTATATTTCTAAATACTAAATAACGAATGTCACTTCAAAACGTTTTTTCATACGTAAATTCAAAATGAATGTATTTGTCTAGCATCCATTGTCATGGCTTGAAACAACGAGGCCAACTTCACGCTTACGTTTCTCTGCTGGCCTTGCAAGCAGATAATTTTTGATGACAAACCAACTTAATGAAAAGATGAAAAAACCCTTTAAAAAGCGCTCCCTCAAAGCGTTCAAAAAGATAAAGGGCGCTTTGTGAAGGAAGTACGGTACATACCTGCATTGCAAGTTGTGCAAGAAGCTGTGGTGTTGGAGGTGTTGCAATGTCTAAATACCGAGTCAATGCTTCTCGTAGTGTACACGGATCCGGCAAGCGCTTCATCACCTCCCATTTCTTTATTGGACCGAAAGGGCCTAAGTAAAGAGTAAGTAATTAGCATGTAGACCGATTCTTGAATTCCCAGCGGTGGCTCAAGATTATCTCAAGGAATGCCTTGCTTAGATGTTGATGATACAATTCTATTTAAGCAAATGACAAAAATGCAACAAAAATTCCTTTTAATAGAGAATCCCAGCCACTAAAAGCATCCCCTTTTGACTTGTCATGTCTTAAATCGACTAACATCCTGTTTTTTTCGCTTTGTTCAAACCTACCAGGTGTGTCAATTTCCTTAAATACGTTATAATATTGGTCTCACATAAACAGAAATAGTATTTCTGTCCCCATATTGAATCAGGGAAAGAATATATGAGCTCCTAACCTGATACTTCTTTACAGAGTTCCATCCTGAGTGGTGCATCTGGATCGGGAGCATCATCAAGTAAGTCAATCAGAGTGTCGACGAGTTCTTCTCTGTTTTCTGGGAAGACAGCAAGGTGATCACCAGGCACGTATGACAATTCCTGTTTGCTTCCAGTACTCATGCGGACAAGGATAGTTGATCGGCTGAAACAAAGTGCCATAATATCACATTTCTGTCAATATCATTGCTGCTAGGTTTAGCATTAGCATAACTACGTTTCAATAAAGCTGTCAGTGTGTACATTCGCAATTCTCTTTGTACTCTCTGCCTTCAAGATATGTTTGTTATTGTTTTCTATTCCAGATTCCATGATGTCTGTAGACAATGCAACGAGACAAATCGGCCTACCTTGAATCTGGATGCTGGAGTTTCTCTTTGGAAATGACTTCGACAAAGTAGACTTTCTTGTGGTGCACCAGCTCAAGACCTGAATAAATACAAAGTACGATTTGTTCTTATTCTTACTGTCAACTGAACCTGACGACAACGTTTTTAAGGTCGACTTTCGTGAGCATCCTTTTGATTGTACGTCGATAGTGTAATGAAAAGGAAACGATATCTTCCAGCGTTCTGACGACGCCTCCAAAGAAAGTACCTATGCACCCTACTTCGAAGAAATAAGACAAGGGGCCTATTTCAAATGAAGAGAATTGATTTTAGTCGCAAGGGTAAGTTCAAAATGAGCAAGAGAAATAATGGTTCTGAGTGTAGCTAGAAGGCCGAGTTTAAAATCATTTTGAAGTTAGTGTGCTTCGTCTCATATCAAGAGCTATAGAGATTTCGTCTACAATTATAAATGCTTTTGCATTTTATTACTTTATTAAGACTTTTGCCAAAAGTGTCCACAAGTTTTTTAAGGGGGATATTTCATTCTATGTAAACAATGAAATGAAAAGTATATGCATTTGAATTAAATAAATTTTTCACAAAAAACGTTATTTAATATTTATTGCCTTCGACCTGTCATTATGTTCCTTTAGTTAAAAATTGCAATAAAAATTACATGACGCAGGGGCATGTGGCTCCAAAACAAATGTTCTGTTTATGGAATCTAATCCTCATATAAGGAATCCAGGATTTCTAATAATGAAAAAAAATCTTTCTTCAACAGATGGCCTTCCCCGGTGCCATCCAAGTAAATTGAATAAACTAGACACAAAGTAAATTTTCCAAAAAAACTGGGTAACATGCCTTGTGACTGCTCTGCTGTTTCATTAGCTTCATCAACAACATATCTGAACCGTCCTTTCTTCCACGACGTAGATGATACAGCCAGGCTGTCAACACATTCGTTTGCTAAGAAGTCAGTGCAGAATGTTTCACATGCGGCCTAATGACGAAAAATGAAAAAAAAACTTAAAATGCATTGTCCAACAAGTACGTTCCTATTTTTATCAATGAGCTATGAAAGTGTTTAGTTGATACAACTTATTATTTCTTTTCAACGTTGGTTAAATTCAAAAAAGTTCCAAATAGAAATTTTGCAAAAATTGTTTGCAAAATGGTTGGTTTAAATCTCAGCACGTAAAAATGAATATTTTATAGTTTTAGAGGCCTAATAAATGACTGAAATGGATTATGTTATGCCATGAAAAAGGCATATTGTGTATTTAGTTACTGTGGCAATTTTCAGTGCCTTAGAAAGGTGAGAACTTTCAAAAACTCCTGTGTGTTTCAATTGAAAATATTTGCTTTCAATTATCGACTAGCCGTGCATTTTTAGTTATGATTATTTAACCTTTAGAAAGAAATAGTGACATTAATAACGACTACACAAGAATTTCTAAAAGCATGGCGTTGAGACATTATTTAGGGTCTTTGCGATTAGGCCTAGAATTTCCTTTCTTTTGAAATGATTCCACTGATAATTTTTGATAAACATCAAAACTCTAGAAAATACCTTGAACACATCTTTTGCCCAGCTCATAAATGACTCTTCTTGACCACAAAGCTCGTCACCTTCTCCGATTGGAAAAACTTCCTCCCCACCCAGGCCAACGATGAGATTTCTGCACGAATGTGCGAAGGCACAGAAATGAGGATAGGCCCTTGAACCAAGACCAAAAACAGAGAACCTACAATTCAAGCCAAATAGTACAATAAAATTAACTAATAGACTATTGCATAAGTATAATAGGCGTTCATAGAATGACTTGTGCATAGACAAGAGGAACTAATACAGCTTGGTCAGCTACTTTAAAGGTGTATTGCCTGGAGTGTAGATCTTTCCTGACATTATTCTAACAAAATTGTTAACGATGGCCCCCCTTTTCACTAAACTACACCCTTAGGCATAGAGTTAAAAGACAATGGTCCCAGTAACCGATATTTATATACAATGTATGACTGCCTAAAGAATCTACAATGCGGTAGAAAATACGAATTGCAACTATCAGCATGTAGAGAGTTTTTGAGACATGAATTCATCATAAGACGCGAATTTATACCCATAATCGCTATGTTTGACAACTTCAGGCCAATAGAGGACATCCGAATAAGTTTTTGGTAACGCAAATTTTGAACGAATCATGTTTCCGGTATTTCGTGCAATCTTCAAAGAGGATATCTGGCCGTGATAGCAATACCAACAAGACAGTTTAAGCAAATTCTAAATTAGACCAGCTAGCTGCCTTTATCTGAAGAAGCATTCGTTTATGGTATGTACTCAGTATTTGTGGCCTTAAATGACACACGATTATCATCTACAAGAAAAATCAATTCTAAACCTTAGATTAGCTAGGGGCTGTGAGCTATCTCCTCCATCGCGGTCAATACTGTTGTATTGCTGTATGTGGATGTTGCTAAGTCGACGTGTCCTCACGGCAGATCTGTTGGAAAGTCAAATCATTAATTTTCAAATTTTTCTACGTTATATATACGTTGGCACTCTAAGGCTCTGTTTATACACTCAGGTAGCCGAGGCTATTTTCTCCGTATAAATAGAGCCTAAGAATTTTCCTTATCGCTTGTGTGGAACATGCCTCGGGACGAAGTGGAGAGGGCTGCCTTGCCAAGTTTGACCGTTATATTTAATAATACGTAATAGATTTCAGCAGAAACTAGTTCAGTACTTCAATTTCGGGTACAGTACTTAAATTCAGTATCATTCTCCAAGGCGACGAGTCCTCGTAGTGTGCCAAGTGACCCAAAATCAGAAAAACAGACCAAGCCAGATTACTTTCAAAGATACCTCATTGCAGAGTTAACAGACTTTAGTTGATTGTTTCTTGCATAGAAAATATTTAGCTGTGTAGGTCATGAGCTACAAGACCAGGAGCGGACTGTCTCCAAATTTAGGGACCGGGCCAATTCGTCGGGAAAGGGCCCCGAAAATCAAAAATAAGTTTACGGGTATCCCCAAAGTTGTTTATTGCATCACTTTTTCATACTGGCCTAAAACGTTATTGGAATATTGCTATTAATTCTAATTAGTAACCACCAGGGATGTAGGCATAGGTGTAAATAATTTACAAGGGGGATCTACAATTCTTAGTCCAGGTCAGCATCATTTTCACTGGAAATTTAATTCTGACATAGGATAAGAGATGAGAGAAAATCATGATATTGCGGGGGGGGGGATTATTGATTTCTAGCTGAAGGACTCTTAAAGGGGGCCCTCAGTGATCAAAAACAGCGAATGGTATTTAGAGGGGTCACCTTTTTCGATCACTGTGGCTCTGGTACCCAGGGTAAAACTTAATGAAAAATCTAAGTTATTCAAGAAATATCTAAGTTATTCAAAACAATCTTAATATGTAATTTTGCAGTCAAAAATTTTGTCAGAGCTGAGGGTGTTGAGCCCTTCTGCTGTTTTGATCTATACTCTCAAATCTATTTGGTTAGCATTAAAATAATGTACCTTCCTAGAAATTTGGTCACAAAAATTTTCATGTCCTGACCACCTTAACCTATGATTAAATGAAAACATTTAAACTGAGAGCCCGAAGAGAAAGTTTATCAGATTTTGGGACTTCCAGTTAAGTATCGTCTTATTGCATTAGAGACAGTGAGCCCTGGGCCCAGGGTTCTCCTTGCTTACATGGGGTACCAAATTTTTGAAAATGCTTTTTCAGTACTTAAATACCGCAAAGTGATCTTTTCATCCATTCTGTATCCACTAATCTTGAGAGAGTTTCGGTGTTATGGCACTAGGAGAGGGCCCCTGCCCAACAATACGAGTTTTCATTTAATAGCAAAATTAAAAAAAATTTGTAATAATTTTAGGAGGGCCAACCGGGTGATCGCCCGACGAAACAACTCGATACAAATGTTAATCAGTGTGAATAAAGCATACCTTGGTGGAGGATGCTTAAGTTTGTACAGCAATTCCCCAAATGACTGAAAGAATGAAATTGATTAGCCTTTCTGAGATGCCAAAAAATTAATGAATTCATGGGAAAATTATTTATGACTAAAAATTTCTTAAAACTTTGCGTTTCAAGACACCAAATGAATAAAAATTCCAATCAAGAGAATTCCTATCATGGGAAGGGTTTAAAAAAATCTTTGGAATAACAAATGATTGAACAAAGAAATGAATACATCAACAATAGATGAAAGAATCAATAAACTAATGAATTAATTAATTAAAGAATGAAGAATGATTGAATGAAGGAGTGAATAAGTGAGTAAATAAATGAGTCAATGAGTTGAAAAATGAAAGAGTAGACAAATAAGTAAAACATAAAAAATAAATTTATTTATATAAGTAAATGGATGGATGAATGAATGAATGAATGAATGAATAAATGAATGAATGAAAAGGGAAAATTGTGACACACTGACTTCGCCGTTGCTTGGTGCTTCTCCATTACCAAAAGTGCTTGTGACAATCAAAACCAGTTGCTCGTGTTCCAGTTCTGGAAAGTTGAAATCTCCCATGCACATTACCTTTGGGTCGAAAGCATGGGAGAACAGATCACCAAGAATTCGAGCATAGTTCTCCGATTTTCCTGTCTCTGTTGCGTACAATATGATTGCCTTGTGTCGCTTCTTCATTGCCTCTCCCATCAACTTTGCAGTAAGCTTCACAGCCCTGACGCATAAAGAGATAAAGGTATTTTTTTACTTTGATTACGCTTGTAAGCCAGGGTATTCGACTGGACTTCCGAAATTAAATAAAATCTATTGGTTAGGCAACTCATTATTTTAGTGAACTCGATGAATGCAAAAAGCCTTTCATAGATAGAAACCCGTTTCAAACCAACTACATGATTTTCTGTAGATATTTAAAAAGCATCATCCTACAGAACTGTCGTAGACAAGTTTCCTTTGCTAGGATTTTGCAGATGTGAGTCGTTCGAGAGATACTACACACAATTGAAGTTAATAACAACAACAGCGTTGGTTAAACAAGCAGAAAGAGGGATGAGAGAACTCACTTTGCTACTTCTTTGAAACCAAATCGGCGCTTCCTAAGACCCTCTTTTTTGTCAATAGGAAAATATTTGAAAGGATCTTCCTGGTAGTCAAATGTCGGTTTCACAGTGTATGCAAGCATTTCCTGCAAAAAGTTCATCAAATTGTATCTACTCTTGTTGGGGTGTGGCAGTGGACAAAGCAAGGCAGCACCTTTTCAGCTGAAACACTATCAACTAAGCTTATCTTATTTTTCTTGGTTTAATTGAAACATAACCCATTTAAAGAAGACTGAGGAAACGTTTTATTCATCACACGAGAAAAGTTGATAGAAAGGCAGGATGCTAAAAGGTAAATCTATCGACTACTTCATGTAAGCTGAATGAAACAAAGTCTTTAGGATTCATAAAAAATATGTAAAAACTCTTTATAGTCACTCAACTTCTAGCTGTTACAACGAAATATGAGACATTTTTCATACATTTACGTTCACACGATAGCTGCCACAGGCAGCAATAGTAATTTTCCGTTAAGAGCAGTTGCCTAAATACGCATTTAGAATTTTAGTGATGTAATATGGTATAATCAAAACTTCTGCTCAGCCAAACACGCCTTGACTATCTAAGCGTTTCAACGGGTTAACTTTCCCTGCTCCTTAACCTGGATAAAACTTACTTGATGGAACACAGGACATATGCTTCCTGATATCGGTGGCACAATCCAAACCCAATCAGCGGGGCATCCACCTCTCAACTTCTCCTGCAAGATGATAATAAAAAGTTAGCAGCTGATAGAGCCAGCCTAGATATTAGCAAAGAAAAGTTAGGCAATATGAGTCACGTTTGATGTATTCAGGTACGATACGATCAGTACTCAACACACAGAAACTGTAACTACGTGGGTAATAGATTTTACACTTTGTGTAGGTGGGTTTACATAAATTTTTAACTAAACAAAAACACCTCACCTCGTTTTCCAAATGTTTCATGAACGACTCAGAGGCTGTATGGTGGTCCATTATCGTAGCTCCACTGGCCTGAAAACAAAAGTCAAGATCTCTAACTTAATGCTTTTCATTTTGTTACATATATATTGGGGCTTTGCATCACTATGGTTATTACTCATCTAGGCTAAGTTGTTAGTGTGTACAGAAGAATTTTAAGTTGTGAATTTTCTAGAAGTCATTCTAAAACCTTGCAAAGCATTTTACAAGAACGAGTATTGTGATGGAACTTCGGCTACAACCAGAGCACAAGAAAAAGCACAATTAGCTTTAATACTTGAAAATTAGAGTTTCAAGCTGGCCTATTTTGCTCTAAATGGAAAACTTAATGGCTAACAGATCCAAATTTTGTTTGCTGGCAGATTTCTGATTTTCCTGTTTTTATCAACTGATATAACAGTTTTGTAAGAAGCATTTTTACATCAGCTTAGCAAACTAACAAAATTCGGTTACAAAATCAACAGCACAAAATTTATATTTGCTTCAACAACTCACGTTAAAGCTGTGAAGAACGGCTATATTCAGCTCGATTAATGCTTGATCTTTCCAAAGCGATGTATTAGAGCGTGTGTCTAGGCCCATTCTCAATGCCACAGGCTGAGGGACAAAAAAATATTGCATATTATAGTGCCTCTTAAGTTGCATTTTGAAAAGGAGAGCCGAATAAGCAATTTGACTTCCATTTTCCAGTATTAATTTGAGCGCGACGTTTACACTTATCAATACTACAGGCGATCAAAACATGGAATGAACGGCTTTGGATGATACCTCGAGTGTACTTTTACTTTCTTAGTACGGGTATAAAATATATTGGTTAAAGTCGTTCGGAAAAAGGTAAGTTTATCAAAAAGAGAAGAAAAATGTAAGGTACATTCCGTAAGCTGCTTTAGGAATAAAATATCACGTGTATCATTTGATACGCTTAAACTGCTGCGTATCCACTGCAAATGTACAAAGTATTCAAAATCTCCTTAAAGAAACTTAATATGGAGTAAAAGAAGGCAAATAACTGACCTTAAGCATATTGTACCTGGCAACATCACCGAAATTCCTCGCACCAATTTCGGTAGACATATACCTGAAAATTGTAATTGTAGAATTGATTATTATTTATAATACCAAAATTGATCTTAAAGGACGTAGAATTATCTAAAGAGAAACAACTTATTCATTGTGGAAAGAAGAAGCTGAAGATACAAACCAGCCATTAAACGGAGCACAGGGGAACTCGACGCCACCAACATCAAAAATCATGTTTGACACAGCTGGTAAACAGTACCATCTAAGGCCTAGTTCTTCAAACCAGGGGTACCTTCAAAAAATGAATACATATGTTTGTTAGAAGCAAATGTTAAAACATGCGTTTATTTTATTATCATTCTTTTTAAACGAGTATCGGGATCAATAACAACCAATATCTATACAATTATATATTTAAGTTAACGTTGATAGAATGAAATGTTAGGCTCCAAGATCTTCGTAAATAGCCTTGACTATCATGTTGAGGTACTTGACTTCATACTGTCTTTATGTATAAAAGACTCAGTATACTACATATTGAAAGGAGTAACTGCTATCATCACTTCATCTATATAGCACAATTAAAAGTCAATAGAATAAAGTTAAAGGCATTTGACATGCATAAGTACAGGGAATCCAAAAATAACTTAGGCCAAATTGATCAGAGTATGCGCACAAGAATGGAATTGGAAACTGCTCACGTGACAGGGGCGGATTCAGACGGTGGCACCGGTGGCACGTGCCACGGTCAGATTTCCAAATTTAAATTTTTGGAAAATGATGGACTGTTCTAAGTATCCCGATATGGTCCTTGCTGTACACTTCCTCTTCGCTCCAGTGTCTATCTACCACGCCCCCTCTCCGCTGTTAATTTAGTAGTACGCCATGTTGGATTTGCTTATTGTTTGCCTTTTGTTAACCACAGAATAATTGGCTCTACCAAATATGGACAGTAACAATCGTGCCACACTAGATATAAATAGAAGTATGCGCGCACATTTTTAAACAATATGTTTTGAGACCAAATGGCTGTGCTTTTGTTCTTGTGCCACGGTCGAGGCTCTGTATGCTTCTGTTGAGACCCGAGAAATGTGTATTGAAATCAATTGCATCGAGACTCCGTATGTTCTTTCATTAAGTGGCACCGTGGCACAAATATTTAAAAAATGTGCTGTCGAGTATGAACTTGCTTAGGTGATTCCCAGGGTGATTCCGGTGATTGCTGGGTAAACAAACAAAACGTGTTCGGTCTGCAGGAAACTGGCGATTCAGCACGCAAGAATTTTATTGAGTTCGAATTTGAGTTTATTGCAAAGATTACCTTTGCTTTGGCAATGGATATTCAAAGAATAGTTGAAAAATCTATTAAATCGCGAGTCCATGCAGCTTTGAAGGAACTTTTCGTGGACGAGCTGTCGAAGCTTCGCAAAAGTATGCCTAGTTTATTTGTCAATAATTTGATCTGGCTACAGATAAAGATAATTTTATCTGTCACTTGTAAGAACTAGCCATTATTTATAAATTTTTAAATGTATATTATTTTAGTGCGTCCAGTGGCAAGCCTACATCAGTTTGCATCTTTATTTGTTTGCAAGTTGAAAACAGGAGCGGTGACAGCTTTGCGCTAAATGTAACTATGTTTTCAGTATAAAAGCTATACCCGTCTCTGTATGCTCAGACTGGGCGTTTCCGAAAGACCAGAGGGCGTGGTCACCTAACACTATTCTTGTGCCACGGTCATGATTTTTTCTGCGTCCGCCCCTGCGTGAAACCACTGCGCGCTGCTCTAGGATTACACCGATTTGCAGAAAGACGGAAACTGTTCACGTGTTTTTCTCTGTGTGAAATTTGATTGGTCAACCGCTCGTGGTCGAGTGGCCGTAAGCCACTTTTACCTGTGTCAAATGCCTTTAATGGGGAATAAGGTTGTGGTTTAGAGTGGCCTAAGGAGGGAAGGAGGACAATGTTCTTAACAATGGACAAGTGTCAATGTACTTATTCGCAGTAATTTTTAACGCAATCAAACTTTCATCTCGTGCTCTGAGTCCATCAGACAGTGCTTGAAATGTGCCGTCAGCATGTTTTGCCGATGACAATAATAATTTCCCCGAAGAGAAAGCGATAATTGAACACCGAAAATAATTATGCATAAATAACAGGTAAGAATTTATGAAAAGTTCGTTTCATCGAATGTTATTATGATGAAGGGACACAAAATTTGGCTCGTAATATATAATTCGTTATATCCGGGATTCGTTATACCGAGAGAATTTGCAAGGAGTTTGTTGGGCAGAATCCTAGGGACCGGACATTAAGTTCGTTATACCCGGGATTCGTTATATTGGGATTCTACTTTGTACTTACTTTGGATGCGTGATCTGCACCTCCATGATAAGATCAGGAGGAATGACAAACAATTCAGGTTCTTGTCCACTGGCTTGTAGAACAAGGGGCAGAACATCAAATGGTCCTCCTTCTCCTTTCCATCCCAAAGACTCGCATATCTACATAAATCGATTATGGTTTTGATAATAATGATGATCATGGAAAGGCTAGCCTGCGCGTAGACTCGACTGGTTTTCCCAGAGATTAAGAATTTAACTGAATGGAAAACTTTTTAGGTTGTTTTACTGGAAGGGAATGACGACCTGCTTTGGAAAATGAAGAGAGTCATATCTTCGTTCCATCCAGATCAAACAGTCTGAGAGTTGATGTACATAAAAATCAAAAGATCGCTATTGCATAGACAGAAGAAGTTCATTGTTACCATTGGACTCCATTTGTAATACACTCTTTTTATAAGAACAATTTTATAAGAACACGAGCCTCAAATTGGTCAAAAGTTAAGAACAAATTAAGAACAAGCTGAGGCTGAGCTTCTGCAAAATGCAATTTTGAACAACGCTCTTTCTCAAAATTGAGGATTTTTAGCGATATGTGGATGCTTTTTCGGTGAATATTCAAATTTGTCAGCAAATTAAGGCTGTCTCACTCACTTTGTTGGCAAATGAGGCCTGTACACCACCCTAGAGCGAAAAAGCTAGCACTCGCACTGCTTACACCCTATTAGATTAAGAACAAATTAAGAACAATCCAGTCTCAGATTTTCGAAAAAATTAAGAACAGTCAGCCTGAACTTAAATTTACTGATTCTTACAAAAACGAGTGTAGTGTAGAAGAGTGTCAAAAAAAAGGGTCCAAGCAGATGGCGCTGATTGGACATTCTTAACAGTAAGGCCCAGGTCAAACTTCGCTCTCAATGAAACATATGAAATTACTGTTACATTACTTCTAATAAACAATGATGAAAAAAATTGGGACGTTCAATTTATGCTACCTTCTTTTTACCCTGAATACTAGACTCACTCTCAATTTTTTTAAATGTAATCCTATAGCCTTAGATAATATCACATTTTTCAAAGGAACTTTTATCTTTAAAAATATTATAGAGTGAGTATCGTATCTAAGGTATCTTCTTTTTAACGACCACCTTTATTTAACTATCCCACCTTTAGCAAATATGCATTTAACTGACGCCTAGGGCGTTAAACAGGGAATTTGCAGTAATCAAATAAAACAAATGAATCTATGCAGAAATAATCTACCTGGGTCATTTGAACACTAAATGGATCTCCAACAACTGTACCATCAGGCTGTTTGTAGCCAGCATATTTGATAAACTGTGAATTCCAAATTCTGAAATCTTTCATGTTCTCCCTCCTTTGTGGAAAAATTGTAATGGCAGATCTACAAGAAATTAAAAGAATTAGAAAAAACAAGAATTCAAACATGACGCGCAGCCAGCTAACTTGCTTTGTGGTCTGAACCTCCTTACAGTATGAACAGCTTGCACTGACGTTTACACCGCATCTTGCTAAGTTAGAAAACAAGCAAGAGAGTTGTTCATATATCTTATGGTAAAATTAAAGATGTTCCTAGGAAGACGATGTTGCGCTTTGAACCAAGAATCTTTTGCCTTCGGGAGTGCTGTTTTCCATAATTAAAGAACATGTTAGAGAGCGAATTAGAAGAAGGAGAAAGAATGCAAAGGGCTCCCATCCACACATTGACAAAGTGAACTTGGTGATATTTATTTGACAGAGAATGGATGAGAGACTAATACTTTTGTGCTTTGGGGTCGCTGCTGACTTTTAAGTTGCTCTCAAATCCAACAGTTATCTCGAGAAGATAGAGAATGCTATTGTTAACAATTAAGACAAGATCAGGGCTCAATGAATCTCCTGTAATTAATGTTGGTGAAGAGAAAGTTGGCAGATCGATGTATAGAGAACATTGTGGTAAAGATGAAAATGCTTTAATACAACCGAGTTATGCCTCCAAGTTTATCTGCCGTGTTCAAGGTAGTACTTACTGCTTGAAACAATATGTTGCAATGTTTCACCTTGTAGGCAGAAAGAGCAAGCAGATGTTTGGGATAATGACCATTTATGAACGTTTTTCCTTGTTGCGAGTATATTATTCAGGTATTTGATAGAAAAGTTGAAAATATTTCGTGGCATATTTTGGTGGACAACCGACCAGAGGGAGCTAGTGTAATAGAGGGTAATAGTGCTAGTTTGAATTTTGTTTGTTTTGCATCCTGTAACCTTAGTAATTTTATCACCAATCGCACATTCTGTTGTTTATAATTCCTTTTGTTTTCTAATTGCACCTTTAGGTTTATTAAGTATTTCTCATGGGATTTTTAGTATCATTATTCAGTTTATGTAATTAATCTTGGGACTAATATATTTTGTATTCACTATTATTATGTAAATTTACGTAGCTATGTAGCATTACAATAAGTTCTTGTTTAGTTATATTTTGGGCGTGTTACATATAGAGTTAGTTTTTGAGTTCGTTGGAGTTGGAGTTGAAGTTGGAAATGGAATTCGGTTAAGAGCGATTAGGTTAAGTTTTGATATTTTGTATATTTAGGTTCTCGACGCTTTATAAATGTGGCAAGATGCTTGTGAAAGATCTTGTCGACATGAAGTATGGATTTATAGAATACGTATTTGGATTTATGGAATCGCGCGTGATGATTTATTGATTGTGCATTACTATAGTATAGTTTGAATGGACAGTGCTTGTGAAAGACTGCGCCTGTTATTGAGAGAACGATCGACGTTACGGGTCAACCGTAGAGAAACGATCGATGTTATGGGTCAACCGTAGAGAAACATTGTGAAGTTTATAACCTTTCGCGGAAAGATCACATGATCGGAAGATGGACGTCTGAAGCATTATTTATTTGTCTCTTTGTCTCAATTCTCATTGAAGGACTAGTTTATATCGACGGTAACGATAGGGTGGATGTATTCATTTTGATAAAAATAACCCTATTACACTAGTGCGAGGGCTTGAGAATCGGAGAATTGATGAAATTATTAAACCCTGGGACTTTAGTTCGTGGTGGATTCTTTCTTCATGTTCATTTTGGACAGCCTTGAGAACCTCCTTAAAGTTTCTATATTGGTCATATTGAATGTTTGTATGGTGGCTGGTTTCTTTCCATAGAGAAGCTATATCGACATTAGGAAAGGATTTAAGTGAATTTCTTATGGTAGTTTGACATTGAATGAATTTGGTGGAAGGAAGGTCGAGGCTGGTGCCATATTTTGGTTTGCGTAATATAAGAGAGCTTAGGGTTGCACTGATTGGTAACTCTAGCCATTGTCTGATATATTTGGTGACAATACTATCAAGATTCTCCACCACCCAAGTTTTGCTAAGATCTGCAATGGTGTAGCCTGCGTGCAGACTCTGTTGACAAAATTAAATAGGAGAAAAAGTAGAGTCTGCGAAGCTGAGTCGATGCTTGTGAAAGATCTTGTCGCCTTCATTTTGCTCTTAGTCGTTTTGAGATATTTATAGGAGATATATCAGTTTTGAAAGACCTCTGGGATAGTTCTTGAGAAAGATTATGCCATTTATGCCCATGTCACGCGTTAACTATTATGCCATTGTTCGCATGCAAGATATGTAGCTGCCGGGGCGATTTCATTGAAAGAAAAGGAAAGATTTAGCCGATTTGCTTCGCACCATTTATTGGCCATCCTCTGTCTTTTGAAAGGTCCTGAGAATTATTAGTAACATTTTACAGAGTGGAGGAGGAGGTGACGAGTGAAGAAGATGATGATGAAAATGTTCGCATTCGCCTGCGGGGGAGGTTACATACAGGGGTGCAAAGCAGGACCTTTCCAGGTTGATTAGTGACCGAGATTCATCGAGAAAAGCGTTGGCTTCTAGGCAGATTGACTGAGTAAAATGAAGTACAGCTTTTACCTGCTTAGGAAAACAAGGTACTTTTTTACTCCTTACCATGGGCTCGTACCTACCAATCGTTGGATCTTCTTTCGTAGAAAGCTTTCACAAAATATTACCACTAGCCATGTAGAAGTCAAGCGTATCAAGACTCCAAGTCTCACTAAATTGCTGCTGTTTGGTACAAGTGGTTTGGTTTTTGGCTGGGTTTCCTATGCAGCTGCGTTCGAGCCAAGAAAACTTAGAGTGGCAAGAGTAAAGTTGGGAAGCTTTGTGCGGCTTCTAAAATGTTTCCAGATAGGCATGTCAATTTCTGTTGATTATTGGTGGAACCTCTGGGGCCTTGATCCAGATTCAGACGAGTACAAGAGTGCAATAAAGGCCTGTCATCAACGTGCTGCAGACAACATAGTGGCTGGCGCTTTGTTGAATGGAGGTACTTTTGTGAAGCTTGGACAGGGTTTAGCAGCTTTAAATCATATACTTCCTGTTGAGTATGTAAAAACTCTGCAGGTTCTGCAAGATAAAGCACTCACCAGAAGATACCATGAAATTGAAAAACTGTTCTTGGAAGATTTTGGAGTCTCCCCTGACAAAATGTTCAGGCATTTTGAGAGTGAACCGATTGCTGCAGCAAGTCTGGCACAAGTGCACAAAGCAGTTACTCATGAAGGAGAGGAGGTAGCCGTAAAAGTACAGTACATTGATCTACAAGATAGATTTGATGGAGACATTTGGTCACTGGAAATCCTTCTAGGTTTGATAGGAAAGATGCATGTTAACTTTGATTTTGCATGGGTGCTAGATCAAATGAAAGATAGACTTTTGAAAGAGCTTGACTTTGAAAATGAAGCTGAAAATGGAAAGCGTTGCTTTGAGGAGTTGTCTCATCTTAAATTTGTTCATGTTCCCAAAGTTTTACCAGAATATAGTAGTAAGAGGGTTTTAACAACTGAATTTATCCATGGATGCAAGACAAATGATGTAAGGTCTATCAAAGAGATGGGGTTAAACCTTGCAGATGTTGACAGGAAGCTCATTCAAGCATTTGGGCAACAAATTTTCATCACTGGGTTTTTACATGGTGATCCTCATCCTGCAAATGTACTTGTACGCAAAGTCAATCATGAGGCCCAGATAGTTATTCTGGATCATGGACTATATGAGCACTTGCCTACAAAAGTGAGACATTCACTTTGCAATTTTTGGAAATCAATTGTTTTGGGAAATAAAGAAAAAATGAAACAGTACAGTTTAGAACTTGGTGTAGAGGACTATGATACATTTTCACAGATTCTTTTTCAAAGGGTAATACATGATGGAAAAGGTATGATGTTTAAGTCCAAAATATCTCAAGAAGATATTAAAAAGCTGGCTGCTATGGCTAAAGACCATTTTGATAAGGTAATGAAAATACTTCGCAGTATACCTGACACAATGTTACTGGTTTTTCGAAACCTGAATACTGTCAGAGCCATCAATCAAGATCTTGGTGAGCCAGTAGATCGCTACAGCTTGTTGTGTGATTGTGCAATAGCTGGTCTTATTCATCACAATCAGAAGTTGACTTTTATACAGAAGTTGAAAATATATGGAGAGCAGTGTTGGTTGAGAGCATGTCTTAAATACTATGAACTTGGACAAAATTTTACAGAATTCTATATCAAAATGCTTCAGTTCTGTGGCTATGCTCCAAAAGATTTTGACATAACCAAATTTACACATGAAGTTGAAGAAGAAGTGAGTGTATTGCTGTAAGAATTATCTTATAATTAAATTAAAATCTCTTGTTGCAATACTAGAAAATGATCAGTCATATTGGATTCTCGTTGTCGTATTGCTTTGTTCCTGAATATCTTTTGTATTATTACTCATTGCAAGATTCACAGAATCCGGCAGACAGCTTATCCTGTGGTTCTTCCTTCTTACACATTATATGTAGGCCGTTGCTCATTTTCTTATATACTGAGTGGTTGATAAGTTTATGGTGTCTTCAAATTATCAGATCTAAATTTATCAAATGTGTTAATTGTTATCACAAAATCATTACAAAATTCACATAATACCAAGAAAATAAGAAAAGGTGGCAGGGTACAACCCATGCAAAAGTAGCAATTATGATATGTTTAAATGACAAATTATTCCATAAAGTAACTAGAGAGTACCAGTGATTCTGACAGTTTTACTTGAAAAGTATTTTTGTCAAGCTAAAGATGATTGAGAAAGTCAATTTTTTAGTGCCAGTAAATTAATTGATAATGAATATAGTTTTCTTATTCTAGTTTTTTATGCCTCCTACTTCAAATTCTTTCACTCCAGGAAGGACATGTGTGATCCAAAGCATCACAGATTATTTTATGATTATTTAGATTTTGAATTAGTTTTGGCAGATTGGAGGCAGATCATTAGGTGCCATTAGTTTCAAACACATGATGATTTATGAATCACTTTATGAGGTATCTCTTCTTGATATTTTGATTTTAAAAATGTCATATGCTTTTTCTTGGCAACCAAACAAACAAACAAGTTACGTGCCACAAAGCTAGTAAGTAAAAGCAAATACAATTCATACGGCATTCGACTAAAAGCATTAGACTTACCTTCACTTGAGTACAGAAAAAATGCGGAGATATGATATTAACGTTTAAGCTGTTAAATGTTTTTTGTGGATACTGATCAATCCCTGCTCTTCGAGTTGAAGCGGAATAACACAAGAGGGCAAATTTGCAGAACATTTTTCACACAAAGAGTTGTTAATGACTGGAACTATTTAACGACTGAAGTCATCAACTCTTCGACAGTGCAACAATTCGAACAAACATACGATCGGCTAAAATATGCGGAAAAATTTAAATACACTTAGATACAGCCTAACAGATCATAACAGGGATTTATAGGTCCCCCCTGACCTTTCTACTACCTCAACTCTTTATATTATTATATTAGGTCTTCAAACAATTTAAGTTGCCCAAAAAATCTAAGAAAATATTACGATGTAAATCTTCAATGTAGAAAATAGCAGATGATGCAAGCTTTTGTAAAGCAGAAATACAGTTTTGCAAAGGGCAAAGTTACTGAATTGCAATCACGTTTTAGCAAGCCTGGGAAAAGAAATTGGGCGTATCAGTGATTGGCAGAGCCATCACCTCTATATAGGGATTATTCATAAAATATTCATTTCTTTGAAAAGAATGGTTAAAAGGTGGAAAGAAAGCACTTTAGAAAGATCCGTTTCCTAGCGACAAGCTGCTACAACTCTATTGTCAGAGTTTTCCAATGGAAAGGATACCCTGTTCCCCATACGCTGTTCCCCCATGATCTCCATTTGCTAAACCTGTTTCTATTCAATTTTCTAACTAAACCGCATTGCTGAAAACAGTTTGCAGCAATGTAGTTAAAACCTAGCTTTTATTTGATTGGTTAAAACTAAATGGCAATCAAACTACGACTTCTATACCGACGTGTTGCAAGTTTGCAAGTTGAGTACCATTGAAAAACTAAGACCAAGAATATTTTTGCATCTTGGAATGATCTCAAGCTGAATAATCTCTTGTAGATAAACTAGATTGAAACGTTGTCATTTTGACTAAATTGATGCTTACCTTATGTTTCCCTTGTTTGTAGCAAATTTCATGTGCTTGCAGATCATATCGAACATCCCACGTGCAGTTGTGACGTCACGAGCATCAAATACCTTTGATTGAAATTTGAGATCTATCATTTTATAGAAAACGGCACCACCAGATCTTTGAAATTTGAAATTTATTTTGAAAGCTGTGTCTAAATGTATAAATTTCAGTTACATACAAGTCTTTTTAAACTGCTGATGAAATACTGACATTGATTCAACTGTTCTACGATTTGATTGGTTTAGATAAAGCTTCTTGTACGTTGATTGGTTTAAACCAAGCTCCACATTTCTTAAAGCATATTTTTTTCTACGGACCTCAGGCCAACGTCATTATATCATCTACTAAAGCAGGCTGCGAAAAAGAAGATTGAAGAAGAAAAAGAGAGGCTAACTAAAAAATGGCGCGGAATGCTAAACAATCATAAAATTGATATATTTTCTTAGATATTTTCATATATTACAGATTTAATATAGCCCTTTTCCAGTAATAGGTGCATTAATTAGAACTATTTTGTGAGAACTTTCATTGATTCTCCTTGTTCAAGGCTCGGGTCATAAACAGAAAGATACCAAGAGGTACGAGAGAAAATGCGATATATTAGCTTCTTTTCATTCTTTGCAACAAAGTCTGAAGTAGGATTGACTTTAACTCAATCACATTGAAATTAATTAATACACACCCTGTCAAAGAAGATCATTAGTCAACGTCATGAGTTCGTAATATAGTTAAGACTCTGAATTTATTAGACGAAAGTTTTTACAATTTAAGGATCAATAACAAAATCTCAAGGACAAGGAATGTTTGGGCATGAAGTCCTCCCCACTTCTTTGATGATTAGATCGAAAATTTTTAGTTGGTCGCAAAATTTTGCCTTAATGTACGTAAAGTAGGGCACGGCTTTCTTCACTTTTGTGTTGTTAAATTTATTAGCAGTTTGAGTAAAACCCAATCCCTAGTTACGCAATCGAGGTATGCCATTGAAAATATACAGATACATACATACCTGCAACTTGTTCCATTGAATTCTACCAATACATCTGGCAGCATTGCGCCATGCATTTTTAGCGCCAAAAATCAGCTCTTTCAGTTCTAGCTCATAGGTACCACGCTCTTCAATCTCCTTCATTGCGGCAGATATGCGGCTGGCCTCATCAGCAGTATCATTTCTTAGAAAGATCAATTAAATGTATAAAGCAGTATATTGGGGTAACTTGCTGGTGATGTCGCTGAACCTCCTTTTATAAACTCGTGTCAACTCGTTATAGCGTCGTGACACTGCAAACTACTCTGACGATTTTCAAAGAATGGCAACTGTAATCCAACGTTTTATTCAAATCATTAAAGGCTATATAAACGCTCGCTGTTTGCGTGATTTATGTATTGCGATAGTTCATGAGTGCTATGTTTAGAATAAACGAAATAACGAAGTGTCTTCATGTTTTCGAACCTGCGTTGCATGAGGTAGACTTTGCCTATGTATGCCAGGAAGTTATATTACCAAGTTTCAGGGCCGGATTTAGCAGCATCATTTTTAGAAAAATCAGTTCCATATAAAGCTGTATATGGGGGTCGTTAAGACTTTGATATTGGAGGGGCCCAAAATATTTTTTGCAACATGTAGATATGACTATATCAAAAATAACGTATAGAGGTAATGCACATAAATGTAAAAAACAACACAGTCATAGATAAGAGGGTTAAGAGGCAACATGTGCACATTTTAAGACTCAGTACGAGCTGCAAACGTTTTGATTTGGGGACCCTCTAGAATATTGAGGGGGCCCAGGCCCCTTCCCTCCTCTTGCTACCTCCCTGAAGCAGAATATTGGAGTTACCAAGTTCCAGGGCCGGATTAAGTACAAAGAGACCCTGAACTAGTTCAGGGATGAGGCCCATGTACTTGGGCTATGAAGAAGATAGGACTTGCAAGCATATGTTTTCTGATAAAAAATTACCGTCAATTTCAGCAAATTAAAAAAAGATCAGGGCTAAGATTCGGTGAATGTCTTTTTTGAAATAATTAAACAGTCAAACAAACAGGAATGTCTGAGCATTTTTTTAGAAATTTTCACTACTGGGGAAAATTTGCCAAAAGGAAATAACCCAAAGAGAAATAACCAAAAGAAAACACATGGGTGTATACCGCTGCGGTGAGGCGCTTATTTGAAACAATAGAAAAGAAACAAGCACAGCTAGGGGAAAAAAATAAAAAACAGCGTAATGCCAACCTCAGCCAGTTTCCACTGGACGCTGTCACACAATCTAAAACCGTACACACAATCCAGCTACCCTGGGTACCAAAGCAACATAATTTCGAGCAATTGGTCCTACAATCAGAACATAAATAAAATCAGAAGCGAGAGCAGCCGGAGGAACATCTATCTGCAAAGATGGGTTAGCCCAGAGCCACTTTTCATTCTTCTCAGGAAGACACTCTTCCTCTTCCCACTCCTGTCTTCTATTTCTATGCTCGAATTTATGTGACTTTGATACCCAGGGTAGAATCCTCCAGTTTGCTATTTGACTAGTGTGGCTAAATAAAAGGAGCACATATCCATATAGATAAAATATATTATTTATAGGTGAAGCTATAGTAAAAATATATATAGAAATTATTTTGGTTGCACAAAACTAAAAAATGGCTTTGAAAAAGCAAACATTTTGCGTCATACTTGAGCTTTTCGTCTGACACTCTTTATACCCAGTTTTTACCTCAGGATTACATTGATAACATTTCTAATATGTTTTTAATATGTTTTCATTCTTAGTCATTTGTGATCAACTTTGGTTGCATTATGGAGGAATATCTTCGAAAATAGGACAGCTAATGGTAGCATAATAGATTCAGATTGAAAAATTTAAAGGTTGCATTACACTGTCATCTTCAGGTACAATTTGCTTTACATTTCTTCTGTGATGGCAAACAACGAGCAAATGTTCTAGTGTAAACCAAGTGCGGGATTTCAATTGGATCACTGATCCGATGATCACTGATCCGATGATCACTGATCCGATGATCACTGATCCGATGATCACTGATCCGATGATCACTGATCCGATGATCACTGATCCGATGATCACTGATCCAATGATCACTGATCCGATGATCCAATCACTGTTCAGCCTTTCCTTCAAGTTTTTCAAAAGGGCCGATTATTTCCCGTTTGGCGCACTTTTGTTACAGTGTTTTTATCTCATGATCTCGCGCATTTTCTTTCAAATTGCTGCAAATGTTTCTGTATTCATCTTCATGAACCATGGTTTAAGGCACACCATTAAAGAATAACAGCTGCGGCCTTTTCTTATCATCGTTACTCGAAACGTTATCTATTTTGGCGTCAAAACTCTCTTGAACAGGAATGGCCTAGTTTTCGGGTGTTGTTTTTGCAAGCTGAACAAGGTGCCACTTTCGGCCTCTTTGAAAAACTTGAAGGAAGGGTTGAACAATTTGATCTGCGACCAAATTGAAATTCCGCAAGATAGAAGAATAAAGGTTTTAAACGAACAATTACGAGCAGCTACAAGCACTTCAACGCGATTACACATGATATTCTCTCGTTTTTTGTCATCACAGATAGACAGGACATATAGCCTGACAATCTGACATTCAAGCTAATGTTTGCTTTCTCAACGGATTCTGGTAGTAGAAAGTTCAGGCTTTCATAATCTGCCAGGTGACTTTTTTGAAAATGCCTGGATGTCACGTGACTGATTACGTCATTTAACGGTAAAAAGTCAGACAAAATCATCGCTAGCTCCTCACTAAAGGGTTATTTTTAACGCAACTTACATATATTGACTCGTCTCATTGCAAGCTTTCAAATGATATATATTTAAGCCGACATAAGTATTTTTATTATGACGTCATAACAAATTTTGCATGACGTCATCAAATATTTTATTGTCATAAAATGATACGTTAGCATAATTTTGTTTTAATATGACGCTGGCTGTCAGCAAAAGCTTTTCTTCCATATGTTTTTCAATCAAAATAATTAGTATTTAGTTGATTTAAATTGAATTTGTGCCAACCGCAATAGCCAAAGTTTAAATAAAGAAGTCGTTACTATCTGACGAGTGAGTCACTTCTTCCTCCGAAGATGCAAAGTCTTGCTCCATATTTGAACCGGGCAATGATTTCTCTGCATCCGCATTTGAATGTTACACTAAATCGGAAGAATGTCTTGGCAATATAGGCTATCCAAGATGTCCTACCGATGTGCTGAAGGTGCATGACTTTTTTCAATAAGGCTATCTTCTGCTGCGAAATAAGGCCATCTCATAAATAAAATACTCCATCTGCCATTTTTCTGATGGTGGATTTATATATGGATCTGGCTCCTTACACATGAAATTAAGAAGAACAGCTTTATCTCCTTGTCACAGTACACCTTCAGGAGTTGCAAGACTAGAGTTATGGTTTTGATGGGATATGAAAATGCCTTTTCGATAGAGGCAGCCTTGCCAATCACGAAAGCTTGGTGGTCTTCGTTCATTATTGAGACTGCTTTCGCTGTTTTCTTGGATCTTTGTGCCCCAGAATGCAGCTTAAGTTTCTGACTATACTTTCGTTTCTAGCAACAACCTACCATTCGAGCAAAATAGCTCATTTCTTTGAAATATTTCTTCCATGTTAGCGCTAGTGTCATCAGTCCGTGAGAACATTTTGTAAAAACGCCACCCGAAAACGCCAGATGGAGATTTGATGAGACGGCCTGAGTTCGTAGCATCAAACCCAAGGAAACATTCAGTGTTTGGTTCAAGAAGTGGAAGTGTTTGATGAAAAAAAGAGAATCTTATGAGACTTGCTCCCGAATTCTTTCGAAGCGCTGAGGGTCACAGGCCCCTGACAATTCAATTTATCGTAGCTTAAGGAGGAGAAGCATCGGAGACTTCAAAAAGCAAGTAGAAGTCCCTCCAAGATGTAACCACAAAAAGGCGGAAACCAGAATATTTTGCATGGTAACTCGAAAGATGCAAAAGTAGTTGCTGTTGCAAAAGATACTGATTTATGTGTGCTGCTTGTTCATGCAACACAGAAGTGCAAACCCACAAATTAGTGGTTTATGTGCATAAATAACAAACAAATCGTCAAGATTTGAGGCATCGCTGAAACTTTTGGTTCCAAAATTTGCTGTATTTTATCACAGATTAATGGAATTGTGGGCTGAGACAACTGCATATAAGCACAACATTAATAAGGTTACTGTGAAAAAAGCTAACGAGGAACCAGAAACAAGTCATCATTAAAAGTCTCTCCAAAGGAGTTATCGCAAAAGCAAAGACATTCGCGAAACAGCAGAATATAGTGGAACAACATATAAAAGCTATTTAGGGACAAAGATATTTATCAAATCTGAAAAAATCATCTGCAGCAGTTCCAGCAGATCCATAATCACTCAATCAGAAAAGAATTAAATTGTATCAACTTAACAAGGTTATTTTGGCTACACTGTTTAGGTGCAACTACTGCAAGACATGTCCCAAAAGCCTGCTGTTGAAATTTGGACGACATACTCGACCGTCTAAATGGTTCACAGGAAAACAACTTCCTCATCTCCGAGAGCTTCCTTTACATCACAAGAATATGAAGGTGACGCAGGAGATGAATTTACCCATTAAGAAAATCATACACTTTCATACCCAGCGCTAAAGACCTATAGTACGAAGACATATTGGACAACCTATAATAGTGCGAAGATATTTTCCGACTTAGCAACAGTCAAATGCAGATGCAGAGAAATAATTGTCCGGTTCAGAGTGGGAGCAAGACTTTGCGACTTCGGAGGAAGAAGTGACTCACTCGTCAGATAGTGACTACTACCTGTTTCGAACTTTGGCTATTGCGGTGGGCACAAATTCAATTTAAATGAACTAAATACTAATATTTTAATTGAAAAACATTTGGAAGAAAAGCTTTTGCTGACAGCCAGCGTCATATTAAAACAAAATTATGCTAACGTATCATTTTATGACAATAAAATATTTGATGACGTCATGCAAAATTTGTTATGACGTCATAATGAAAATACTTATGTCGGCAAATCTTGCTTAAATATATATCATTTGAAAGCTTGCAATGAGACGAGTCAATATATGTAAGTTGCGTTAAAAAATAACCCTTTAGTGAGGAGCTAGCGATGATTTTGTCTGACTTTTTACCGTTAAATGACATCATCAGTCACGTGACATCCAGGCATTTTCAAAAAAGTCACCTGGCAGATTATGAAAGCCTGAACTTTCTACTACCAGAATCCGTTGAGAAAGTAAACATTAGCTTGAATGTCAGATTGTCAGGCTATATGTCCTGTCTAAGAAGAAATGTGAAGCAAATTGTACCTGAAGATGATAGTGTAATGCGGCATTAAAAGAGGATTCGGGGAGCTATATAAGTGAAGCACAGCCCCCAACCTTTTTTCGAACCAATTCTCTCCAAAATAAGTCTCTGGTACCCAGTATCTATGTGTTTACCTTTAGAATTTTGAGGCAAGAAAGTTCATTTTTTCACTTGAGGGAATATAGTGATGGGACTTTAAAGGCCCTTGCGAAACTAGCATTCATTGCGGTAGCTGTTTTCTTACGCGAGGAGAAATAGATTGTATTTGGTATTTTAGTGAGTGCGATATTAAGCCGGCTTTGAAAATATATTAGCATGCAGGTTGCGCAAGAGCCTTTGAGATTTTCTGGAAGAGACATGGGAAATCCTTAAGGTTTTCATTGAATTCTGCAATTCTTCATTATCAACATCCATAGAACATTCAATTTTCAAGATAGTCAAGCCTCCTTTCCCTATCACCCTAAGTCTTAACGCTCATTATTATCAATCCCGTCAGTTAAACAGTCATCATTGCAATGCTCTGGCGACTGCGAAGCTAAGGTGCAAATATAGTTCTAATATAAGATGGAAATTTAGCTTACTTTTTAATTGACTTGAAGTAATCTTTTAGCAACTGTACTGCCTCTTTTGCTATTTCCTCTTTGGGGCGCATTTTTCCATATGGACGAAGTGTTGGTTGCATCATAGATCCAAGACATGATTTCTTTGTGCAGTGAACCCCCTGTGTACACGTGGAGAAAGACAGTGTTGTTTATAGATATCAAAAATGAAAAAGTAAATTGAAGTTGTTAATAACCAGTCAAATAAACAAGTTCTATAATACCTTACCTATGGCAAGAAAGGCTACAAAAGGCTTTCGCTGATGTCAAGATGCCAATAATTATTAAAAAAGTGTTTGGTGTGCAGTGGCGTAATGTAACAGTTCGTGGCCCTTAAAATGCTTTGTTCGGGGGCCCTTGCGCAATGATATATTTACAAAATCCGGGCAAAAATAAGAAAAAACCAGCAAAAAAGTACTTGATGTGATCAAGCCGCAGGAATTTCAATTTCTGATAAGTACTGAAAGAAGCCTTGAGAGACACAATTTTACGATTGAATACAGTGAACTACGCCGATCAGTTTGATGAAGTACTTGAAAGGAAGTTTAAGAACTCAAAATCATAAAAAAATTTAACGGAGATTAGAGAACTGGACGTTAAAATACAAACAGAGATGTGAAATTTGAAGCTAAATCGGAATCTGGTAGAAGAAATAAAACAAAGAAGGGCTTACGCAGCTAAAATACAGAAGCTGAAAGGAAATTCGGTGCCAAGAAAAGGGTAGCTGGGTATGGGGGTTCGGTGGAAATTCAAAGGGAAATTTTTACACCCCTCCAGAAGGATAAATTGAAGAGATTTCATGATGATGTAGATTCTCAATTTAAAGCATTGTTGGTTTTAGGAGTCGCATGAGAGCATTGTTCAGTAGCTGTTGTTCCAGAACTTATGAGTAAAATGCCCAGAGATGTAGCAATCAATATTCGACGTTCGAAGGATGTAAATCATGAATGGATATGGATGATAGGAGAGTTTCTTGAAAAAATGTGGCAAGAATTTGTAATCGCAAGTGGGTCACGTGATCAGCCAGCCAGGCATTGAAAGGAAAAGGGACGGCAGAGTGTTGTTAGTTGGTAGTACTTCATGTGTTTACTGTCTAGGAGAACATCAAAGCATATGATCAAAGTGAAGAGTGCAACCAAGTCGAGGATCCGGACAAAAGAAGGAATATTTTTCGGAAATACAATAGATTCTTCAAACAAACATAATTAATCCATTCAATAGTTACGTCTTCTTTTAATAGCATATACTATTGGCAACAGAAGGAAATTATTGCTCGAGGAAAAAGTATTATTCACATACAGCAACAACCCTATTGAGACAAGAGCTATTTTCGTGTGGGAAAAGACCTTGATTGTAATTCAGTCATCCTTCTAGAAAAGTATACCCAAACTTAATTGTTTGTTGACCCTCGATACTTGGGAAATTCCTAACAGAATAAATTCAATTAGTAGTCAAAGAAGCTGTGATTGGCAATTGATAATTACGAGAAAGAGCATGGATTACGATAATTAGGAGAACGGCGGAACAAAGAGCATGTAGAGCTCTAATCGAGATTTTCGAACCCGGAAAAGAAACCGTAAATATCGAAGAAAGGGAAGCGAAAAAAGGGAAAAGAGACCCCATCAACACAAGTTTGAGGATCCAGGACGAAGTGGAGAAAAGAATTTTGAGAATCGGTCGAGCGGTTTTGGCTGGTAAGCGTCTTCACCGCTGGGCGGTGCGGATCCTTTGTCTCGGGTCATTTGCATATCTGAATTTTTGTTATGGTAATCGCGAAAGAACTCGCACGGTTGGGGAATTTCAAACACAATAAAGGCCCTATAACACTATCACATTCAGCTACAATTAGCTTAACATGTTTTCTGTTATCGCAGAAAACGAGAGAATGTGATAGTGTAAGTCACCGCTCCAAGCTGCTTGTATTTGCTTGTTGAGTGGAAATTCAATCCATCTTGAGAAATTACAATCCATCTTGAGGGAAAAACTTTTGATCGCTGTTCAAAAAGATTTCCATCATCTTCAAGTTTTTCAAAGGAGCCGATAATTAACATAAAATATTGCTCACGTAACGAACATTTTGGCGCGCAAGTTTGTTTTGAGTAGGATTTGAAAATGGAGGATTCCGAAGACGATTATTAAGAAAGAAGAAGGAAGGCTGCAGCGGCATTGATAATTTATTCTTTGGTCAAAAAGAAGCCTAAAAGAAAAAGGATAAGTTGCTGGGTAAAGCCTTGGCTGAAAGCAAGGGTGGCTAGTGGAAAAGGCATCTATGGAAGTTTGATAAATGAGCTGAGATTAAACGACAAACGATTTATGCGCATGAACACGGAAACTTTCGAGGTAGGTATTCTTTATATATAATGGATTTGGTAAAGCTGCTATAACCAAAAATATCCTATTCCCTTCAATATTGTTGATGAAGTAATTCTAAACATCTATCGGGCCTAGAATGTGAAAGGTAAGCCAGAGCCGTAGCTACAGTGGGGGTCTGATATCCCACCAGGAAAGAAATTTTGTTTCGAAAACAAAGAATTTTTGGTCACTTAAGGGTGTTTTGTCGGCAAAATTTGCCACCTCGACGGCATTTAAAGCATCGACCGCCCAGTTTTTCGAAAAATTTGGCCTGACACCCCCACCCCCACAGGGCAGCTAGTGACGGCCCTGAGGTGAAATAACATTTCAAGGAACTAATTTTTGTATTATTTATTGCATCAGGAACTGCTCTCCAAAGTTAGACATGACATTGAAGAACAAACCACCCATTTAAGAACGCCAATTAGTACCGAAGAGAAACTGGCAGTAACCCTACGATTTCTTGGAACTGGAGAAATCTTTGAGAGTCTCCAATATCAATTCCGGATACATCAGACTAGCATCACAAAATTCGTTCCTCTTGTATGTGACGCAATATACAACAACCTGAAAGTAGAGTACTTCCATTTTCCAACATCGGAGGCTGAATGGATCAAGCTAGCTCAAGGTGCAGAGGAAAAATGGCAATTTCCAAATGCATTTGGTGCTGCAGATGGTAAGCACATCTCCATATATCACCCTGTGAACTCTGGGGCAAACTTTTATAACTACAAGGGCTTCTACAGCATTGTGTTATTTGCCCTTGTTGATCTTGATTACAATTTTATTTTTGCTGATGTTGGATGTCAAGGGAGGATCAGTGATGGTGTCTATCGAAATTCAGTAATTTGCCGTTTATTAGCAAATAATAGTTTGAATCTACCATCACCAAGGCCACTGCCTTCGTCAGGGGACCCTGCTTGGCAACCATTTGAGTCAAATGAAGCTGTCCCTTTTGTCTTTGTTGGAGATAATGCATTTCCTCTGACAAACCATTGCTTGAAGCCATACCCAGACCATGGTTGCACAGACAAGAAAAGGATTTTCAATTATAGACTTTCTCGTTTTAGAAGGGTAACCGAGAATGCTTTTAGAATTCTTACCAGTGTTTTTAGAATTTTTTCTACGAAGATAAATCTTCAGCCAGACAAAGCTACCTCAGTTGTATTAGCATCACATTAGTGTTGCACAAGAAGACATGGAAACAAGACATCAAAATCAGCTGAAACCAACAGAGATGTATTTGCTGAACATTTATTTCTATGGACCAGGCCAGGTACCATGGCAGTGGAAATGCCTTATTTCTAATAGTTAAAAATTTGATTACTTGTCATCAGACTAGATCTTTGCAGTAAAAAAACTTACAAACAATTTTAAATAAAGAGTTGCATTATTTTAATTTTCTTTTGGTGGTACAAAACTTGTAAATGGCTTTGAAAAAAGCAAACATTTAGTAAACTTAAGCATTTCGTCTGACACTCTTCAGAGTTTAAAACGTCAGAACATAGATCGAAAACTCTACGCTAGGATATATATATACCCAGTTGTGGATCGAAATAGGCCAATCAGAAAACACGGGCTGTATAGGTTGACCAATCACTGCCGCTTGCCTATTGAGAATGTTACCAATGGAGTCCTAAGGTGAAAACGAACTCCTTTTGTCTACACAGTAGCGGGTTTTTCGTGCTTATGTAGATAGATTCCAAAACTGCTAGGTGGAACGACGATCGGACTTTACCAATAATCCGAAACATGTCACCATTGTAGTTTTTTGTTTTTGCACAATTTGGGTTTTCTAGTAAATGCTGACCGATAGCAGAATCGCAGGTTTTAGTTGTAATTTTAGATTTGCAAGACCGAGCTGTTCTCTTTGCGGATGGGTTTTGTTTCCATTATTAGACGGAACATGTTGTTTTATCCTATCCTCCAATCTTTGGGTGGCACGTAAATTCATAAACAACGGAACTTTTTTGTGTGACAGGACACAGTCCTTTTGAATGGACGAATGGAATTTGAATGAAGTAGTCTGGTCGAATTGTGGCTTGACCTAGAATTAAATGCTACATTAGCAAACTTTACACCATTCGAATCGAAATTTAATGAAGAATAACAAACTGAGAGCCTCATGCCGAGGTCTTTGGGCAAAAAAAAGTTATAACCGCTAGTTTGGATGGGGGATTTGTCAACAATTTGTATGACTTTCGATATTTAGCTGCGAACCCTTCTGTTGAAATACATTTTATACCTTAAACTGCATATTGTAAACGGTTCAAACTTTGCACCAATAGTTTGAAATATGTCACGCTTAATCCAGCAAAGTTTAAAAATAACACGATGACGTCGTCACCAACCCTCAAAACCCTAATATTTTTAAATAAACTTGTTAAAAAGGTTGAATTGCACCATTTATTTTGTAAAATCGCAAGATGTCGTGGTAGTATTCTTGACAATTCTTAGGTATTTGTGCGATTAAACTGTTCGAAAAACGTTGGAAATTATTCTTAAAAGATCGGGGAATATTTTGATGCATTAATATTGTGCATTGGCTACGGTTTTGTGTTTGCTTATCGATTTTGAAAATTCGACAGGAGCCGTACATATTTGACATGAGCCGTACAATTTGCATGAGCCGTACAGCTCTGGCCCAACATCGCTCAATATTTTTGAAGAACAGGGTCCAAAACTTCAGAAAGCCACTTAGCCAGTTCGTGTTGTGCTGAGCCAATCATAGACCAAATGGGTCTAAGTGGGACATTCGGCTTGTGTATTTTAGGGAGGCCATACATTTGTGGACGTTGTGAACCTGTGGGTCTTATCCTATCATAAACTTCGTTGGTCAACACTTTTGAGTTAACCAGCTTCTAAAGGCGTTTTTGAAGTTTCCGCTCTAGCTTGGCCGTTTTATCCTGTGTTTCGACGTCACCCAGTTTTTCGAACTTTTCTTTGTCGAGGAGAATATTCTCTTCATTTTTTGGATGTAGTCCTTTTTGTTCAAAATAACCACTCCTGACCCTTTATCAGGCTTAGTAATAAAGATGTCATTATTGGACCGTAGAGATTTTAATGCTTGAAAATGTTCTCTATGCAAAAGAAAATCTGAGTGATCGATGGGAGAGCCGCTGTAAGCGTACGCCAAATCGCTTAGTCGTGCTCGTAATTTGTTAAATTCCAAAGCATCAGAAATATCGTGTCTGGCAAGTTGGGCGTGTAAAATTTCGAATTCAGCAAAAAGTTCCTCTCTGTTTATTCGTTGTGGTGGGATACAAAACTCAAGACCATTACCTAAGACAAATGTTTCGTTTTCAGAGAGAGAATAGTCCGACAAATTAGAAATATGTTTTTTTGAATCGCTCATCAAGCCTCCAAAACGTTTCCTTATTAGCATGCCAATATTCCTATTGTGTTTTTCCGTAGTCTGTTTTAGCTTCCGCTGGTCAATTTCAGAAAAGTAGCGGCAAAGTCGAAAATTATCAAAAAATGTGAGAAACGGACGCGTTTTAGACCATTGGCGTGTATATAAACGTTTTAGATTCAGATTATTAGTTTTAGTTTTCTGAATTTCATCTTGTAGAAAAGCGTGCTCAATGTGGGGGGTGAAAGGGGGTATTGAAATACGAAAATACGCCTACTTTTAGTGAACAAATACGAAAATCCGCTAATTTTTCCGGCGAAATACGAAATCCACCAATGCGTTTACATGGTGAATTGCCTTTTTGTTACTCTTTCTTCCACAAGATCACTGGCAATTTTAACATAATTTTTAATATTCTGCATCAAAATTTTTCGGGGGTCATGAATATATTACGGAAACATAAGGGGGTTTCATATTTCTGATATAATGATAATGATGGACCAACGAAAATAATTTCTAATACAAAATTTCCTCTAGCCCCCTACCCTTCTTGAGAAAGACATTACCTCAGTATCTTCTGCCAGACTGCCCACTATTGCACTCAAGCAATTTTTTCTTTTCTCCTTTACGTGGTATTGTGGATGACTTACGTTGTAAAGTAATGGCTGTTCTTGCCAAAGTAAAATTAACTTTTCTACGACATGATCTCTGCACTCAAACGTTTCTTTGGTGGGCCTTCTGTTGTTTCTTGCAACTGTGATGTCGCTGTTTATTCAACTTCTACATCCAGAAGATCTGGATCTTCGTTTCTAAGAGAAACAAACAAGGTTACTTGTCCGGTACGTTCATATTGTGAAATGAATCGAAATTGGCCCAACTGATCATATATCCTTTCGGAATTTCCACCATTTGAAATATTTATTTTCACAAATTTAACTGATATCTTACCTTTGCTGTTCCTGATGTCTTTGTGCCATCCACTGCTTAAATCTTGCAAATTCCGATTCACCCATTTTTAACTACGATCTTTTGTCGACCTTCCAATCCAACAAGAAAGTTTTAACTTCTTTGCGCGCTAAAATGTTCGTTACGTGAGCAATATTTTATGTTAATTGTCGGCTCCTTTGAACAACTTGAAGATGATAGAAATCTTTTTGAACAGCGATCAAAAGTTTTTCCCTCAAGATGGATTGTAATTTCTCAAGATGGATTAAATTTCCACTCAACAAGCAAATACAAGCAACTTGAAGCGGTGACTTACACTATCACATTCTCTCGTTTCCCGCGATCACAGAAAAAATGTTAAGCTAATTGTACCTGAATGTGATAGTGTAATAGGGCCTTAAGGTTTTTTCAAAATGTTATGTTAAAGTGTAGTCGCTTAGCGGTTGCATTGTTCATTTTATGATTAAAGCATTCAATTTTCTACAAGTACATAGTTTGACATGAAGAACAAGATAATAAAGCCCCAAAAACTATTATTAGACTGGGGTAGCTGTTCCCAATTCTTTTTTTGGTCTTTCTATCTTGAAACCATGCAAGTTATAAACCCAAGCAAGTTTGTACTCTGGCGTTTCTGGCGTTTTTTGACATACTGAATAAGATAAGATAAAAACACAGTTCAGAAAAACCACCAAAAGCATTTTTTAGATTGTGGTACAAACTGCCATCAGCGACCGCACTTGTGTTGCTCAGCATTTTAGTTTAATGGTTGCTACCAACAAAGTTATACATGATATATATATTTTGACGCTCATTTTGCTTGTTTTTCTACGTTCATGTTTTCTAATTAACTCAGTTTTTTCGGCATTATATCTTTTAATTCTAATAACCTCGCAGATATCAAATAGACCTTCCCGTATCAATTATTTGTCCCTTGAGCCATACCATCATGTTGCCCAATTATGTATTTAGACACTAACACGACAAAGACCTACCTCCGAGCGCTGATGAAGTGTATCAATAGTCTGCTTGTTTGTTATAAAGTTTTCCAGTTTGAAGTATTGCTTTTCTGTTGTCACGAAGGATCCCCTGGTACCAAGATTTGAATAACTCGGGGTAACTCCATTTTGATGATGGTTTGTCTCTGTCTTTGTACCTGCTTTTCCATTAGAGAGTGATTCGTCTCTGGTGCCGTGGATTGTTTGCGGATCTTCCTCCGTCTGTTTGTTGTCCATCTTAGTTGCAGAGGATTTCGCGTTTCGATGCTTCTTCACGACTGCTTTGAAACTTATTGTCACCGTTCTTCCAACTGTCACCCTAGCAAGCTTATCAACTACCTGGTCATACGACAAGCCACCGGTCTCAATCACGTATCCAACTTCTATGCCTCTTGCCTCGGCTTCGCCTCCTTTTACAACATTCCATATCATTGGCGCTGAATTGCAGTTGCGGATAAGAAAACCCAGACCTCCAAGTTTTCGTTTAACCAATGATATTCGTTTTCTCACGGAATACTCCACAGACTCTGATCCCAGCATTCTGAGCTTTTTGCTTCTATCCATGGTATCTAGAAAGAAATTTAATTGATTTTAGGTTATCGTTTCCGTGGAAGCAAGATAAGATAAGAACTAGTTCTCTTATTTTATCTTGGTGGAAGGACATACCAGGGGCGGCGGACAGTGCTATACTTGCTATTACTGTAATAGCAATTTTTTCAAGGCCACTTCGTGTGTAATGTAAGAAAAATAAAACGAAAAAAAAATTTCAACCGCGGTTCTAGTTGTAATTACCTCATTCAATCAAATTAAAGTAGCCGCAGCAGACCTTTCATCAAAAGCCAATATACCAGGGCATGAGAGGAGCCTCATTCTTCAGCCACAGAACGGCCATGCTATTTCTTTGGCTTTTTTCATAGCAAATGAAGGAAAACAATAGTACATTACATCATGTACTTCATGTCTGAATCACCTTAAGTCAAAATTTATCTGAATCGGCTGTTTACAAACTTCAACATCGGGTTAGGACGTCCATCATTTTGAGGTGAAGGCCCTGCTCATGAGTTAATTTGCCTGAATTTTCAAATATAAAAGGAAGAAAGCCATTGAAACATCCTGTCTTATACATCTATACAGCCAACTTAAAAGCTTACACGATTGTCATTCACCACAGCCACACAGGAATTGAATTAATCTGCCCTGAGAAAAAAGAAGATTGCCTTTGCAAATCTGCCTGTCTTTCCTTCATGTTGGAAAATGTCCTACAATAGTTTCATTTGATGTCGTATTTGTCGGCTATGTTGTTTGGCTCCATCACAACCTTCAATTCCTCTCCAATCTTGGGCTGCCAAATAGCAGTGGCGTAAAGGAGCAGTGTAGGGTCCTTAGTGAAAGACGTGTTTTGGGGTCCTGAAGTATTCAGTTGTAGAATGGGGTCTTAATCCAGATCTGACTTGATTCTTGTTTTCATTCAGCATTGTAATAAAAATGTATTTATAACAGTGCAACAGAATGCCCGCAGAGCAGAACATAATGTTAAACCACAACTCGCTGAATGTCTAACTTTGGTGATCATTTGGTACTTTTGTAGGGAATCTAAGGACACTGAAAGAAATATTTATCTTTGTTTTGTTCAACTTATTCTTAAACATATATGCACCAAAACTAATAGTCCAAGTCTCGGAGGTTACAACCAGAACGGGCCCACAGACATGCCCGGGAGACACAATGTGCTAGAAGGATTTGTGAATTTTGAATTTCGGGACATCTTTTTTGGCTCTGCTGACCGCCTAGAGCCCTAATGACCAGAAAACTCATTTGTTTGATTGATTCTTCATAACTATAGTCATACTGTTACTTCCAGTCACTTGCAGTCACTAAAACTAAGTGAAATCAACTTTTACGATGTTCTCAAGAAGAAATCAAAATAAGTACTACAGATTGACTGGAAAAATTGTGCATAACCATTAGCAATCAGCCTTGCCAAAATTGTGAAGGTTTAAATCATAAGAGTAAAGGCCATTGATAATTTAAAGCCTTGGGAACATTCTGGCAGATAACGAGAAGTTACGTTCACGTTACAAGCTCTTTCTGATGGTATTATTAGATTTGAAAAATTCGAAAGTCGAAATTTTTCTGACCGTGCATTTTTTAGGCTTCCCGAAACGCGACTTCCAGTCAATTCCCAGAATGCTCCCAAGACTTTTATCGAGTTTGAAAAAACAATTGGAGTGGGCCAATTTCTCTTTAAGGTTGCGTGTTCATGGCTTTTGGTAATATTTCCTTATAGTTTAATCTAATAAAGTTATTTCATTTTGCGTCAAATAACGTAAATTTTAATCACTTTTAACATTGTTTATTGGCACAATGCTGAATTCAAAGATATGTCCAGAAATAACAGTTTCCAGATAAGAATAACTTGGCGGGAAACATTTCCCGATAAGTTAGTCCAAAATAAAAAAATTTAAGAATGAGCTTTAACTTTTTTAATATTGCTATGAGCAAATCAATATTGTTGTTTTCAAAACTGTAGTTTAATAGTCTTAGAAATAATTCATAGTATGTATGTGGAACAATCAATGTAGATAAAAACATTTTCATGATGTTATTTGATGTTGGTAATTTTCCTAAACGTGAAGTATGAAAAGCCTTTTAAACTCCTAAAAAGGTTGAAATATTTTAAAAAAAACCCAAGCATGATATGGAATCTTAACAACTTTACAGATTAATAGTCACTTGAGTCAGTGCTGTTATCAAATAGATAATTCTCACGCAACATTTTAAAGAGGTATTCAGTTATGTTGATATTTTATATTTCATACAGGGAACCAAAGTTATTCATACTTCAAGACTGAAAAACCTAAATATTTATATTTTCATCCCAAAAATCTCAATTTTTCATATTTCGAGGCACCTCATAGGGCCTCTTCAGACTTTCGATTCTTTATCTATTTTGAAAATTTTGGACAAGTAACTTTCTCAAGCAGCATTTTTCGTAACGGTGGTTTTTTTGCCAGTGCCAGTGGTCTCTTTACGGTTGCGTGTTCATAGCTTTTGGTAATATTTCCTTATAGTTTAATCTAACAAAGTTATTTCATTTTGCGTCAAATAACGTAAATTTTAATCACTTTTAACATTGTTTATTGGCACAATGCTGGATTCAAAGATATGTCCAGAAACAACAGTTTCCAGATAAGAATAACTTGGCGGGAAACATTTCCCGATAAGTTAGCCCAAAATAAAAAAAATTGAAGAATGAGCTTTAACTTTTTTAATATTGCTATGAGCAAATCAATATTGTTGTTTAAAAAACTGTACTTTAATAGTCTTAGAAATAATTCATAGTATGTATGTGGAACAATCAATGTAGATAAAAACATTTTCATGATGTTATTTGATGTTGGTAATTTTCCTAAACGTGAAGTATGAAAAGCCTTTTAAACTCCTAAAAAGGTTGAAATATTTTAAAAAAAAACCCAAGCATGATACGGAATCTTAACAACTTTACAGATTAATAGTCACTTGAGTCAGTGCTGTTATCAAATAGATAATTCTCACGCAACATTTTAAAGAGGTATTCAGTTATGTTGATATTTTATATTTCATACAGGGAACCAAAGTTATTCATACTTCAAGACTGAAAAACCTAAATATTTATATTTTCATCCCAAAAAATCTCAATTATTTCATATTTCGAGGCTCCTTATAGGGCCTCTTGAGACTTTCGAAAAACCTTTTTTAGGATTCTTTATCTATTTTGAAAATTTTGGACAAGTAACTTTCTCAAGCAGCATTTTTCGTAACGGTGGTTTTTTGCCAGTGAGAAAATCGAAATCAATCGGATCTGCCCAGCTCTCTTACACCAACCCCCCGCCCCCCGCCCCCCCCACCCTCAAGGTTTTTCAACGGATTTCGGGATATTAGAAAGTCGACTTCTGGGAAAACTGGGCTGACACCCCAGTCCACCCCGTGGCGACGCTACTGACTACATTAGCGTAATCAGGACTCGGTAGTGCGAAATCGAAATGTTTTGTAGAAAAACCTTGCACTGATTCAAATATAAGGAAGTTATTTACCTTGAAAAACTCAAAAATACTGATAATGGTTCCATTGGGAAAAGAGCATTGATATGGAGCGTCGTTTGCGGGCCACGTGTCTATATTACAATTCCACTTTCTGTAGAATGTTTAATGATTCAAAATGCATCTCCCCACCTTTTATTCTACGGCATTTACATCTTCAGCCTAACATTTTGTGTGGTTTTCAAATTGCCAGTTTCTTCTCTGTCGTGATTTGGAAACGATTTTCCAGACGCTATGGAGGACAACAGCAGTCAATCCTAGAACTCGGAAATAAACGTTTTGTGCCTCGGAAGTGAATGAATTGAAACAATGAACTTTTTGTTTCGAACACTGATGGAACTCATTCAAAACAGCATCTCGGAAATGATACCATATTTGTAAGAGAGCTGTACAATAGCCAATAGTTGATTGGCTACCTATTGTTTCTGTTCTGTTTTTCGAACTGCAAAACATTGAATTCGAAATTGCGGCTTCAGATGTCTGATTTTCGCGACCCTCGCAGCATTCTAGCAGATTATTAAGTATTTGAGATAAAACCAGGAGATATCGTTAATTTTCCAGGAGGGTTAACTACCTTTGCTTTAAATTACAGTCTTTAATTGCACGGAAAACCTATGCGCAGACGGAACACCATATTTTGATGAATAGGCGGGTGCCTATGGAGGCAAAACAACAAAATGCGAGCAAAACAAAAGGAAAAACTTTGCTGTGGCATCCAAAACAAACAAAAGGGTATTGAGAAAGGGAGGGGGTTGCAAAAATTTCACAGAGGCACTGTTTTTTGTCTGGAAGAAAACTAGATTCTAGATTTAGTGAGCAGATAGTGCCTACCCCTACCTCTCTCAATGGTACCAAAATGCATAAAAATGAATAATAATGTTGTCTTATGCACAATTATCAATGCAATATGATATCTGAAAGTCCCTATCCTTGGCCTGGAACTCAGTCAGGTTTTTCGTTGGATCTGCCCCAGTCGTTATTCGTGATTTCTGGAAACCGAAATTGTGCCACCCACGTATGGTGGCCCAGCATTCTCATTCGAAAAACAGAAACATATTTTATGAAATATAAAAAAATCACAGATATTTGTGGTAAATTTGACATTAAATTCAAATTATTTTCTTGAAGTTTAAAATAGCATGTCAAAAAGCAGAATAAACATAATAAAAAAATTAAAGAAACATTTCCATTTCCAAGTTTCAAATAGAATTGTTTCTTTTTGTTTCTGAAAATCACATTGAAAGTTGTCAAAAGAAACATTTTCGTTTTCATTTTCAAAATGAAATGTCACGATCGGCCCAGCGTTCTCATAGACCACAATGCTTTGCAAGAATAAGCGCCTCATTTCCATGCAGCTTTTCGCGCCCTTTTTGCTTCGCCTTGCCACTTAACAGCGAAGAACGCATACCTCGTGGTAGCCTATTTAATTTGAATTAATCATGAAGAGGCATGATACTTGGGAAAAACTTTATAAGGTAATGAGTAACAAAAGAACAAAACAAAACGAGGCATCAAATAAAAATAAAAAACTCGGATCTGCCCCACACAAGATTGTCGTCCTTCAGAACCCGACAGCAAGCAAACCTATCGTCCGATTCAGCCACGCAAATTTGTATTATTTGAGTTTGACGAAATAGCTCTATCTAACTTGAAGAGTGCTTGTGCTGCTCATTTTGGCCTCCCTGTCAGTACGTGTGACGTGCTTGTCTCAAACAAAGGTCCCTTGTGCACAAATATTCAACAGATACCACATCGGAAAGATAAATATTTTTTTCTTCTTTTTTTAATAAATCTAATATCAATTAGTTTGAGGTTTGCGGTTCAAGCTTGTTCACTTTACTTGGATTTGGTTCACTTTCGGGGCTTTATAAATTAAGTAAGGGTGTTAGAGTTGAAACAAAAATTTCAGGTTTTAATTTAGTCGGCTTCAGCCCTCTAAGCACTCCATAATTTCTGCCAGGATGCATTCTATCTAAAGTCTACGCCAGACATTGCACCAGAAGACCTCTGCACCTAGATGTAGGAAGTGCACTCGGGGTGGGGTAAGGTTCGGTTAGGTGCAGGCTGTGGGGTAAGATTAGGGCAAGGGTTAAGCTTGGGTAGTAAGGGTACTGGGTATCTATTCAGATCCAATAATAGTGGATCTAATTGCCTTCCCTCCCAAACTACTTAATTCCCAAACTCTACCCTAATTAGCCAAAAATAAAGAAACTTTCAGTAGTGAAAAATATCCTAATTTCTTATAAAAAAGAGTGTACACTCATAATTTTTTTTTTAACTGAAAAGTTCTTTAGAGCTTTGTAAAAAATGAGGAAATGGTCCTCTATTTCGCCAGCCCCATGAATTCAATAACAAGTTAACCTCGCACCAATGACGTGAATGTTCCAACTTTACCCCTTCTTTTTTTCCCAATCGTTCTCCGTTGAACTAGTCCTTCATTGTCATCAAGGGTCATTACATCGTAAACGAGTCCTCTGGAACCTGAAGGCCATACTGCTCTCTGATTCTCTTGTGCATAGCACGGTAGCCTAATAACTGATCTGGACCATCTTTTTCTGCATTAAATGCCTCACCCACTTGATTTACAGTTGTATCGTAGTCGACGAATTTTATTCCAAAATGTTTCATGCGCCTACTTGATGTACCAGGGCTCCAAGCGTACTGAGAAAAATCCCTTTGCAGAAAGTCAAGAATTTCAGCTCTTCGCAAGTTTCTGGCAACCATACAGCGAATAAATTTTTGGAGTTCGTTATCCTCTGTCCATTCGTTATTTCTTTTATATTCTGCAGCCATATGGAGCAAAATCTCCCTTTCTTGGCTACATAAGCGAAAGGTAATTTATTTAGAAAATCAAAAAGGGCGCGAAAAGCTGTATGGAAATGAGGCGCTTATTCTTACAAAGCATTGTGGTCTATGAGAACGCTGGGCCGATCGTGACATTTCATTTTGAAAATGAAAACGAAAATGTTTCTTTTGACAACTTTCAATGTGATTTTCAGAAACAAAAAGAAACAATTCTATTTGAAACTTGGAAATGGAAATGTTTCTTTAATTTTTTTATTATGTTTATTCTGCTTTTTGACATGCTATTTTAAACTTCAAGAAAATAATTTGAATTTAATGTCAAATTTACCACAAATATCTGTGATTTTTTTATATTTCATAACATATGTTTCTGTTTTTTGAATGAGAATGCTGGGCCACCATACCCACGAAAGCATCAACTGTCATTCTGAAACTGGACAAAATATATTCGGTACACGGCATGTCACGTGAAATAAAGACAGGCAACGGTGAAAGAAGGGTTAACACAATATGCAAAAATGTTCACTATTAACCACAAATCAGTGATACCTATACGGGCGCATGCAAATGGAGAAGTCGAACGCTTCAATCAGCCTCTCATCAAGGCCATACAAAGCGCAGTGGCAGAAGGAAAGGAGTGGCAGCAAGAACTGAACCGTTTCTTCCAGTATCGTTAATACACCCCACAGCACAGCATAACGATAATTGCACCATCAGAGTTGTTATTCAACAGGAAAGTGCAGGGAAAAATCCCTTCTTTAGGGAACCATCGCGTAATAAATCGACACAAAGAAGCTAGAATAAACGAGAATGCAGGCGTTCATACCAAGAAAGGTATGCAAACAAACGTACAAAACGACACGACTCGGTAAAACGCCATACAAAGTCGTAAACCGTAAAGGTACGCAGATAACTGCAGAAGACAGTAATCAGCGCCGTTTCACTCGCAACGTAACGTTATAATTAAAATCAGAAACATGGACAGATGTCGTATCTCGAAGATGACAATCTATCAAATCGAGACACATACACTTTTGAACAAGAGGTTACTAGACCTGCTGAAAGACTAGTCAGAAAACGCTATGCACCAGTACGATCTTCTGTTTCGATTTATAAAGTCCACCACCTGCTCTAGCTACCCTCTAGCCACGTCCTAGCCACGTCCTAGCCACGTCCTAGCCACGTCCTAGCCACGTCCTAGCCACGTCCTAGCCACGTCCTAGCCACGTCCTAGCCACGTCCTAGCCACGTCCTAGCCACGTCCTAGCCACGATAGGACTCTGAGTAGATTATGTGTTCTTCAACTGTTATGATTATATAAGATATGAATGGGTTCATCAACAGTATATCTTTTAATGTCCACAGCCATTGGCACACCCGAAATGTTGTGCTATTGAAATGACACTCAGTCCCCGTTAGAAAGATGGCTAAAACTTTTAAAATACATCTGAAGACACTGAAAATACTGCATGTTAATCGTTTGACTTTTTCCTTTTCAGTATCTGCTAACAGCAAAGGATATCACTTGCTGGGTCAGTGTCAAATTATAGACTAAACATCAGCAAAACTTACTCATATAATGATAAACAAGACTGCAATGCAAATGATCTAAGAATGAAATTTTCAAGATGTCAGATTTTATTCTTAAAATAGCTCTCGTTTTACTTTTTGCCAGTAAAAGTGCTCGCTTAGATTACAAAAACTTGTCTTCTTGAAAAACTATGGCTCATTTGCACAAATATGCAATTATCATAATTATCCTGTCAAGATGAATGAAGGGCAGCTTATCAAAGCACAGGATTTTCACAGCCATGACCTTAAAATACTCAGCAAAACTGAAATTTACCTTATCGTTTGCTATGTAGGTATTATCTTCAAAGCATAACAGTGAATGCTCTGAGGTTGGATAGGTCTGTGAACCTGTGACTAAAGAGCAAGGGACAAATTTCCCGTGGCCACGGTGCTTGCTGGCCGATTCTTCCCTGCAAATAATTATCACACCCTTCAACCACACCCATCTGATCAATGAACCTGTGTCCTCCTCCAAAACTTTAACATATTTCTTCTTTTTAATCTATGGAGGCGTAATGTTACATAAATTTACATCTCAAATGGGGCTTCCACCAATGCTTGTGTTTTTCATTAAAATGTGCTGCAACCAAAATTGTATATCTCCTTTCTTGAATGAGAAAGATGATGTATTATATGAAATTACATACGTACTTGTGTGATTCAGCAGAATTTTATTTCTTATAACAGCTGCTGTTGCGTTTGTTATAATTCTCACTTTAGAACATTCACTTTTGCCAACATTTCACCAGAGTCGATTTCCTCAACTATATCAAATTCGTGCTGAATCAAAACCGATATTCCCAAATTGGACAAGACGGGTAGCAGTTGCAGACATCTGTTTCCAAGTAATCTTATGGCTGCAAACAACAAAATCTTGTTATATAAACAACAGCCCTGACACAATAAGTTTTCCTCCTTGACATGGCATTCAGTGTGCAACACCTTGTATCGTCTACTAGACTGTGGAAAAATTACTTTTTAATCAGGATCAATCATTGCTTATTAAGATATTTATGAAAAAGACGAGTAAAATGCATTTATTTCTTTGAACAAGGACTGCTACTTTGGACTGCTATTGAAAATATAAAGCAAATATATCTCATGTTGTATCAGCAAAAAGGAACGTGGCTTTTATTTGGCTGTAATAATTCTAAATGGTTCCTACTTCGTGGCTATTGATTTAAAGGCCATTTGAAAAATGCTTGCTTGCAACAAATTCGTTTGCAATAAGTTATTGCGTTAAACTATGAGCACAAAGACCAAAAGTTGACCAACTGTTGACAAACATAAACCAATAGAAAAGTAGCAGAAGCCTGATTGGCTACATTGTGAAGAATTAAAGTTGTCTGTATCTGAGTGGAATTAAAGAGTCGAAGGATGGATGACCTTACCATAATAATAACTGCAAAGTTTTGTTATTGCATGTTTAGGCCCTTTATGGGTTGTCCAATAGATGATGCCTTGGTTTTGTTGCAAATAGTTTTGTTTTTGAACGAATTGAATCATTTTTAAGACTGTTTTAGGCCTTCTGTCTTATGGTTCTTATTTTCATTTAAACAGGCCAATAGAAGCAAAATCGAGCATGGGGATATCGAGATAATATTATTCTACAACACGGTGTTTCTAGTTAGCTCGTCAAAGTTATGTCGGGTTTTATCTTTTGTTAATATACACAGGTATAAACTGATCAACTCAGAGACCCGCTTTTAAACTTATCCGCTTTTTAGTTTTCATAGAAGGCAGATCATGATAGATGATACTGTTGAAATTTATGCTTGTTACACCGTCTGCCTAATCCAAAACATAACAAGTCGATACGCTCTTCATCTGTGGTGGTCAAGCAAAAATAGATTGAAGGTTGATTTTGTGAATAGCTAAAAACGATTGAAGGTAGACCTCACGGCCTTTCTTCAACGTCATTGTTATGACATAGGGTCTCCATGCCAAATAATATCGCGTAATAATTACACCATTTGTACTGTTATTGCATCAGCGTTTCCAAATAGTATTTCTATGCATTTCAAAGTTTTTATTTCAGGTATGTGTAAAACGAATGAAAGGGTAGTTTCATCTGTTAGATTTAGTCTTGTTGTAAGTCTGGTTGGACTAGTAGAAGTCTCTTTGTTATTTATTAAAGCTCAACGTTCTGTCTTTGATACGGTATTGAATCGTTGAATAGTAGCCTGCGCGCAGACTCCAAGTATCTTTTACCAGAACAGTGCTGGTAAGATACTTAGAGTCTGCGCGCAGGCTGTTGAATAGCAGAATTTCAGGTAAAGCTGTTGCCGTTTTTTAGGGTTTCTGCCTATTGGAAACACGTCTCATAAAGTTGTGGACGAAAAAGAACATCAGATGAACGGCAAAATTTGAACTGTTTTACATTGGTGCCCTGCGGGAGAAAAGCCGAGCTGACAAAACGCGATAATGGACTCATACCGCGGAATAAAGTTAGTTACAGATACCTGTGAACAATAGATGACCGGCCTAGCTGCCATTAATGCAAACCCATTTTGTTTGTTTGTAACCTTATTTTAATTCGATATTTCTTCTAGCTATACATATTTATATATGGATATATACACATGCAACTAATCTGAATTGAATCTACTGTATAACAAATGAAGGGGATATAACTAAGGAAATAAATACGTACATACATAAGCTAAATATTTGAAGCAACATGGATATGAATGGACAAATATTACAGGATATCGATATCATTATATTTGCAAACGTTGCATTTACAGCTAGGACCACCCCGTCGTGTTATCATACATTTGAAGCTGTTAAGATTGTCAGCTGATTTTAGTGCATTTGGCAGACAGTTCCAGATCTGAGGTCCTGTGGCTTTAAGGGTCTTGGAACCGAAAGTTACTTGGTTTAGTAGAAAATGATTTAAGTTTTTAGAATTCCGGGAAAGATATTGTAATGTTCTTGAACTAAAAATGCTATGCGTAAAAGGTGGATTCAAATTTCTGATTGTCTTGAATATTTTGATACAGACGGTTCTCTGACGAGCAACTTCCATTGTACACTTTTTTGACCTAGGAGCGTGTTTGTCCACTATATTTCGGAAAGTGTTTGTCAGATGGTCGTAGAATTTACCCGGGTTAGTCCCTTCGCATTCAAATTGAGTGCTTTACATCGCTCAAGAAATTCTCTTGGACAAACTTTTTGTAGCTGCGATACTTTATTTGTTTCGGTTTTAACCTAGGAACAGTTGATTTCATAGTGGTAGCATCCAGACTATTATAGTCACTTAGACCTGTTTCAAAAACAGTGGTTTTCTGGAAGGACCTTGGTCGATTTGTCAGAATAACATCAATTGTTGAGCTGCGATTCCGGGATCTGTTACATTTTGAGTATCAATATTGATATCGCCAATTACAATTATGTTGTCGTACCGATCTAGTCCACGATTAAAGACGTGGGCAGATCTGAGAAAAATGTTTCTATATTAGCATTTGGTGGGCGGTAAATACTATAAATTATCCATTTCTTTTTGCAACTACGAGTTCAGAACACAATAGTTCAAGAGACGAGACTTCAAAATTGGGCAACCTATTGCAAATAATGCTTTTCTTTGAGTATTACATAAGACCTCCTCCAAATTCAGACCTATCCAGGCGTGTTGGACTTCTGTAATTATTAATGAGAAACGACTCTGTTTTAAAATCCGAGTTTCATTTTGTTTCTTCTATGAGCAATACATCATGTAAACATCTTTCAGCGATCACTCTAAGATCAGTGATTTTATTTCTAAGATTGTTTATGTTTAAAAAACCTATGAGCAAGTTCCCGGCACATTCAGCCCTTAGACTAAAAAACTCATCGATATCGTTACAGTCAGACTCGCTACTCGGTCCTGATGAATTTTCTGTTGATGAGAATTTGCTAGAAGTTGAATTGGAAGAATCAGACCGTGCTAAACTATTTACAGAGGATAAGGGCTTGCTTTCGAGGGTTTGTTTAATAGCGCTGCTACGATCTTCTCTGGAAACTTCCAAACTATTTAGTCAGGCTTTTGATAAAAAGGTTATATAGTTACCTGTGAGGAGGTTTTTTTACCGGTAGAATTTAGGTGGAGTCCCCAACAATCTAAGTTTTCGTCTTGTATATTGTCATTGTTAATAAAATTGATGTCATGCTTTGGTAATTCCTGTTCTGATATTGTATTGACATTCATTCTCTTCTCATCCAAACCCAAACTGTCTGTTTTCCGTACAATGCTCGATACAGCAACGTTTTGTACTTTATTTTTTGTGTTGATGGCCAGCTCAATGATGGCCATCATTGTTTGGGTGATTATTTCGGAAATTATTTGTTCCACACATAAAAATTTTTTTCGTCAGGGTTCATATCAAGTGATGGTATGACATGCCATTTCATATGTCCCACCGTAGCACCAGGAAACCTCTTCACATAAGTTTTTTTCGTTTCACTTCTCTGTTTATATCCTGTCTCCTTTCACCCCTCGCAGCATCGAGTCTCCAACAATTGCAGCCTTTGTTTTGCGAGGTCCTCTAGGGTCATCATTGGTTTAAAATTCTTTGTTACTTTGCCATTCCCGAGGGTCAGCAGTGAAAGCGGTTGCATTTTGAAATCTTTTTTGTACAGCTTCAACGTAGGATTGCTCACCTGGGACAACATTGCTAGCGTTTCTTTGATTTCTCCTCTGTGTAATGTTGCTTGCAGATGTATAATAGTTGCTTGATTGTGGCGCTACTGCAGCATAGCCATTGGTTTCTGGAGGTCCCTCGTGTTTATGATTTTCCAAAGGGTTGCATCTTTCACTTACACTGGGTACCTGCTGCCTTTTGCCTTCTTTGTCTCTTGTTGTTGAAATGGAATATCCTTTTGTTATTACTGACAGTCCCCACGGATTATCCACTGAATTACATTATCTGATGCTAGCAAGGGAGCTGAAGCGATTATTTGTTTCAATTTCAGGTGGCACATTTGAGGCAGTCTTAGATCTTGCTGCTGCACGCGACTATGGTACTTGTCATCCATCTTTGCTGGCCGATGCTGATTTGAAATATTCACTTGGGTATTCTGACAATGACCCAGTGTTTGATAATTCTCTTGGGCGCACCTGTCTTTGATTTTCTTTATCTGGTGATGTTTTTTGTGATATTTTCGTCTGTAAACAAACTAAGCTCGCTGTAAACAAAATCTTTTCCAACTTTTGGCTCTTTAAGTTTCAAAGCTTCAATTTTTAATTTTTCATTTTCTGCTTGGAGACTTTGATTCTCTCTTTCAAGAAAACAGAGCCTGTCCAATATATTGTTAAAAAGTAAGTCATTGTTTTTCTTTCCATTCTTCTCCGCAAGTTCTGTTAAACGTTTTGCCAACAATGCTAAGTTTGTCTCTGACATTTCCAAACGATTTGATGCGTTCTCTCGAAACACGAAACTGGTGCTGCAAATAGATCCTTCAGATTCCTTTTTCTCCGATGTCTCATATTGATTTTGTGACTTTCCTTTGCATTCCTGTTCAAGAGATTTTCTTACCAACTCATCGCGAAATTCCAAAGCCATGGCTTCATCGTTCTGAGCTCTTGGTGAATCCTTATCATGTTCTTTATCATTTTCTATCATCTTATCTTCATCAAGTGATGATTCTTTTTTCAGTTCCTTTCTTTTTCCGATTCTATATTACTTTCATTTGTTTCTGTGCTTTCCGGGATGCTGAATGAATGATCATGCGTCCTGCATGAAAAACCTTTTTCTGCTTCCCAAGCTTCATCATGAAATCGACGGCAGTAACAACGATGTTTTCGGTTAGGCCGTGCTTTTTGAACAATGCCTTACAGACAGAAAACGTGTCAGCTCGCTGTTTGCTCCCTTTAATTCTCTCTATTTCATTTATTATCAAGTTCTCAATATCGTTACTGCAAAGCGAGATACCAGAATCTGGCATGATACCACCATTTAAATCAAAGCTTGTAGATAGTAATTCGACAGCACCGGTCTGGTCGCCATTGGGCATCATGTCCACGCAGGTCCCCACAATCACGCATCATGCGACAAGGCACGCGGGGTCGCCATTGGCCATCATGCCATTGAAGTTTCCTTGGCAAGAAAATGCTCAAGAAGTCGTGGACCTCATGAGCTCAGTTTTGGCGCTCAGTTTTGGAAGCCAAAACTCTAAAATGATTTTAGCCACTGTCGACCTTTTGTTGGTATATGCAAGCGGCTCAGTCGATTGGAAGTCCTGTCAAAAGAGCTTGCAAGCTTGGTATAAGAGTAAATAAGACAGTCAATACTGGGTTGATGAAGGTTTATCTTTCTAAGCGCCACTCTCAGCATTCAGTGGCGTAACTGATTAAAGTTACTTTTACCATGAAAAATGCCGTCTGTGCTATTTTACTTTCAAATTTCACTCTAAAAGAAATGAAAGAAAGCCGACTTAATCTTATCTTTTTTACTATATTAGTTAACATTTTTAATGCCAATTACTTCTAACCCGGCTACAGACATGTGTTAGAAATGACCATTTCATAAGATTAACTGTACAGATTGATAAGTAACAGAGATCTCAACCGCTTAAACTATTTCCTCTGGTTTCTTCTGAAAAAACACAAAAATATGTCTAGTTATTTTGCAGTTATGCTGTTATTCTGCAGTTATTTTGGTATGTTTAACTTTTAATAAGATCTCACCGTAACAGGAGAGCATTTTCTAAACATTATTGTTAGTAAAAGATATTTGTTCAAGACAGGAACCGCGGAAGAATTGGGGAGCTGGTGGGAGAAAGTGAAAAACATTAGCTCCCAAATCTGTAATATTTTCCGCGGCCTCTGCTCCATCCAAACAGTTTCAGTTTTAGTTTCATTTTTTTAAATCCCACTTCATAGAATTTATCACAATAATTGAAAAAATAAATTAGCTAAACTACAATAGATTAAGATAAATAAAGTAGCTGCTATTGTCTTTGATTACGAAGATATTCTTACACTGGCACAACACTTCACTCGTAGTCACTCGTCGTTTCTTCATAGTCTAAAATTGACGAATGTTGTTGAGGCAAAACTCGAACTAGTCAAGAAAATAGTCCCGTTTGTCTCCGTTACGCCACTGTAAGCAGTGTTCAAACATATAATGTCAGTGCCACAGGAACTGCACTTCTTATCAAGTCGGCGAGCTGTCAAGTCAGCATACATTAAAATTAATTTGATAAAAAGAAAATGATTTTAGAAGTGTATGTTTGCAGGCTTGGTTTCAAAGATAAAAGATATGTTAGAACACAGGGTCTCATTGGGTGACGATAACACCATTGTAGTATGATTGCAACAGTGTTTGTAAATAGGTATCTTTGTGTATAACATACTTTGTTTTTGTTAAGGTATAGAAGGTTGGTTTCAAAAGTTAGATTTTTGTCTCGTAGTAAGCTTTGTCGTGCTAGAAGAGCTCTTGCTGTAATCTTGTCGAACACAATGTTTCAGAAGAAATTGATGCTTCTTTTTTTTGATTCCGGCATCAAATGCCCGGTGGGTCATCTCACACTAGCATGTGTAGGCAGCCGTGTCTGAGGGTCTAGAAAACTGACCCTTATCTCTGATTTCTGATTCCAATTTGAGCCCCCTTTTCTATGAAACCAAAGAAAATTTAAACCTTTTTTCCTGTAATAAAGTAGTTGAAATAAAGTCAAACAAAGAATAATTCTATTTTTTCGAAAAATAGAAACTATATTAAGATTCCCATATCATACACTTTTTTTTCAATTTTCTATGTCCTAGATATAAGACAAAATTGAACCCCTTTTTCAGAGATATTAAAGACACGGGGGCTTACACTTGACAATAAGAGTGGACCCGCCGAGATCAAATGCTACGTAGGAATCAGTTGAAAAGTCGATTTTAACAAAAAAGTTGCACAGAACCTCATTTATTAATCAACGTAGTTTTTAGCGGGGATCAAGGGACCTAAAAAAGACATAGGAAAGGACAATGGATCAAAAGCAAGATTCATTAGACACAGTTCTTTTGGAATAAAACAATATATAAAACATAGCAAAGCTCCTAAACTGGTAAAATTGAAGTTAGATATGGTAGACTTAAAGGCAAACTTTAGGGGGAAATGAAAATGCTTTCTGTAGAAGGTGTGGAGATCATGAGGAATATGTCGAGCATTTGTGGGAATGCTCCCTACTTGAAAATAAAAACTTGCCTAATTTTACAAACATGACAAGAAGTAATCCAAAAGTGTTGAGCATTATACAAAAATATGTGGACAGATTTATAAACTAAAAGGCATAACACTACCTATACCTGTGAATTTTCCCCAGTGCACTTGGGTAAAAGTGACTGCTCCGAAATGGAGATTTGGTACTATTTATTCATTTAAGGGAACATTTTGACATAGTCTCGAACTTTTGTATTAGGAAGCACGAAAGTAATATCTTTTAGTATAAGGAGACTTTCTAAAAGTAATCAGGGAGCATGGGAACACAGACAACATTAAATCTTGATTGTTCAATCAAAAGCTTACTTCATTTCAAGTCTCAAACTTTTTGAATTGTGCGGGAAATTTGGAAGCCCCGCTCTGATCCAAGCCTCGATCGCGTATGCTGGAAAATGTTTCTCGGAAGCCAGGAAGATACAGTTGACGTAATCGGTTTCTGTTGGATAGAAGCGACAGGATCGACAGGATGCATGAATGTGAGGGAAATTCGTAAACCATGGCGTCAAAAAAGTGTGTTGTCGTGTGGGAATGGGAAACAAACGATCCTGGGATCTTCGTGCCGTACCACGAGAAGGCAAGCAACTTAATCGAGCAAGAAAAATGTTTGGGTAGTAGCCTTGTTTCCCTTTCAAAACTGGGAAATCCGTTTTCTGCCTGGACAATTGATTTAACATCTATGACTCAAAAATCTAGTTATTTTGGTAAGTTTTTCTGTATTAGAAAATGAAAATAGTTTATGCTAACTGAATAAAGAATACCTCAAAAGCGAAAAGATTTCATAAGCACGACAGGGGTAGCGCTGTTATTTATCATAAGTTGTTGTATGAAAAGACAGAAAAATTTTTCTTAAATTCTGAAAAGTATTTATATATTACTTTGAGATATTACGAAAGGGATTTTATATTTAATCTACCTCTAAATTCTTGCTTATCTTTTGAATCGTATTTCTCATCATACAAGATTGGGTTGGGATCAGCTTATGAAGACAAAGGCTATTTGCAATGTCCTCTTTCAAATTTGGGGAAGAGCTAATTGGAGAAGGGGCATACATACATACAAACATACATACATTATTCATTTAATAATGCAGGTCATCAAAATTTTGCTGCTTTTGCTGATGTGGACCTGCTAATTAACTCATATGCAAAGTTTTAGATAGTATAGATAAATTGATAATTCTAATTTATTACATGAGTGGTTTCTTAAATTTAAAAGCAGATAAAATTTGAGTCAGTATACGATATGGCGATGCTTGTCCAAAGGAGATGCTATCTAATATTTTGCTATTGTCTGATAGCTTACTTTTAAATGTTTCATAATTTTCCTGAATCGTTATTGATGGTGACAGTCTATTCCAAATTAACCCTTCCCTATGCTTGAAACAAGTTCTGCCAACATTTGTTTTTGATCGCGTGAGTTCCACTTTGCAACTGCTCCTAGATGATTTCTGAAATTTTGTTTTTATCACCAAATCTTTCAGGGCACTTGTTGTTGTATATATTTTGTGAGTCAGGCAAGCTATGCGTCTTTTATAGATATAATCAGCAGTTTTCCAATTTGCTTTTTCAAGAATGTTATCCGCAGGTGTTGATTTAGGCAGCTTGTGTATTATTATGCTGCTCTCTTGTGAACTGTCTCATTTGGTTCCAAGGATGGTCTTGTTCCCCAAATAGCCATTCTGTAGGTGCAGCTTGGTAGGATACCCAGGAAATAAATTTTTTCGAGGACTTCTGGTTGTAGTGAATGGAACCTTTTAAATTGCTTAACTACCTTGTCCATTTTTGATGCTGCATTGGCCACCTGAGATTTCTAGGTTAGTTTGCAGTCAATGGACAACCCTAAACATTTTGATTCAGTGACCACTTTTATGATGTTATCACCTAGCTTTACTGGGGATAAAGGCCCAATGAATTTTTTATTTGATATTATCATTAGTTCAGATTTTTCTGGGTGGATTGTTAGACTATTGCTTTTGCACCATTCTGATATTTCTCTAATACCAGTTTGCAATAGTGACATCACTTCATCTACCGTCTTCCCAACACAGTAATATTCTGCATCAACTGTCAACATCTCTAGTGTTCCTTTGCTGGGTACATTCGGTAGGTCATTAACTTGCATAGCAAATAGTCTTGGCCCGAGTAAGGAGCCTTGGGGTACCCCATATTTCACTTCCATGTGGTCAGAAGATTGTCCATTCACTACCACGTATTGCTTCCTTTCTCTGAGGTAGTCATAAAGTATATCATATAGTTTACCTTTAATCCCATATGCTAGCAATTTTTGTTTCAACGTTTGATGGCACACAGAGTCAAAAGCTTTTTTGAATAAAGGAAGAATACATTTTTGAAAATGTCAGAAATGTGAACTTTAGACCACTTGAAATTTAGAAAAAGTCCACTTGTTGCACTTTTGTTGGATCATAATAGATCATATTATTTTCTTTAAATATGGAAGTTTTCTCAAATGAAACTTATAAAAGTATTGTTTGCTTTGTAGTACACTATTTATGAAGATGAAAAAATATAATGTTGACCTAAGAGCCTTGGGCATAATTTTCTGCAGCTATTTGTACCAGTTTCTAGCAATCATTCATCTACCAGGGATAGATGTCTTCACAAGGGCTGTGCCTTAGAGTAGAAAGCTATAAATCATAAATAATTTGTGGCCATAATTCGTTAGCCCCCTCCCTTGCATGGCCCCTGTGTCACTTGTGTATAACAGTGCAGTGTGTATTATATTTGCTGACTAAATTACCAGAAGGAAAATTTGAAGTATTATGGAAAAATTATTTTTCAGGTTCTCAATTGTCATAAAAAGCTGATCAGTTTGATTTTGTTAACAATATCTTTTTGGCAAACTAGGCTTTTTAGCAATTAAAGAACACAATCAATTGCTTAATTCAATAAAAATCAAACCTACCCCACCCCTGAGTTTTTGCAACTGCTTTTGAGAAAATACAAATAAACCTGTGGAAAAACTGTGGTGGACAGAGTCCAGTGGGGACACCTCTGAGAGAATAGATCGAAAGAATTATAAAAGTGGCTTTGAAAAAAGCAAAACATTTCACAACATACTACTAAAAGCTTTTTGTCTGACACTCCTCAGAGAATAAAACATCAGAGTAAGGGTCCAAAAGAACATGATGGAAAGTATATACCCAGTTATGGGTTGAAAGCGCAAGCACAAGAGTGGAAAAGTTGGTCAATCAGTACTGCATGCCTATAAAAAATTAATAAAGAGAGAAAACAAGATCCTTACAAACTCCTTCTGTCTACACAATGGTGGCATTTTAGTTTGTATGTAGATCAATTTCAAAACTGCTACTAGATGAAAAATATAAAAGTGCTGAACTTTCATTTACATAGATAAGAATTTCCTACCATTTGTAGGCAGATTGAGAAAAGTTAAAAGAAGCTTGTATCCTGATGATTGTCTCATTGCATTTGGTATTGTTTGGGAGTTCCATAGTGACCTTGGCTGGCAACAATTTGGTGTGCTGACATCATCTTGCATTGAGGATGGTTATAACACTGGCACAAATGATATAGATCTAAAAAGATTTGGCCATTTGAACATAAGTATTTCATTAACATCAATGGTTGCAGTAAACAAGAAGTTCCAAAGAGCTAGTAAGTTACGACGAAGGCAAGTTAAAGTTCCATATATTGGTGGCTCTGTTGGTCCAGTGCTGAAATTTGGACACAGGGAAATTGTCTCTTTAAAAAAATCCAAATGTGAGTAGCATCCTAAACTAAAATAGCTACTAATTTTTTTTTACTTGCATCCTATACTTCACTTTGTTTTCTTTAGTTTGTAATGCCGTCCTGTCAGATTTGTGGAATTAGCAATTTTGTTGAATTAGACCAGTTTATTGTGTCTTGATGCATTTATGAAAACATATATTTTTGAAAATATGTTTGCCAAACATTCCTGTTTGTTTTTCAAAATTAGGGATTTAATGAATTTAAATATGTATTGTACAGAATGTTTTCTATTAGCAAGAAAGTTGTGAAAGACCAAATATTTCTCTTTTGATAATTTTCTTTACCTTGCCATGATTTCCACACTATCTCACCGTCACCACCAACAATTCTTAGTTTCCCCTTTTTGTATTTTCGTTGACAAGTAGGGGTGTTTTGTTAGTGGAACTTAGTTGTCTCATCTCCAAGTTTCACATTGTTGTTTTGCATTTATAATTTGTAAAACGTTTCTGATTTTTACAAAATTATTCAAATGGGGCATTCAAATGAATTGCTTTCATTTGGCATAGTGCTACATTCTAAATAAATGCAACATTTTCCCACATATTCCCTCAAATTTTTGTTTCTTTTTAGTAAATGAAGCTGCTGGCAATACAGAGAATGCAGTTAATGGAAACATCATTGCAGGGGCAAGGATTGTCAAGCCACTATCATCTACTTTTGGTAAGCAGAAATTAAACCCTTTTTTTACTTGGAAAGATCATTTTATTGAATATTTGTTATTTTGTTAGAATTTATCAAAATTGAAAATAAAGTGCAAAATTGGTAATGCTCTTTATGTTTATCCAGAAAAACTATCTATATGATTTTTTAGGGTTAGGTCATTTTTCCCATTTGCTGAGGCAAAGTCATTCCTTCTTATCAAATCAGGAATGCAATTTGGTCTTTGATCAATTATTTATTAGACAAGCCAAAACAACAGTAGTCCTTTAATTATTATCTTTGCAATCTCCATTCTCTGGTATTTACTTAGAAGATAGATTTTTATTATTTCATTACCTAAACTGTATGTATTAACTAGAATTATGAACTCTCATTGGCCAGATTATGGACAAGGAGAGACAGGGGAGAACAATAAGCAGAATAATGATTAGTTAACACATTCATTTACCTTTAAAAGGCCTTCCCATGACAGGTGACATGAAGTGTCAGATCCACTGACAAAAAACCATCAAGTTTACTCATGAAAAAAGTTCTTACTCTTTAATACACAATAAAGGCTCCCCCACTTTTTATTTTGTCAATTTTTAAGACCTTCAGAGCTTGTTATGTTTATAAATTTTCATCAGAAGTGAAAAGGAATTATTGCTTGCCTCACACATTTATTGAGTGTTTATAAAAGTAATTGCCCCTAACTTCAACCCTATCTAGTTGACTCCATTATTTATTAGTTTTTAAAAGATATTATGAGCCACATTATCTCAGAAGTGGTAGGAGTTGTGTCTAGAAACATATCATATGGCAAATGTAAATGCATGTTTTAAAAGATGCAATGATTTTCGGCAATTTCAGATTACACTTACAATGATAATTTTTTAAAAAGATTATGAGTTACAATTTATTCCAAGATTATGAGTTGTTATGAGTGGCAAGGTTTGGAAAATAGATAATCTCTTTAACTCTAAATATTTAATGTATTCTTTGTTTTAATCAAAATGCTTATGTATTTCATGAAATTCATGGACTCCTAAGATTGTTGTTTTACCTCCACTTGGCCAAGTATAGTCCTCTTCCCTGTGTTTTTTAAATTTCAACTATAAAATTTGCATTGTAAAATTTGAATTGCAGATAAACATTATCATAGGCAACTACTATTAGTTAACTCAGAGGTAGTTCAAAATTTGAGTTGAAAATAGTGTTATGAAAATATCGTTGCAAGGTGTTCAAGATGCATTTCGACCTCAATAATTGACAATTAAACGCAACATAAAGGTAAATTTAATGCCGTCTTTAAAATTGAGAAAATACTCCTTTGTTCATTTTTCCCTAAAAAAATCTGTTTTGCGCCAAAAAATGGTTGGCTGAGCCCCTCCTAAGTATTCCCAAAAGTGTTAAGAGCCGCCAATCCACAAATATTCCCAGAAATGTTTCAAGCCTCCAGGCCCCCATGTTGTTCGCACCAGTAAAATTACAAATGTTACCCCTTCAGGATATCAGCCAGATGTAAGGCGACATCTCAATTCTGATGATGTTCCCTTTGCAAAGAACATTGCTTGGGAATGGAAGGACGATGCAGGTTGGCAACATTTTGATGAGGAGACTGTTTGCGAGCTAGAAAAATGTTATAAAAATGGAGATGCAACACTCAACTTATTGTATACTTCACTTGCTATCCCCAATACCGTCTACTTCGCATCAATGACACAAAGAAACCAAATTTATGGAACTGTTAGAGACATCAGACGAAGATTAATGATAAAACCTTGTGCAATTGTTAAGGAAGATTTTAGTGAAAGTAAAGGCTTTCACTCTGGAAGAGAGAATCTGACCACACAAGCAAGGGTTGCGGCACCTTTGAAAGAAGCAGTACGACATGTATTCGCATCAAAGTTTGATAATGAAGCTGATAGGGATGACTCAATGGAACAGGAAGATGATTTACTATTTGAATGTATTGTTTTAATGGAATTATTCTCTATTAAGTAGTCATTTCGAAACATTTTATGAATATGTTACATTTTTTTAAATGGTATTCAGGGAGAGTCTTGGGGGCCTATAGTAAAGCCCTAATAAGAGAATGGAAGGTGGGCATAAGAAGAGAGGGAACTGATTTAAAGTTTGTCAATTCTAGTTTTCAAAGAAGACAGGTTTTAAGAATTTGGGAAGCAAGAGAGGGGTAAAGGGTTCCAAAGTTTAAAAGCTCTGGAATAGAAAGATGAGTTGTGGGGAAAATGTTCTTTGTGCTTGTCTAAGAAAACCAAGGGAACTATCTTTAATCGCTTGAGAAGTAATTGTAAAATATGGATAAATCAACAACATAACGACGACGAGAATATAGGTTTGGGAAGAAGGCACATATCAGATGGTATCTCTAGTTACATCTCCGTGTGAAGTGTAGTTCTTAGCAGGAATTACTCAATGAGATATGTATGAGGCAAACTTTTTGTTGTTTTGCAGCAAACTCAAGTGAAGAGTATGCAAATCAGCAAGCAAAAAACAAAGATCCACCAAGAAGTCAAACTAAAGAAACAAAAACCTACATATTAAGTACATAATTTTTGGTTCAGAATTATCCTAGGTTTTTTCAATCATATATTTCAAAGTATGAGCCAGTCTTGTATGGTATATTTTATATTATCATGTGATTTATGCTTCCTCGATCCTTTAGCTTATGTTTAGGAACTTCAGTCTAAAGGTTTCGAACAGTAGATTTCGCTTATAGTCACATCAAATGGACCTAAAAATGAATGACGGAAGAAGTATAGAGAATGTTGAAGGTGGGACTTGCAAAGTCAAGGCACTGATTAAACTACAATGGCCATGGTTTTAGCATGTTTTCAGATAACCACCTAACAGAAATTGCCCTAATGCCCAGATTCATTACTTACATGTTTTGCTGAAAGCCAGTGATTGGAGGCATCACAATAAATCTGTCAAATTAAGGCTTCAAGAAAGATGAAGCCTGGTATAATTTGTCTGTTTTTTTTTCTAGAAAAAATTCCTGTTACTCATCCAGTACTGCGAAAGTATTGTGAGCCATGTGATTCTGTCGACGAAGATGTAAGTACTGTTGAAACTTTGCCATAGCATTTGTCAACAGTTTATTATTTTCCGATATAGCATTTTATTTGGTCGACTACAGGGCCTTCGACGAAGACGTGGGCAGGGGGGCATGTCCCCCTTTATTTTGCAAAACAATATAACCTTGCACAAAATGCCTCCCCCCTCCACTCTCTATCCTGTGTCGGAGCCCATGAAGTTTTCTTTACCTTGCGTCATCTCAACCTCTTTAATTTTTTCAATATTCCCCACGTATTTCCCATACACAGACTGATCTGTTACCAAATGCTCATTTCACAGATAAACCCACTTAGACTAGGCCTGCGTTTGGATGAACATTGTATTAATTACTAGATGTGTATCCATAGGTAAGACAAGCCCAGTTTTATGTTAGAGATGAGATCAGTTAACGAAATAGATATCACTGTTTTCAGAGCAATGCATCTTTTATACCTTTCAGATCAATGCGGCAGCTTTTTTCCAAAATATTTCATAAATATTCTTTCACTTTTTGTCGAAGCTCTTTGATGGAAAATGGAGGGCTGGAAAGACGAAAGGAGTTTAGCTACTTAAATCGCCAGAATTAAAACTTTATTCTGAGTTACTCTTTACAGCATCAACTTGACGCTGCATAAATGCACTTTAGGCAGTTTTCAGCGAAACTGACATGTGCATTAATGTTTTCTTGAAATATCAGTTATTCATTTTAAAGATTAAAAAGCTGTTTTGAGTGAAATTTTTATTGTGAAATATTGACTATTTTTTACTTTCTTATTAGAGTTTTTAGTTATTTGCGCATATTAGAGTTTTTTCATGTGCCAGTAGAATCTTTTCTTTCTAATCTGATGTTGAAACTCTTGATTACAAATTCTAGTAGCCTCAGATAAAAATTAATATTATAAACATTAGCGGCATGAACACTTCGTCTTTCAATATTGGCGCCAAATTTCTATTTATGCTCCTAAGTAATTTTTTTTATTTTGGTACTGTCTGTGGTGCTAGAGAAAAGGAATGGTGCCAGGATTCAGATCGCAATGTGCCGATTATTCCATCGAAATGACAATGAAAATTTATTCAATCTTGTTCTTTGTCTAACGTGCGTTGTGAGTTCAATGAGGTTAAGGTTTGATTTTTGTTTTGTTGAGGTTCGAACGTGCGGACAGTTTTCACGCAAGTTGAACCCAGGCTACAGAATAATGATATTCTTATTCTGTGCCTCCATGAGACTCTGTTTCGCTACTACCTCACTTGACGGACGAGTGAGGCAGTAGCGAAACAGAGGCTCATGGAGTTAGTCTATTCTGTGCCCAGGCTGCCGAATGGGTGTCATTTAGGTATTTTAGACATCTGCATAGGTATCGTTTCGGAACTTTATAGCACCAATTTGATTATGTTATCATTAGTTATGTTTTCATCGACAAGTCCACAACTGAATAAGTTTCCTTGTGTAAATACCCATGCTCTTATACGACAACATAGATAGATAGATAAACGTTATTTACAGAGGTTAAACCTGGGTAGCCTAACAACTAATCTTCCCCAGGATCCCCATATTCATATTTATTTTCACTGTGAAAAGTGCTTCTATATTTTCTTCTTCTTTCATTTAGTTCTGTTTTGAACTAAAACGCAAAATCCAGAGGAATCCTATGCTGTTCAGATACGAAGCCGAAAAAGCTAAATCTGTGATCTTCAGGCCTATCACTATAATTTTGATGTTCATTTACTGTTAACAAGTTCACTAATTGGTCATAAAAACATCAAACCTGCGTCTATTCTAATCCAAGCGTTTTCCATTTACTTTCTAATTTATTTTCAAAACTTCGTCTCAACCTTTCCTTTCTTTATGTAAAAATTAATCATGTTTTTAAGTATTCGAGAACATCACTCCTTCATTTTTCGAAACGAAACGAAAGAACTTTTTTGGGCAGGTTGCATGCATATTATTGCAATACTGTAGATTTGAAATGATACCAAACGTTTTATTCTTCTGTAGGAGCAATGCTGTATTTGTCTCGATGAGCTTAGGATCACTTCAAGTTCTTTTGGGGCAGCTAGCAGTAACTCTGTCATAAAGCTACAGGGCTGTGGACACAAATTTCATGAGTACTGTTTGGTGCAATGCTATGACAATGGCCCCAAGGTTGGTGGAACTTGTTAGCGATATTCTTTTGCTGGTTTCTGCATTTAACCTAGCCATTACGGTGGCCCACAACTGTGGCCCAAATACGGTGGCCCACAGCTGTCACGGCTATAAGAAATTGCTCACTGGGCCGAGTTTCCTCGAACTGTATCATTGGAAGAATGTGGTCAGCGGTTCTCAGCGAGCGCCACCTTCTTTTTTCTTCGTAAAAACATGCTCTGCTATAACTGTGGGCATTCGATTTCAGATGGCAGCAAATTCTGCTCCAACTGTGGAAAAGATAGGAACGGAAACTTTGAAATATTTTGTGCTAATATTGTAATGGTAATATCAAGCCCCACTATTGAGCAAAATGCCTTTTGCGATGCTCGGTATCGATATGAATGATCGATAAAGTCATCCGTGCTCTTTTTTGAAAATGTTTGTATAATCGTGAAAATTTAAACTTTCAAATCGTTATTTTGGTTTATGGCACACAAGGCTGCTTGACTCTACCTTTGAGATTTTTTGAACAGGCTGACAGCATCCAGTGTCCCGTATGCAAAATCATATATGGTGTGAAGCAAGGAAATCAACCACCTGGCCAGATGACCGTGGCCCGTATACCAGGATCAGTACCAGGATACAACGGCTACGGATGCATTCAGATAACCTATAATATTCAGCCAGGAATTCAAGTATGTTGCTTCTACTTGCATTTTGACTTACTTCTTTATTTGCCATAGATGGTGTTAGGCTATAGATGTAGAAATTACACTTTTTATTAATTATTATAAAAGTAAAATTTTTTATGTTCATTGCATATTTCTGACCTCGCAACATCAGTTTTCGTAACCGGCTATTTTCCCATCGAAATTAATAACTGTTTTCAATGTTATTTACACATTTTCAATAGGCCTATCATAGTTTATCATAATTTTCTTCTATGTCTTCTTCTCATTGCCCATTTTATATACTTAAATGGTTTTGGATCGTATATCGTGCAAATGCATGTAAAGTATCTGAATCGGATCTTGATACTTTTGGATCCGATCTAGTCTAGGCTGCAAGGTAGTTTTACTACTTTAAGCCAAGAGAAGCGGCTTCGAGGCAGAGGGTAGCTTCAGTGCCCCTTTTTGCAGGCAATTTATCTTATCTGTCCTAGTAATGACTTGCAGTTTCTATAATATCACTGGAAGTTTGTTACCTTGAAGTTTTTTCTTACAATAAAATGGAAACTTTAAAATGTGCCCAGCATTGTGTTTATTTTTTTTAATTTTAGGGTCCAGCGCATCCAAATCCTGGGAGACCATACCATCTCAATGGTTTTCCCCGAGTTGCCTATTTGCCAGATAATGACAAAGGAAGGAAGGTAATTTTGCTATTTAACACCTTAGGGTGGTACCGAAAGCCACAGAATTAGACAGAAAAGTTAATTTTGCTGATTTTAAAGCTGGTTTATGTCGTTCACATTTTTTTTAGCTTTACACAAATTTGTTGTAATAATGAATGGATGAAATAATGAACTATTCGAAGTACGAAATTTATCAAGGCACTGACTAAAGGCTGTGGATTTATTTTTTTAAATTGCGAACTAATTGCTAATTAGCCAAATCGATACCTCTTTAATGCGTATTTTAAGACATCTATTTTGAGGAAGTAAGGTTTAAAGCCTGCTATGTTAGGATAGTTTTACTGTTCCAAAAACAAGCCACCCCATTTTCTGGCTAATGCTAAGCCCTGAGATTTCAAGGAAACTATTATGACTGCTTAGACTCATAAGGTGGTTTGTTTAAAGAAATTAGCATTGCAAAGCAGAGGTACAAGTATCCGCAGGACATTTGCAAGGTAACATGAGATGATTGTGGAAGGATATAGGTAACACCTAATGAACACAGAACAAAATTTAGGAGTAGAGAAATAAGTTACAAAATACAAGGTGCAACAGAAGGGGAAGGTACAATTTTCTTATCAATTCATTCTGGGAAGGAAGTAACTTGGCAGACCTAAACTCAACTTATGATTATACTTTAAAAATGTAATGGAAAGGTCCAGTGAAGGATATAAAAAGGTGCACCTTTTGCTTAGTAATCTTGATGATTGTACGATATTACTTGAGACAAACGGTAAATTGAAAATTGTAAATGCTACGACAAGAGAACAGGACTAAGAAACTGCGGCTATACCTATGTATTTTGCTATATCGGATTTAGACTGTAACATTAATTAGGAGGCAGGAGAGAAATGTGGCAGAAATGAGAATGCTGAGATCGAAATAGGGAGGAAAGATAAGTCAAGGAATGATGTAGGAAGAAAGGAGTTAAAAGTGGGTAAGGCAGGGAAAAAGACGAGGGAGTACACTGGGATCACAAGATGTTTGGCTTCGTATGAAAAACATTACGAACCATGATTTAAAAGGTTCTTGAAGAACCAAAGAATCGTTAATTAAAAGAATTCTTCAAGTTTGGAATGAAATTCCACAATAATACATTGCCCAATTATATGCAACCAACTCAAGAAGGCATAAAGCGGTTTCAAAAGTTCATAGCTCCCGTCAAAATATTAAAATTTGAAACTGTTAAAAGACGTTTTGAAACTGTTGTTTTAAAGAAAGTGCTCCAAAAAGATTGAAGTTTTGATTGGTGGATGTTTCACTTCCGACACATTCCCATTCGCCACTTAAAAACAATCAATTCGCACAACAATAGCTTTATATAATTCCCCCCCTTCGAGGTGGTGCAATACTTTTGTGAGGGGAGTAAAATAGAGGGGAGTAAAATTGTGAGGGGAGTGTATTTACTATATAATTAAAAAGTCGAGAGCACAAGTATCATGACACAGAGAAAGAGGGAGGCAGTAAAGTCGATAGTTGGCCCGAGAGGAAATTGTTAGGGGTGAAACAAGAAGATGTGAACGATTGTGTCTAGGATATTCCAAATCCGTCTAGTGACTCCACTTCGTGGGAGCAAAACCAGAATAGACGCGATCAAAATCTTTTGAAATACAACCACTATGATAAAACTTCGGGTTGGCACCTGAAAGTCTATGATATTGATTTTGGCTAGTATAGTACAATGAATTTTGCAGATGTTGTTGGATGCTAAATATATTATACATTGCAATGTTACCTATTCCAGAAAAAGTTGCTCTTGGGCAATTTTGACTTTACTCGAAATTAAGGGTTGAAAAATGAATTTTAAGATAACTTTTGTAGAAAAGTTAAGTCACATCTACTAAAGGAACTTTTACTCAAATGTTATTGACTTTTTACCCCCATAGACTCTGGTAAGCAATTTGCATAAAGGGATATATAATTTTGATTCCCTCGAGAAAATCACTTTACTTCCCTCAGAACATCAATGTATATATCAATGAAACCGAATTCTATATTAAATCTTCTGGCATTTCATTGACAATGAGAAAGTAAATGAGACTTTTTAAGATATTTAATTGAAGTGTGCCTCAGAATATAAACGATACAAATATAAATCATTTTACAGATAGTATTTGAAATGATCTAGAAATGATCAATGAAATTTTCAAGTTTAAATGTTATTTTACAACCAATCTCGCATAAGGCAGTCTTCTATAACCCTCATATTTGATAACTTTTGGTCTCACATGCTATCTGTTTTCATTTATAGCATCTAACATCTATCTTTAAAATGGATTTTATATTTCTGATATATTTGCATTTAAGCCAGAACCTGTTTAGGTCCCTAAATTGAATAACATCATATAAGTCATCAAATAATCGGACATTTGAAACAAACCTAAGGCAATGTTACATATTTTCACGTAATAGTCCTCTTGAAAGAAACATATTTCCGTTTTTGCTGTGTGGTGCTTCATTGCCGTTGTCGAGACTCAAGTACACTTCTATGCTTCTGGGGCGTCTTTAGTATGCATAGAAACACAGGCACATTTATTCATTTAGCTAAGAGCTTATGGTTTTAAGTTGTGCATGGTAATAATATATTATATCATTTCAAAATTAATTTGAATGAACAACATGTTGCAAAATTATCTTCTTGTTTGATTTAGGTCTATTAAGTTCACTTTCTTTATATAAGGAGATTTTACTTGATTTCACTATTTCCAGTGGTGAAACTTGCCCCCTCTGCTCCCGCCTCAGTTTTTCTTTCTATAATCAGCCTCTAAAGCTTCAAAAATTTTCTTTCATTGTAGGTTTTACAGCTGCTGCAAACTGCATGGAATAGAAAACTCATTTTCACAATTGGAACATCTGTTACAAATGGAACCAAAGATGCTGTAGTTTGGAATGAAATACACCACAAGACAGAAGCATTTTCAAATAGCTCTGGGCACGGATATCCAGACCCTAACTATTTAGACAATGTATTAGAAGAGCTGAAATTACAAGGAGTTTTCTAAAGTTTAACTTGTTTGACAAGAATTTTAATTGGACAGGAGTTTTAATTAAGATGGTTGTTGCAAAATCAGACCTTGGCACAAAGAGACTGCTTGCTTGTGCCTTAACCAAATGCTCCTATGAAGATAGATCAATAGAAATCAGGAGCAGTGGGAGCTCATGCCCCTAACCATTCCACTCTTTAATCAGTATGAAACTTTTAGGGATACTTTCTGCCAAGTGTCAAAATATATCTAGACTGAAAATTTTGTTTGGCAGTTGAGAATTTATCATAGTTATCATAGTTAGTTTTTTGAATAGAAGGTTTTCCATTGTCAAAGGGAATGCTACAATCACCTCAAGACAGTTAGATAAACTATGGTAAAAGGAGTTTGATTTTATGTCATCACATTCCTCACTAAGGGCTAATGCACATGAGTATAATCTTTACATTTTTCTTGGGTTCAAACAAATTAGCACCATTTTTTCATCATGCATGCAGACAATTTTTTTTGAAAATTTTCCTGATAATTCTCTTAAAAAAGAATGAAAAAGGCAGCCCAATGAAACTGAGGATCTCTGGTAGGTCCTTGGTTTTCTTTAGTCTTTTGTTTGATTGATTTGTATTTTTATTTGTTTCTTCCTAGCATCCGAAGGTAGTTTTTAGGGCACTGAGAAGCTCATGCCTATCGAGTAGTGTCTTGGTCTTTCCTCTCTATGTGACCACACCTCATGATTCCTATGCCTGGAATTACAGAGAGCTGGTGACTCTCTTCACTCTGGGTGAAAGTTTGGTCATGCCGGAACTCGAACCATGGACCCTTGGGTCTGTCAGCGCCTCTAACAACTGAGCCATCCTCACACACATCATTTGAGTTGTTCTGGCATCACAGATGGACACACGCCTGTGCCTGGCACTTTGATCAACCTACATTTTTATCTTAAGGAGACCCTGTTTGCATGATGCTGTAAGCCAAGTTATTTTTTTTTTCTAAAAAATCCACCAAATACTAATTATTATACTTATTGACTCCTGTTGCGAGCAAAAGTAAGGAGGAAGCTGAGGAATGTAGAATTTACTGAACTAGATTTTACTAGATTACACTCATTATGTACATACACCTGTAATGAAACTCAATTATGACCTTAGATGCTGTTTATAATTATCTTTAGGTTGTCACACATTTAGTTCTTTTATGCAGATATTTTGTAGAAGTAAAGTAAGATTGTACACTGCAAACTTGATTTCTTTTGTGTTCAAACTTTGTACTTGCTTTGAATGCAGATTGACCATTAATTTTAATATTAAACTTTATTTAAATTTTTGATCAGTTCTGAAAAGAAATCATCATTGTATCTTTGGTTTTGTTATGATAAATGCAACTAGTAGAACTAGTAAAATTTCATCACAAGTAATGCTGACGTATTTTTTTGGGTTTATGCTGTACAGTCAAGGAAAATATTAGCAACTACACTGCATCATTAAATTCTTACCAAAAACAAAATATATGTAGAGAAAATTGTTTCTTTATTACTAATGCAACAGGTAACATTAGATAGATATATAGAATAGATCTGAAAAATTGAAAAATTTCCCAAAAAGAATCCAAAGTCCTTTTTGTATTCTGACTTGCAGTTTATATTTTTTATCTTCAAGGATGAAGTATACTGAAGTAAAATGTATTCATTTTAATGAATTGATTTCGTTGGTAAATGAATTAATCAATGTAATATGTTTTCTTTTGCACAATCCCTAGTATAGTAGTAGCCTTTTGTTGGTTTTTAGACTTGACTGTCCCAGCACCCTTACAGGTTCTAATAAATTAATTGCCTCTCGTTTGAACAGCCATTTTTTTCCTTTTTCACAAATAAGCCAGGTTTAGGCAAGATAATTATATTTCAAGACAGAAAATAAAATTCAACTCAAAATATAAAATCTTTGGATTTTATTATTTCAATATTTAGGAGTATAAAGTTCATAACTGAACATACAAAAATTTAAACTTTGAAATATTATAGAAATAGTTTTTTGACTGTATATCTTGGCAACTCAAGAACATTTTAATTAACAACCTTGAAATCCTTATCATAGCCTTGTTAGGCCATAACAACCTCAAGAGTATATACAGTTAATTGCTTCTTTCTCTTTGCTTGTAAGACTTGGATGCCACAAGTCAATCATTAACACAACTCTGTTGTCTTCACCACAATCCTCATGTTCTACACTATGTATGAATGAGTCATCAAAAAGTAAGATCTTGTCCTCCTTGTAAACCAATTTTTCATTACCAACAAAGAGATTACAACAAGCACCTTCTTTTAAAGTTACATGACAACGCAAGCGTGCATTTGTAGCACCATAGTGTGGTTTGATGCTAGTTCCAGGAGACAGTACCGAGAATGCAGCATTACCAAATGGGCTGTTACCCATAAATGATGTCAAGTTCGAAATCATCTTAGATGTTTCAGGACATCTACTGCAATTGTCATTCTGCATGTTTCCTTGGTTGAAAAAGTAATAAAGTCTCCAACTTCCTGACTGAACTTCATTGTACGACCATAAATATTCCTGTTTCAATATCTCATTCAGTTCGTTTTTAACAGATCTGAGGCAGCTCTTGTCCATAAAGACCGTTAATTCATTGTTTAGAGCATGAAATGGTGTCATCGGTTGGAGATCTTGGATATATAACACTGTGGGCATTTGCTGAGGTCTTGTCGACAATATTTGTTTATCAGCAGATTTTTCGATTGAATTCCTAATTCGTTTGAGAACTTCTTCGTCTAGACTGTATAGCTCTTTAAATGCATTGAGTTTCCTCAGAAGAGTTTCTTTGTTTCCATGGCCTCTGCATCTAATGCAGTTCTTATTAGGGCATTTGCTCTCTTCGTGACTTTTTATTCTTCGTTTAACTTTAAGAAAGCATATTCGTAGACTCAGGAATATAAGCACAGCAAATAACGGAAGCAGAACAAAGTCTTCGAACGAAAGTCTGTAAGTTTTACCTTTGTTTACCATCTCGTCGGACATCTTGATCGAGCATGTGTTTCCCTTGCCTCGATATGAACCAGAGGGTCTTTCAACATGATTTGGCGCGAATTTTGTGACAACAGCTGTGGTAGTGAGAAAAGAAAGGATTTGTAATGCACGAGAGAAATATATATAAAACACCTCCAGATTTTGCAAAACTAGCAGAACAATATGAAGAATTTGCCAAGTTTGTTACCATCTCATCTGACGGTAGGGGACATATTAACTTCAAAGATGCTGAAGCCCTACGAGAGCTCACATATACACTTCTACGACATGATTTTGGACTAACACTTGATATTCCCTTGGATCGTCTGATTCCTACAGTCCCTTTGAGACTTAACTACATTCTATGGATTGAAGATTTGATTTCGGGTGAAGAAAAAGACGAGACAAACATTAAAGGACTGGATATAGGTGAGAGGACTGTCACCAAGATACTGTTTTTCTTGAAGAGATTGCCTTCTGATATCAACAAATACTGCAAAACTCGCATTTTTCAAAGAATCAACAGCCAAGCTAACTTTTAAAAATTCTTAAAATTAAGTTGCATTGCATTTTATCATTTGAAGTTTTCTTAAGGCTCATACAATTGGGTTGATGATTCAAACAGGAAGGGGTGGCCGGCATGTGCGTCAGGGTTCGAGTCCATTCTGGGGCCTGTAATTATGATATCTGTATTAATTGTCATATTCTGGGATCTACATTTGTCATTCAGCAAGGGGCTCACACACATTGGTTGTCCTGGGACCTTGCCTTGCTCTCAGTGGCCCTGCCTGGATGTAAAAGAGGTATCTATATCTTGGCAGCCAATTGAACAAGCAATACCAGTTGGAATATATTGCATATAATAAAAAAACACAAGTCTTATGACATACTTCAAGGTTTTTCCCCCACCCCCCTAAACAAAAAGTTATCAAAGTTGCGTCATCAAACAATCTACTCCTGTTACAAATTATTGCCAGAAACTAAAATTGCATCTGTTCTCCACCAGATACCAACAATAGAATCTTTTGTAATGTTTTCTCAGGACTATGAAGATGTCACTTTAGGCTGCCTTGTGTGGGGGTGGGGATGGCTGTCTGGCAATCTTTGCTATTTTCTTTTCGGAGAGCGAAGGTTGTGTGGCAGTTGTTCTCATTGGTCCTATGGCTCCCTCCTGGGCAGCCTGTGGTGTGAATACAAAATTAATAGATTGTTACCACAGGGGGTGCTCTCTCCTTGATAAGCCTATCTATTTAGAGAGCTCTTCCTTTAAGAAATTCCTGCATGCAAATCTCCTTCGTTTTTGTAAAATCATCTATATTTTTTTCTTGTTTTCTATTTCTCTCATTGTATGTAATTTATTTCATCTTTTGTAACCTGTTGCTGTATTTTAAAAGATTTGCATGTATGGTTTTTTAAAGATGAAATGAACTGTACTGAGTTGTATCTCAGTCTTTACCAGTACCATCAGTTATTCATAAAAACTGCTACAGGGCTATGAAAACAGTGTGATATCTATTGCTTCTCAAAATACTTTGTTATGAAGGGAATAGCACATAGTTGGCTGTGTCCTCTCCTCAGCTCCAAGGCAACAATTTATAGCCTGTGCAAAGTATAAGACAAAATATCAGTTAGCTATGAAAAATATATTCTGCTCGGTTGTAGGTTGTGGTGCCTCATGCATATACCCACTACTTGGAGTGAAACTGAACAAGTGGAAATTCATTGCCAGTGAATTTGATGATTTGTCATATTCATATGCTGAAAAGAACATTGCTGCCAATAATTTTGCAGAGGATATATCCCTGAGAAAAGGAAGCAAAGATATTCTTCTTAAAGATATTGTGAACCCTGATGAAACTTACACATTCACCATGTGCAACCCCCCATTTTTCAGTGACAGACAAGAAGCCTCAGGTGATAACTCTAGGACAGACAGTAGACCACCACCTCATTCAATCTGCACTGCAGTTGAAAATGAAACTGTAACAGAGGGTGGTGAAGTTGCATTTGTTAAAAAAATAATAAAGGAAAGCCTAGTGTTGAAAGAAAAAATAAGGTAATATTTTAGCAACATTATTATTTTGAAAATTTATAAGCCAGTGATTTGATTAATTTGTGATATTTTTAAGACATAGCAAAATAAAAATTTTCTCTAATTAGAGGCAGTGTAGAGAAGAATGTTTTGTTTGATTGTGTTATTAGAGCATTGATATTTTTTGGAGCTTGCAAATAGACATTAAAGGACACCACTTTAGGTTGGGAATTTCATTGTTAAGCCACTGAGACCATAAAATGCATTCTATGATTGCTGTTTTCTCCATTCAAGAATCTTTTGCAGTAAGGTTTTAATTGCAAAGCTTTTGGTATTCAGAATTATAATGTCTTGCATAATTAATCGGTTTTGATGCCAATTTTCTCTTTTTGTAGTTGTTATACTACCATGCTTGGTAAAAAGGCTAGTTTAAAGGTATTAAGGCAGTTTTTGAAGGAGCATAAGGTAAGCTTAATACTTTTTGTATCTAAAGCTAAACAGAGAATATAATGCAAAATAAAATTGCAGACTCAACATGAAAATTTTTATGTTTTCATCTTATATGATTTTGTTACAAGCATTTGTACTTTGATTATCATAATTAAATGTTATACATTAAGCATGAACCTTTTGGTTATCTACATTTCCATTGGATATCACTTGCAAGCTTTTGCTTTGTTTAATTGTTAAAGAATGGCATTTTATAATTGGCCAATTATATCTGTTCTAGGTTCCTTCTGTGACTTCAACTGTTTTTCAACAAGGTAAAACTACAAGATGGGGATTATGTTGGAGCTTTAGCAAAAATTTGCAGGTAGGGAGGTTTTAAATTCTTTAATCTGTTTATTTAATGATTTAGTCATTTTCACAAAGATACAGGCTTTGTGTCACTGCACATGTTTTGCATAGAACCAGTGCTGTAGCTTCTATGTGTGCATTGTGAAAAGTTTTGCAAAATTCCTACCTGTAATAAATAAGTTATAGTTAAATGGTCAATACATAATGAGTTCCACAACCAAGTAGCTTTTCTTTCCATGCATGATAGTGATGGAATAGAAATATTTATTGCAGCCTTGGGCATGTACATGCAGTAATTTCCAGTGCAGCTGTTTTTCTCCAAATAAGCAGATTTTTCAAAATTGTGACAATTAAAAGTGCTTGAATACTGAGGCAGCTTCCCATCACCCTTTTCTAATTGACAATTAGAAGAAAACAGCTTCAGTGCTGATCAAGAGAGCATCTCTGTGAATCTCGCAAAATCACGTGAAGTGTTTTTATCAACTAAAATGTTTGGAAAGCAGAGAACAGACACTTCTTAAGCAACGGCTTCTGGTATCAGACATGAACTTGTACAGAAGAACCGAGTGATTTTGAGACGGTTGATTTATACGGTTTGTTTTCCAAAATAAGGGGTAGCTCCTTTCCGAGGTCATGATGAAACAAGCAGGTCGCTTTACAAAGGTTGCTATCCAAATACATTGTAGCTTATCAGTTACGTTGCGTTGTTAGAGTCTTATATGAAAGATGCCACTATATTGAATGGAACCTCTCCTGACATTAAAAAAGACTCGTGGGAACGGACATGTGAAAGTTCAATTGCTCGTTTTACCCACTGCTGTACTCGTGTTTTAAATTTGATGTTGCAGCAAAGAGTTTCTGCCATTAAGGAATGCAAACTATTATTCCTTACATTAAATTACCTTACAGTATTCCTTGCACATTCATCAAAGCGTTCTCATGCGCGCACGAAGTTCATGCAAAGATTTCAGGGAACATTTATTTGATTTTGTAGCTGTGTTGATAACACTGATGACTGGGATTATACCGCCAATACTGTGTTACAAGATCATGGATTTTTTTAGCGCTTATTTGGCTATACTGACCTGCTGTTTATTGTGCTTCAAACAAAAACGTATGACATTTGCTACTTCATGAAGCACATCGAGAATTAAAGTCTCAGCTTATAAACACAGGACCGTTCCATTCGAAGCACGATGGGAAGCCAGTCAAGAAGAATGCAATTACGAAGAGAAAACGCGCCTCTACATGGGAATTTTCAACATGTTGCAACTCGCTTCATGCGCTCAGCTTGACCTTTGCTATCCCTAGAACCATACAAAATATCTTCATTTATATTTCATTTCAAAATTTCTCAAAGATGTTCTTCAACCGTTCTTAGATAACTACCAAAGTTTTTGTGATTATTCGCACTTAAACAACGAACTTTTTGTTTTTATATATCTTCGCAATTCGCTGGAAAAGTAGTACACGAAATTGTCAAAATAACGAGTAATCACGAAATATGACACCAGTCTTTTTAGAAATTCTAAAATTGTCACACTCATCCCAACCATTCCAAGCACCGTTGCCTTAAAAGAACTTTTTCGGGTTATGTTCAAGCTCAAGACCCCTTTCTACTCTCAACTTTCGCCTTGAAACTTCATGTCTCATAACTCTCGTAGATGTTATTTCTTTTTATCTACCTTTTCTGGCACCTATTCTCTGTTCTGAAGTTGTTCAAGTCTTCTCCCTTTTTCTGCTTTCTCCTCATAAATTCTAGAGCTAGTTGGATCCTGCCTCGTTTAATTTTTCTATGGTCCAACCTTAACCGAACTCCCACAGTGATAACTATGATTTCTATGGTAACTATGATTACTTCAACAGTAATAAGAATGATAAAAATATTTTGACTGCACTAAAGATGCTTGGCAATGTGTATTGCATTTTTAGATATTAGAATTGTAGCTAGTTATTCTTCTTCTAAAGATATCCCAACGAAGTCAGTCAGGTGCTGGAACCAAGACAAACCAAACGCCGTTTACATTTACTGTTACCAAAGCGGACGTTACTAGACGCCAAGAAGCAAGCAGAAATCAGCAAGATCCAGCTGAAGAATCAACAGCAATCCAGTTTATAAGCCACGAAATAAAGAAACTTTTGAAAGATTTGCGGGTGAGTAACTTCATCGACATTCAAACTTTTTTTACCAACTTCGTTTTTCATAATTTGGAAACATTCAGAGATACATCCATTATGATAGAAACCTTAACAGGCCTTTTTCTTTCTGGTAATAATTTATATATCAGCCAAAATCAAGTTTGTAAACGACATGGAAAGGTTTTCAGTCGGTGAATGAAATTGATGAAATAGACTTTCTTAATGCCCAATATATTAAAGGCAAACTGTCTCGTTGTGGATTGGTTTACGAGAACAATAGCTGGAACAATAGCCTAAACACGATTCCAGCGCTCCGCCATATTTTTTTCAATGCGATGAATTAAAGGGGGACTGGAAACAATAAAAAACCCCTTTGTTCTTATAATCAATGAACGTCGTGACAGAATGCCTTTAATCAGCTCAAAATGAGGTTGAACAGGTTCTCAAATGCCAATTAACAGATACTAAATGGCTTAAACCATCTGTCAATCAAATATTGGCCAATCATTGATACGACTCACGCGCTTATTGATTTCGATTATTATCGATGACCTTTACTATTGGAATTTTATTGTCTTTCAATGTGAATGCGCTTGTTTTTTTGCAGTCAATTGACGGTCTTATACAACCTTTGAAACTGCTTTATCTTAAGAAAGTCTGTATTGAAAAACATCATCTTGAATACTTCATACTATAGTTTATATGCAATAAAACAAAAGACCCAGACTCTTGTAGCCAGAATCAGAAAGAGTTCCTTTTCTTCCTTGGACTCGTCAACTGGGCGAGAGATTAACGGCTGTGATTGGTCAAAAACATAAACCAATCAAACGCGTTTATCTTCCTCTCGCGTTACTTTTGATCCGCATTTGGAAATAAATTTTCTGCTATGTCGGAGGAGAGTACTTTAGTATGATATGATATGTTTCCGCTCTCTCGTGCTATTTACAATAAATATCAAAGAATATTGGGTATCATTTGGATTGATACTGTATCTATATTGTTATTGACGAGACTCATTTAAGTATGAACAAAGCTATCCATTGCAAAAGGGTACATTAAGTCGACCATCTTTCGTAGATTGAGTTTGAGGCATCATCGGTGTTCAATAAAAGTGGCGACTTTGATCCTGTCTTCACTGGTGGAGCCTGGGAAAACACGTGGAGCCACCAAAGACAAAAGCGAAGGATGGAAAAGAGGCAAAGAACTAGTAGTAGCGAGGTTTGTAATACTGAAGTAAACAGTAAGGATGTTGTTCAGTCGATTAACCATGAGACTGTCAGCAATTCTAGGGAGCCTACCATTCTTAGTGATAGTCCAACTGCCTTGCCTTGTAAAGTAGAAGAGAAGGAAGATGCCACTGATAGTCAAAAGGGCCATTCTGATAGTGAGGGAAAGAAGAAGCCAAACATTGGACAAAAACGTGCCTTCCCTGTTACGTTTCAAACGGTGAAAGGCTCTACTGACAAGCCTCTTTTCAAATTTAAAATTGTTGTATCTATAGACACGAACACTATTGGCGTCGAAGCTGAAACAATAAAAGTAGACGTGATATGCTTAGAAGGGAACCGCGAGAGTATGCACCAGCTTTTTATGTTTCTACGAAATAAGCTTAATGGTTTACAGCCGCAAAACAAGAAGAAAGAAAAGTGACTGCATCCAACAGGCTGCTGTTCTGCAAATTAATATTGTTTTATTCTAAGTTTAAGACCCCGTTTACACGAGACCGGTTCCAAAAAGATCCGTATCCATTTGAGCTCACTTCCTCCTGTTCACACGAGACCGTCTCCAAAAAAGTTCACTTCGCATTCTGTTCACACGAGACGTGAACTCAAGATCGTTTGTGAAAGAAAGCTCAAAACACTCGAGTCGAATGCCCCTATAACCGTGACAACAAAAGTGAAAAGGCGCCAAATTCGCTTCGCTGTCGCTTTAATTCTAAAGTTACTCCGCCAGGTTTCTGTTCTCCCAGGCCTCGTTCAGAAGGTTCTTCTCTTCTATTTCTTTTCAATATTCAGCTTGTGCAAAACGATCTCATATCGTGTGGAGCTCTGCTCTGCTAACGCAACCAACCTGTTTTGTCGAGTTCGATGAACCTTTGACATTACAGTTGCGAACAAGAAACCTTTGCTGACTGCTGCAGAGAGTGCATGTAAAACTGACATCAAATTCAACGTTATTTCGAACGATTTTTCCATGATTAGAGCGTACTTGTTTCTTGGCGATTGTCACGATGATGCGTAAAAAGGGCGCAAAAGCGAACAAACGAAAATGGTTCCTCTTACTATAGCCTCTGTCGCCGGAGAATATACCCTCGTTACGGTAGCGTACTAAAAAAGATCCAGTTTCGAGTGTTTACACGAGACCAAGTGAGACCGGCTCCAAATGAGTACGCCTTCGTAGGTGAACTCAAATGAGTACGGCTAGGTGATCTCGAATTAGTACGGTTAGGCAGGTCTCGTGTAAACAGAACGCGTAAGTGAATTCGAATGGATACGGATCTTTTTGGAACCGGTCTCATGTATACAGGGTCTAAAGGAATCGGTTTCGAAGAAATTGGCCCGTGTTGCTGCACCTGTAAAGAACCAGCATACAGAAAAGTCAAGCTCTTCTGAATTTATTAGGAAAATTCCAAGTTAATAATGGAATTAAACTCGTTTTGATCCTGAATCTAGAACGTATAGTAGCCTGAAAGACATGGAACACGTATGAGGCTGATAGGGGGAAAGAGACTCAAGCTGTAAAGCAAACTCTGCATGTCGACAAAGAATGTCAAATAATATTTTCTCTGATAAAATAGCTTTATGTTTTGGAAAATTCAATTTAGCTTTCCGAAACTTTGTTTTTAATGCCAGCCTTGAATTTAATTATTGTACGTAGAATTTAATAGTTTCAAGTATAGTGAGCCACAATGGGGTCGTAAAAGTATGGAAACGTTAGTTCAAGATGGCGGCTCACAGTGACTACGGGGCTAAGTCGACCAATTTCAAAATCAGGTTTGTGAGGTGAAGAGGCGATAGTTTGTGGCGGTAATATGCAATCGCCATTCTTTCGACTTTCAGTTAAAAGATAATTTAATTATTGGTCTGCTGTTTTGAGAGAAAAAATTCAGGAAAACTTTGAAGCATTGCATCAAAGCAATTCTGTAAAATAATGTCAAAGTATTCATGAAAGATGACCATGAAGTGTCACTTTTTTAAAGAAAAATGAACGGAAAATGTTGAAATTTGAAGCATTGAAGCTTGTTTTTCATGAAAAAATTATAACTGATGAAGTTATTTTAGTAGTGCACTTTAATTTTACAGTTTCAATGCTAACACAAGGTGAGTTGCTCTACATTTGACGTTAAAGACTTGTTTATTTTAAATTCTGATTTGCTTGTTTTCTAAGCACATGGAAATTGAAGCAAAACGTTCTACGTTTGTTCTGCTTTTAAAATTAATGAAAAGAATCATCTACACCCAAAGCGTCTATGTTATTTAGCACGCCAACTATTTTGATCACTGATTGACAGATTTAGAAATTGTTCACCTGATATCATTATTACCAACCTAAAGCATGAAATCTCAGCCAAAATTATTTTCTCTGTAATATATTTAAAATCAGAACAAAGGTGCACGTATTAAGATTCAAGTTTAAACGAATTATTTTATGCGTCTTAAGTCTTTCCTGTGTTTTAACGCATTTTTTTATTAATCCTTTGATAATGTTTTCCAGAACATTTCTGAAGCACCGGTACAACGTTTCCCTGGTTTTTTCCCACAGAACAGTACAAAAATCTTTCAAAGCTATATTTATTCAAAAGCCATTGGGATTACGCAAACATTTTCGTACCGAAGGCGTTCGTTACCAAAACCCCTTAGCGCTGAACTTCTGTTTTAAAAACTTGTCGGCGTAGGCCCATAGCTTTTATGAGCCGCCATTTTAGGCAGTGTTTCCATACTTTTGCGACCCGAGTGTCTATTATTTTGTTTCCTTTATAGCAATTTTTTCCTTGGATTTAAATAAGAAAAGAAGTTAACATCTGTGCTCTATTTTACTTTGCAGTATCCCTAACTTTCACGAATCTTTTACTCTTTTGTGATTCAATTGGATGCAATTCTCAAAGATATTTTGCAACAGTAGTAATGCAATTTTTGTGTGAGAAATGTAGCTTTTAGTAGCAAAATCAACTGTAAATAACTCTCTTCTCTTGAAAATTTTTTATGTATCGGTTATCTCTGTAGAACCAAATATTGACAGCACGGGTAGAACGGCTCATCCCATTTCAAAGATAGTATTTAGCCTTAGGCCTTTTTGTATTTGTTGCTACCTAGCATCCGAAGGTAGTTTTTAGGACACTCAGAAGCTATGCTTATCGAGCAGTGTCCTGGTCCTTCCTCTCGATGTGACCACACCTCGTGATTCCTATGCCTGGAATTACAGAGAGCTGGCGACTCTCCTCACTCTGGGTAAAGGTTTGGTCATGCCAGGGACTCGAACCACGGACCGTCCTCGCACACCCTTGCCGCACAGCAAACTACATATTCTTCTCCTATAATCTCAACACTGCGTGGACTAAGACTAAACTTCTTCTCCTATAACCTCAGTTTTCTTCCTTGGTACAGTGGATGGGTAGAAACAACTATCAAATAAGGCGTCAATATTCTTTTGGGAATATATACCGAAACAGATTTATAGATGAAACTGATTTGATTTTACATTTATTATTATCAATTTTGTACATCCTTTGTCATCAGATTTATATATACATGTAGTTCAAACATTAGTGTCTCGAGATTTTGTCTTTACCGCCACTCCTGTGTAAACATTTTCCTACTAGCTCAAGATCCATTTGACACTTCTATTAGCTGCATAGCTTTTATGGCAAATATGCCTATATGGAGGATGATGCTCGATCTTCATTGAAAGATACGCACAAACCAGCTACTTTAGAGGATTTGTTTCCCTAAAGAAGTAAGCACTTGAAAATCCTTTTTGATCCGACAAAGAAGGAAACTAATCACATGTTAAACTGCATAACCCACTTTTAATCCAAAGACACTTTGAGCGAACAGTTGAAGCAATGTCCCCGAAAATTTCTCCATCACTGTTACCCTCTCCAGAGTGGAAGAATGTTTAACCATCTCCTGGCGTTGAGTCAAAGATCCCAAATCTTTCCAATATATAAATAAGCAAGATGTGGTTATAATGTAATGGCTCTAAGATTAATAAGCAATGACTAAATAACAGCACTTCCTCAGTGAATTTTGCGTCTTCTCTGGCCATTTTTAGCTTCACTGGCCATACATCTGTCATTTTTTAAACGACAGACTTTTTGACCTCATAAAGTTTTCAACATTGGTTGATATAAAAATTCCCGTAGATTTATCAACCAATGCAAAAAGGAAAACCACACGGGTTAAACACATTTACTTGTTCTATAACTGTTTCATAACTAACAATGTGAAGATGGGTTTTCAGTGACTTTATATTAATCGAAAGTGCCTACGAGATATGTTTAAGAGTTACCATAAATTTAATAAGCATTATTTTATAGGTATTCTAATGAAGGTATTATTTTTGTAGTACATTCTCTTTCAAGGAGTGTACCACTTGGCTGTGTTAGCCTTTAGCAACTTGATACTCACAAACTATAATTCTAGATAAAAGGCTGGAATGAATCGCATTTATTGAACTGATCAAAAAGGAGAGGGTGAGAGCTTAGAAGAAGCCTTTTCATTTCACGTCTGGCTGTATTACGATTGGATATTTAAAGGCAGATTTTGTTTCAGCATGATGGTTTCGATACTCCAGACATGAAGCAGATTTCTGGAAACAATACAATCTTCTTCTTCTGACTGTCCTGTTTTATCTGCAAACCAAGATACGACTAGATTAAAATATTTTTCAAAATCCTTTCAAAATGCAAACAATTTTAAAAATTACCAGTTCATCGACAAGCAACTAGCAGGTACCAATCTGTATCTTAATAGGCCACTAACAGGTAGGTAGCCTGGAGACCAGCCGGCGTTTCCTATGGCAACTATTAGGCCTATTTGTTTAAAGAAGCAGGTGGTATTTAATACGCTTGACCATATAGCTATTCAGCATTTGCTCTAAATTGATTCTGAAAACTTTTTTAACGAACGTTGATAAATTATGAAACGTTATACAAAACCAAGCTAACTCTTGTGGCGAGAAACTGGGAACGTGTGATGCGTCAGTCGCAAATTCCGCACTTCTAGAACACGCATCAGCATTGTTATTCTTTGCTTCAGCTCAAGCAACTGGTTACAACTTGAAAGCCATTTGGCCTAACTTAGGAAGATTTCTAAAGAACTTTTGTGGAGATATTTATTGACATAAAGACACAGAAAGGCAAACTGCTAAAGTTCAACATGTCTGACATCTATCTTGGCGAAGATGTCCAAGTTACGCTCACAATCGTTTACATTTTGTTGGCAATCGCTTCAGTCTGGTTGACGCTATTTTCTCCCTACATCTTAGATTGGATGGGCGTCAAATTTAACAAAAAGCCAAAGAATGTTCGTGACTGGCCGAAGATTTTTCTGATTTTGCTCATCCTTCAGCCGTTCACATTCTTGATGTCATCCGTCGGGCTTTGGTGGCTGGGTGCATTTGCTTACGTACCCCCGGCACATTTTGGATTGACGTTAATCTCCTTCATTGCCATCGATTTCTTCAGGGAGGAAGAACCGTGGGAGAAAAAATATGACTACACGAGATTTTAGCTGTGTGAGGAACTGGCAATCTATTTTCAAGAATGTCCATGACACAAGCAAAATATGCTGGAGACATTTATTCTAAACAATCGGAGTATGTATTGCACATAACTAAGTTTAATATTTGAGATTTGCAAACACTTTCCCATCAAATCAAGCACATGAACTGCTCGAAAGACTGAATACATTAAGATCGATGGAAGAGCTTCAAGCATATAATGTTTTAATGAAGATGTTTGTAATATTGTAATTGTTTAATGTTCCTTCGTAGCGTCGCCTTGATACGCAGCAGCGATTCTTTCAGTACCAAGCTTAAAGAAGAGAGCTTAAACGCTAAAAAATTAGCAATTAATTTCTTGACTGTTTTCAAAGACATTTCCTAAACATTTCTCGCTTGCTACTAGCATCGATAGATTTTTACGACTAATTTTCGATGTTTTGAGAATGATCAGTTTTTAATTTACAAAAATTGTTAATCAAAATAATTTTCAGCCTCTTTTTTAGTTGTTGCTTTCTTGCTGATACAGTCTTTCTAAAAATTCATTAAATGACACGAATATTTCTAGGTAAGAGTCTCGTGTTTTTGTTTCTGTGAATACACCTGTTGCAGCTCATCATTTTTAATCATTCACCATGTATGCGAGCACAAAAAACCATCCTTGTGATATTTTGAATGTTTTCCAGCACTTTTCCAACGCTTGTATTTCATTCGTCTGTTTTGGAACCAAACCTTTACTTGGAACTCAGTCAATCCTAGAAAGTTTGCCAGTTGTGCCCTTTCGAATCGTGATGGATATCGACTGAACTGAAACTGATGCTCAAGCTCACACCTTTGGGCTTTGTTGAATGTCGTTCTTTCACGTTTCGATTCTAAGCTGTTATTTGTTTGACGCTTTCCATCTGCTGTAAATGTAAAGATTTTTAATTTTTGAATGTACTTCTATCCTTATTTTGTTACAATGCTGTGAACCTGTTTCGCCGTGGTATTAATTTTGACAAAAATGAAAGTTTGTCAATTGAAAAGACAATTAAACAAGTTTGAAGTTGCGTGAATGGTTATCTACCATATTATGATTTAATAAGTTAAAATTTGGAGTTTTGTTTTGGTTTTACCAATCCTAAAAACTGGAAGGTCAAGTTGAAAACAAACGTGGTTTTTTTACCCATACTCTGGGAAAAAGTCGACATACTTCGTTTGTTTTTCTTTAGTTTCTGGCTCTCACACCCCCTTCCCTACCCCATTTTCCCCCTAAAGTACTATTCTTGTACCATGGCCCTGCCATTAAGCATACTTTGCATCAAACATTGCAAATTTGTGTCAGAAAGTGTGTTGTGGGATGTATTTAAAGTGTGGGTTCTATTGGTATTTATTCAGTCGTGTTAAAATGACCTTCGAGTGGCGTGGATTTTTCAAGAGTGCTGCCGTTTCAGTAAATCGATTCAGAATTATTTGCTGATTTGAATATTAAATTGCCAACACCGTCAATTATCTGATGCTGAAATATTTATAAATTTTATAGGGTTTAACATACTAAGAATATTGAAGTTTGCATCATTTCATCTTTCTAGATTTTTCCATTGGTTCATTTAGAAATGGCGGAAAATTGAGGGGCATTTAACTTGCTTATATAAATAAATTGTACTGTACCTTTCCTGTAAAATGGTCGTGGATTGATCATCCAGTCATATTTTTTGCTCTCCAATTCTGATTCTTCAACTGAGATCTTGGCGCTTGCTGCTGGTTTTGTTATTTTCATATCCTGAGGGCTGGGACTTTCAATTCCCTTCAATTGATCTTCCTTCTTTGTCATAATTTCTTGGAGAGTCGTATCGATTCCACGGAAACCTGACAGAAGTTGTTGTTGTTGCTGCTGTAAGTAATAATTCTGCATACATCCGCAGGATTTTGCGACGGGTGGAATCACACAGATACATGGTAACTCTGCTGGCATTTTAGAGAGCGATGTACGTGACACTATCTGATTCCTAATTACCCTTGGCTCTAGATATTGCAGTAAACTGTTATGACCATGATATGCTCTGCCTTTGATGTGAGTCTCTGGACCGGATGTTCCTTTCTTTAATCTTAGCAAATGGTCCTGCTTTCCCCTCGTACTGACTCCAGTTATGCCCTGATTGGGCTTCATTTTGTAAGAACTTGCTCTTTGCTCCACATGGTTGGTTTCACGAAGTAGATCATCTATCATGAAACTTGACATTTTGATTTCTAAAGCATCAGTTAGTGTGACGTCAGAGCCGTTGTGTATGATCCTATCGAGGAACACATAGAAGTTTAAAACATCACTATCATCTATAGATCATCATAAGCATAATTATTAAAAACAGCTTGCCTCCTTAAGATTTACGAACCCTATCATGCTTCTTCAAATTCATTCCGCAATGATTTGGTGTTACTTCTTTAAAATATTTATCAATTTTTAATTCCTGGAGACTATAATTACCTTTCCAGTATTTCCAATGGTTAGCAAAATCATGTTTGTATTTCCAACGATGTAAAATTTCAAAATATTTAAGCGACATTTTCCATTAAAGCATCCGAAGATTTTTGCCAATCTTATTTACACCCCTGCGAAACCGACCGAAAATGCCCAGACCGGTACGTTCCCTTTGGATAATCGAATTACCTGTCATTTTCCCATTCCCCCGCGTCTCTTGCAAGCGGAGTTTTTTTACCCCGTCAGTCTAAAGTTTTCTTTTAATGGACATACATCTCATGTCACTTCAAGATAAATGCTGCTGGCCCTGGTATCCCCCGTGCGGGAAAAAGTTCACCTTGTTAGTTACACAGGGGTGTTCGATTTAAAATATACGATACACCTGGCCATTTGCTGAGTGTTGAACGGGGAAGTTCCGCAGCTGGAAAACAACTTCCTCAGACAGCTTGACTCATAAAGCGATAAAGTGCATTTTTACAGTCTTATGCTCAATGAACCACATATTATAAGAACGATACCTTTTGCCTACAGACGTGAAACGGAATCCTATTACAATAAGAATGAGCTCCACGATTACCACGTTCAGAAAAAAATTAAAGGAATTCCTGCAAAATTAGCATCCTTTCCCGAAGCATGATCCCTAGGATACCAGCGTTATATGTAAATTAATCTTTACTTTTTTTATTTTTTTAACTTAGTAGCTGATAGGGTTTCTGTGTATAAATATGATAAATAAAAAATAATAATATGATGACGCATTTTGAAATCGGAAACAATTTTGTAGCAAGGGGCTAACTTTAGAGGCACTTCCTGAAATTCCTGAAACAGTATTCTTTCTTTCTTGAACCTATCTATATTTATGAAACCATGCAAGGTGCAATCAGAAACTGAAGTGACATTATTTCATTTTTCTGCTCTATTTAATTTCTCTGCCAAATGCTCAAGAAATTTTGCTGTCAACGGAGAGAGGGTGATGTGAAACGAAATTGCCCTTTGCATTGGCCTTCGTGATTCACTCGCTAACTGTACTGCCATTTTCAATCAATTTTCTGATTGTTTTGATGGCAGCGCTGATCAAAATTTTCGACACTTTTTGTGTGCCAGAATTAAGGCATAGAGCCTATCTTCAAAATGCAAGCAGCAGACTTAAATAGAGATATTACTTACAAAAAGAATCATTTTCCGTAAGCCCTTATCCAGAAGCCATAATGGGGGCACCTCTTTGTGCTGCAATAATAAACGTAGCCTCTCTTTCTGAAAAATTGGAGTACGTGCCCCCTGTGCCCCCTGTTTTAACGTCAATGTACGTTTTATTTTTAAAACCAATAAGAGCAAAATAGGGAATAAGGAGAAATGCCGCAGTTGGTATCTCTGGTGTCAAAATAATGTCTTATTTACTGTTACAAGGTTGACTTAGTTTCGGGTTTGAATAATTTAGATCTAGAGCACTCACTTGTGTTGCAACAAATCTTGGCCTTTGGAGTTCTTAAACCGTCTCGGCTGCTCATTTACCTTTAGTCGAAAACACAGTATGAGTACTTTCCTCCGACCAAGCTCAAAGCAAACACGTCTACATTAAAAAAGAGTCAAATACTTGCTCAAATAAAATTTTGTATTTAATGTGAAGTTTCTTACCGGATTTTTTTATTAATTTGCCTCTTTTCTGAGCAATTAGGTGTTGGCCTTCTGTTGACTTGTTCTTTATAACGTCGAAAACTAGCTGTACGAGGGGATCGCATCGAGGCCATGCGAATGTCATCTTTCAACAACGATCTTCACCAGTGTAACAGATTAGCAGGAGACAATGTGGTAGTTGCTATTGAACGTTGAGAAAATCCTATATTCTCATAAAGTGTTAATTACGAATCAATGATTCAAATCAGCATTCTTGGGCTTCGATGAAAGATAGAAATAGTCTGGTCATCTGTCTTCAGGACTGAAACCTAATCTGCGATCTGCGATAATATAGTGTCTCTATCCTTCCTTTATAAGTTCACGTTTACGTTTAATCGATCTGAACAGAGACTATGTAACTGCAATGTTAAATTTGCACCGCAACAAGCGTATCTAAAAATTTCAATAATCCTCATTTTATTCATTTTACATTATATGGCTGTGAGGCAAAATAGAGCCAAACTAGAGGGTAAGGGTACTTCCTGAAAACCTGATCCGCTATCCTTATGTGAAGCACTTTCAGTCATATGGTAGCGTTTCTAATTGGCCTATTTCAATCCAAAAGTGGGTATATATGTTTCCTAGCTTAGTATGTCTTTTTTAGTCTTATAATGCTTGCTTTTTTCAAAGCTATTTTTCATTCTGTACGGCCAAAAATTTGCTTGCTCGTTCTATTATTCAAGAAAGGAGAAAACCTGTATTATTAACGTGAAACTTGAATTTTTCTTGTGATTTTGTCAGTTATAAAGTAAACCGTGAAAGGCTTGCTCAGAAAAAATGAATTACCCAGCAGTAAAATACTGCATTTCAAAGACAAAGATAACTTTATGGAATTCCATTTAAAAAAATTGTGATTGATTATATTCTATGCTATGTGATTTCATTTTTGCCATTGCGATGGATGTTATCTGGAAATTAAAATCAAGATAAGTTAGAAAATCAACGCAAACCTATTTGGATTATTCTCTTGCTAATTCGAATAAAGTTACCATTGAATTGCATGGGTAAGGATCTTTGCACTTGAAGGTTATATAATTCTTGATAATCTTATTCGTATTGCTACGAAAGACCTTATTTGAACCATGGACCCAAAATCTGAAATTCACTGCTCCAATAAGTAAAAAATGATAATACTATTTACTGTACTGATTGCTGATTAAATTTTGGTTCCTTGAAAAAAGTGCAAACGTTTTTCTGCAGTGAATGATCTGCAATGCTTTAAAATTCTGTATGTTATTCTTAGTTAGTGTACATTCACTATTTGGAAAACTAGGCCTTTATGAAATTCAATTTTAAACCTATATTTTTTGCAAGGTGGTTCTATGTAGTGTAAGTTACGTCAAATTAATTTGTTGACGTCATCAAATAAACATTGTTATTCCAGTTAGAACCTAAACCCTAAAACTTACTTTATTTCTGTGCCTTTCCATCCAAACGTTTTAACAATTGTTTTAGCAGTTAATTGCTCTCAAGATTGCAAGTTTTCGTACATGTTTTTTTCTGGACTGACGGGTATTCAATCTTGGCTCTATCGTGCTTAGATAAACAATCTTCGTACAGACTTCCCATGGACGTGTTGCCAGATCGCTTGTGGTTGGAAATTTTTTCTTATTTACACTTAAAGGAGAATTTTGATAAGCGGCTTGTGTGCAGAAAATGGCGTGATTTGCTTCAAGACTTCTCTTTGTGGACTGAAATCCGAATAAAGCATGACACCCATCTTGCTTCTGTTGTTACAGATGACGTAATTGGTGATTGGTTGGCTCGTTGGGGACGTCGTGTTAGATATCTACAGTTTCGCTACTGCCGAAAGCTAACGAACTTTGCTGGACAGTTGATTGCAAATAATTGTCCCATGGTTGAAATCATCGACATACAAGGCTGTGTCGGCATTGGAGACTACGGGATAGCACTTATAGCGGCCTGTTGTAAAGCTGTTACGAAAGTTAACTTTTTTATGACGGGGGCAACAGATGTCGGATTCTCGGAGCTGCTGGAAAATGTACCAACTATCACAGCAGTTAAACTGCCAAGTAAGGGAAACTGTTATCGCAATTTAGAAGCAATCATGAAGCACTGCAATGTGCTCGAAACACTTATTCTAAATGACGTTATTCCTTTTAATGAAACTGATCCAGTGGTACGTGATGGAACAATCACTGAAATTTCAAGAAAATTCACAACTATTCGCAAGCTTAGTTTGAACTGGTGTTGGTACTTAACTGACGAATGTATGGCTGCTATTGCTGAAAATTGTGCAAATTTGAGTCACCTTGCTATTACAGAGTGCCATCAAGTGACAGACGATGGCCTGATAAAAATTGTACGGAAGTGTCCAAATCTTAGAAAATTACAGTTGGGACGTCTTTATAGTGTCACTGACCGATTAGCTGAAGGTTTCACGAAGAAGAAAAGTTCGCTTGTAAGACTGAAGCTGATTGATACCTCCATCACCGATAAAGGTGTCTCCAAGATTCTCGAGAACTCTCCAGATATCCGTGCTGTTTACCTTGGGGAATACTGTTTGAATGTCTCAAAGCTGACTGGAGAGTTTCTCGACGTCTGCTCGAAAGATTGTAAGAAGTTGGTCGAGTTAGTCTTCGTGTCATCAAATTCTATCAGCAACGAAATGGCCCTAAAAATAGCAAAGAATTTGACACATTTGGAAATACTGCTTTTGAGTTCCTGCTCAAAGATTATCAAGTCTGGTTTGGAAGCAATGCTTAGTACTCTAAAGAATTTACGAGAACTGAGGGTCTGTAAATGCGAAGCCATGGATGATGATATTCTTGGAGCCGCTGCACAGTTGCTTCCTGTTTTACGTTCCGTTGAGGTATATGGATGCCATAAGCTGACAAAAAAGGGCATCAAAAAATTTCAAAAAATCAAACCAGACTGCAATTTACGATTCTAAACAAATTTTTTCTCATTATGACTTCTTATGGTAACTTTCTAATGACTTTGCTTGAATTGATTTGAAAAGTTATCACGATGAAATTTACTATTATTAAATTCTATATACATATGAAAACGTATCAAATGTATATTGCAAGTCATTCTCGAAAGTAAAATATTTCTCCTAATACGCCATGTCACTGATGAATTGCATAAAGCAGTTCATGCTCTAAGTGTTCACGTGTGGGTTGGGTACCGAGGAGCCCAGCACTCTGCTATGTTCCCAAATTTTTCAACTGATAAAAGCTTTCAGCCAATTTGTTCTAAAGCCCAGGCCAAACTACTCGATTTTTCACTCGATATTTTACTGAACAAGAAATCAAGTGAAAAATCGAGTCGTTTGGCCACCTTGTCAAGCGAGTCGAATGGCGTCGATTGATTTCGAGATTATAAATTGTATAAATTTTAAAGTTGCTTCTATTCCCTAAATGAAGTGACTAAAATTTTTGTCAGACCTTTTTGAAACCCTGTGATGATTTTAAAATATGGCATTGTGAGTTTCGTTCGTTCGATCTATGGTATGAGTCACAACAACGTATAGGTCAACAATGAACAGAAAAGTGAAGCTAGATGTAGCATTTCAGTGCAAAGACACACTTACAGATGAAGCTTTAGCAGTGTTTCAAAATTTTTGCCACCTTTAAACTCCCAAGAATTCTAAATTATGAAGTATTTTAAATGCTCATATTTTTGTGTTGTTGTCCTTCTTTCACTACCCTGGGTACCAGACTCACTATATATGAAATAAAATAGAGAGTCTGGTCTAGTGCGCCCCATTCTCGTTCTGGTGTGCTGATATTAACCAATCAGGAGCGAGTGTACAGATTTCTGTACGTTCAAAGGTCACAGCGAAACAATAAACTTAGCTCTGGTATAAAACATTGAACAGAACAGAACATAAATAAATGCTAGCGATCGAGTTTGAAGATGCTGTTAAAACTGTACTCAAATAATATTTTCCGCATATTGTGGAACTGATCACAGAGCAACATTGAAAGCCTTGTTTGTAGAGAGAAGAGACACCTTCGCCATATTGCCAACTGGCTTTGGAAAGTCTCTGATATTCTAGGCTGTGCCTCTCGTTGCAAAGAAATTAGGCCTTGTAGTGAAATGCAGTAGATCAGAAACACCGCAAGGCGCCGAGAACAAACAACAACAAACATAAGTAAATCAGTTATAGCTAATATTTCGCCCGGCATACGGGGCTTAGCTTGTCATATTGCCCATATTTGCTGTGGTGACCTTCCAACGTGATGATTCTAACCGCCGCGGTGTCCAAGCGCGCTGCCTTCACAGTTAGGAAGTAGACGTTGAAAGTACACACAATTTATGAGGAAAATTACAAAAGACTATGATTAACAATTTGATAATGATTAACATTTAATAACTGCATTGTGCTAACTTCAATTTCATGCTTCGCACATGTTTTTTGCTGCCAAATGGCGTTTTAAACCTGATTTGATTGTTATCTTGAGGCAGAAAAGTTTATTACCACTGTATCAAAAATGTCGACTTTAAAGAACTAAATAAAACACATTTGCTTTAAGATTTCCCAAAACTCCTCTGACTACTGAGTTTCTTTATTATTTATCTGACAGTCTTTTTTCACAGGCCTAGTCTGTTAAATAGACTTCAGTTCTTTCAAGTAAGTTCACCAGAACGAGAATGGGGCGCACTAGACCAGACTCTCTATTATTTTATATAGTGAGTCTGGTACCCAGGGTATTCTTTCACCAGCAGCCTTGCAGATGTTACGAAAATGACAAAGACAATTCCCTAGAAATCATCCTGTGAGTGAGTTAATCTTGGAGGGTGTGACACCCTAAACCCCCATATGTGCGCCACAATTTCTCCTAAAGGCATTATTGAAGGTGAAGGTGTTTGTCTGAAAGACTCATGGTCGTTTTGCCCAGATGATCCCTTTAAAAAACGTTCCCCCTGATACGGCACAGACTTCACGTATTATAGTTTAATGATGTTAGGTAAGGTTTTGTTTCCATCTTCTTGTTGTTAGTTTTGTTGTTAGTTCCTTGCCATCAACATTACATGCTATTGCAGCATCTTGATCCATTTGGCGTCCATGCATTTCTTCACCCCAAATTTCAACTTGAATTGATTGCACCAATATTTATGCTGCTAAGAATAAAAACACATTCGTCATTTCTGGTTCTTCCAAATGTTTATTGCTATATGTAAAAGCGTTTTTAGAATTATGTGAACAACCTTCTGCTACTTAAACGACAGACTACAGAGGGTCTCAGGTAGAGAAGATGCTATTTTATTGGCTACACATGCTGGCTACGCAAACACATTTCCAAGCTTTAAATGCATTCTTCACAAAGTTCATATCTGTAAGGCAGAAGCTCTACTTTTTCAAGCCAATGGGATTGTCACCATACACATGGAAATGAAGACTACTTTAAATTTTCAAAGATGAAACTATTCTTTTTCTAGAAACATTTTTTAGAATAGATAGTATGAGCCTTGATGTATTTTGCAAAGCAACCTTGGAGTAACTAGAGAGTTTTTTGATTAAACTTAAGACGTGTGAGGTTGTGAAAAGTTTTTTCGTTATAAAAAGGTTGTTAAGTCTTTAAACATATTGATTTATCCTGACAGAATTTGAGGCAAACTTGGAGAGTATTCAAAATTTCTAATAAGTGATTGGTTTTGACCAGTGATGGCTTGTTTGATAAATGGTTTGTTGTCATTCTCCGGCACATTGTTGAGAATTATATCGATTGCATACTACATGTTTACATGTTTTGAAAGCGTGCCGTGTTGAATCTTTTACTGATAGCCAGGTTTCGTCTAAGTTGCCAAATCTATGGTCAATTTTGGCATTATCTTGGAGGCTCCCTTATTAGAAAATAGCTAAATGCTATGCAAAAACACCCCCAACTTACGATTATAAACGCAGTTAATATCATCATTTGTTCTTCTTTAACAGCATATTCAAATGAATAACGTTCTGTAACTGACACGCTGCAAGAGGTATTACATGTACAGGAGACAAGTTTTTGCAAGTTTTGATAATATTTGATACTTCAAACAGATAAATTATAAATTTAGGCATTAAGTTTTCACTTTGAGTTCAAATTTTCACACAAAGTGTTTCTTTATTTGCTTTTGAAAAAATTGTCAATTTTTTTTAATAAGAAAATCACTATTTTCTTTGTGTTCACAGTCTTGCCTAGACTTGCAGATTAGTTTCTCGTTTTTTGTCCAATTCAATAGAAATGGGTACTTTTCTAAAAATTTTAACATATGCATAGACGTGTAGCATTCAGCAAAATTATAAGCTGATTAGCGTACTATGTCAAAAAGAGGTCATTTTAGAGAAGTTTGAACAAAAAGGACCCAGGGATGGAGCCATGTTGAACACCTGTTAATGCATAGTTCTTGCTAGTCAGACCGCTGTGTAATTTTTAACAGATGGAATATAAATGGACTTCAAGCTGCCCAATAGCTTACGTGTTATGTTATGTTATGTTATGTTATGTTATGTTATGTTATGTTATGTTATGTTATGTTATGTTATGTTATGTTATGTTATGTTATGTTATGTTATGTTATGTTATGTTGTGTTGTGTTGTGTTGTGTTGTGTTGTGTTGTGTTGTGTTGTGTTGTGTTGCGTTGCATTGCGTTGCGTTGCGTTGTGTTGTGTTGTGTTGTGTTGTGTTGTGTTGTGTTGTGTTGTGTTGTGTTGTGTTGTGTTATGTTATGTTATGTTATGTTATGCTATCATGATATTTTGTTCTTGTAACATTTTCACGTAGCAGGAGCTTTTGTACAAGAAGAGGCGTTACACTTTGAAGACATATAAGTAAACGAATTGAGATTCTATAGGGCACACGTTAATGCCCGTGCTTTTCTACATCTGATTGAATAAAGCAATTCTGAATGATTTTTTTTATTTCTAAAGAGGGAATATGATCCCCTCAACCATAGCAACAACACTTGCAACATACTTACACAAACAAAGTGATTGCCGTTTAACATTTTAAAATGAAGTTAAATTTAGAATAAATAATACGAACAAATTGTACTTCTTTCAACCTCAAATTAATTATGGCGAATAAAAAGTTTGGTTGACATTCAGGTGTCAGGAATTGTGCATCTTAGAATCAAGAAATAAGAGGAACATCAACTTCAAGCAATAGTTTGGATTTTTGCAGGCCAAATTCATTCTTTTTTCATTCTCTTTTGCTATAAAGAAGGATGAATAAAGGGATACGCGTTTTGGACGGAGAAAATCATGAGATCCTTATACAGGGATTTGTCTTTAGAGATAGTTGGGGTTCTAATAAAAACAAATATTCCCGGATTCGGCATACTAGGATAAAGATATGATAATCTTGCAATTCTTATATGCCAAATGGTTTCTTTGTTACAGGGAGTTTTGAGCAACCTATTTCAAGGATATGATCTTCATGCTATGTTCCCTTCCAAAATGCTGGTCTTAATATACTACTCGCTTGGGGGTACGTGAGGGGGGAAGGGATCTAAAGTAGACTGAGGGTATTACCGGGTAAATCTTTCGCTAGATTTCATTAGGAGGCTTCTCCACCAATATGAATTTAGAGTTTCCTTTATTCAACAACATCTTAAAGCGATGAGAGGTATATTATCATAACTTCATTTGCTATTTCCACTATTTCATATATCCACAATACTCAGTTTAGAAGGGTGACATAAATCTTACAAGGTCATAAAAGAATAATTTAGACGAATAAATATCTTTATGTATATATTTATATATGTAAGTACATGATATAAGGACGATAAATATCGCCTCACGATTTTTCGGTTTTATTTTCGTCCGCCGTTCGGTTGTTGCGCGATGTTTTTCTTTTTGTTTTGCTAAATAGCTTAGCTGCTGACGATTGAAGGCGACGAACGATAACACACTCGCTTTCAGTTCCACTTGGCTCTGCCTCGCATTTCATTTCATGTCCAAGGCACGAACAGTCAGCATCAGAATGGCAAGATTTTTTTAAATCTTTGCACTGAAATGGATATAAATATGTTTAATTTTCGCAGTATTACATAGCTAAATATGGGAAATGTAATTCAAGAATACACCTACCCCTTATTTACCCATACCTTTCTATCAAGAACTTAGGGGCGTGCCCCCTAGTACCCCGAAGCAACCCCCATTGCTAACAAATTTGTTTGTTTTAAATGTAATAACATCGTTTGCCATTTACTATATTACATATAGAGGGGCCTGGGTCTAGCCTCTTTTACATCATTTTTTCACAGCCGCGATGGCGCGAATGACTTGAATTCCTTTTTACACGTTTTGAAAATGGTTCCGGATGCCTTCTACATCCGTAACATGGTAAACTTATATGCTTTTCAGATGATGTTGATACATACACTCGGGTTTCTAGTGGTCAGTAGCATTGCTGTATAATTTCAGGCTCATTATTATTTCTTTTAATTGATTTATTTCTCTGTTTTCAGTGTTTGCCGTTTTCGTCATTTATTTACAAGTTTCAAACATGTCTGTTCAGATGCTGCGCATTAAACTTGAAAGTTTTAAAGGTTCCACAAGAGAGTAGAAAACGAAAAAGATTAACACAACATATAACTTGAAATAAAGAGGGCTGTGTGATTCCTGTCCCTTTAAAACAGCCTGATGTTATTGATTAGAATTGAAAAAGAGGATGATTATCAGAATAACTTACTATCAAAAATGGGGGGTATGGCCTCTGCACCCTTTAGCTTACCCCTCCTGCTAGTCCCCAACCGAACAACAATTTATGTGGCTATTGTACTTGATGCAGAATCCTCTTTGCCCCAAAATGGTGCAGATGAATGAATTTATCAAGTAAACTTACCCTATTTAATTTTTGAAAAACTTTTCCAGCAAGCCTACATATTCCTTGCTCTGTGTCACAAAGATATTCATTGGCACTGCAGTCCATATGACTTGAACATGGCATTCCCTGCAAGGAAAACATTACTTAAACATAAATAGAGAGCTTCAGTTCTCTTTAAACATATTTATATTTTTGTTCTCTATACATTCAGCTCATATCATATCATGTCAATGTAGATAAAAATTGATACAAATTTATTTGATTTGTTTAAAAAGTCTGATTTAAATCATTTATACTGTATTATTTGTTAGAAATACCCTATTGAGTCAGAAGCAGCTCTATTTTGGCTTAAAATTTAAACATAATAATCATACAATTATATCCTCAGTTTGTTATACAAGTATCACATATCTTGCAAATGCTGAAGCTTATGTACTGTTGATATTTTCTGTACCTTTGATGAAATTTGCCTTTGTCTACTGTAATGAATCTTCATAACAGTTCTAAACTCTTCAAATGTCACCGGAAACCTGCACTGGTGATGATGACAATACTTCATATCAGGACAGCTTTCACTTGTGAAGCAGAATGAACTCTGAAAAGTAATGTAAAAGCATTTGTGAAAAGTTCTACTTTTCTCTAGCATTTTGCAGTTTAGTGAAAACTAAGCTTAAATTGGGAGCTGCCCAAGCCTGATAATAGGCCCTGCACTCCCCCCCCACCTCCTCTGCCCCAAGTGTATTATCTCAGGCTAGAGCAGCCCTTTCTGTTTAGCCTGGTGGTTTTAAATTGTTTTCTTTTCATAACCTTGGTAACCCTACCAACTGCCCCCCCCCCTATGGTAACAATCCTACTTCAGGTTGAATTATTTTTTGGCTGGCCTGAAGAAGTTCTGGACTGGTTTGCTAGTCTTTTTTGTAGGCATCAAACAAAGGGTTTGAACCAATGCTGCTTGTGCAAAGTGGTTTTACTTTGAAATATTTCTTTCTTCTTTACAATTCTTCAGAAGTCTGATCAAACTGATTTAACCACCATTTTAGTTTAAATGTGTTGCTTGGGCATGCTCCTTTACCTGCCAGACCAGATCTTTCCACTACCCATTTCCCATTCTTATTTCACCCCTTTCATCAAAACAATCTAAGTTGTGTTGAATGCATTGAAGTACTTTGATGGTCTGTTCACAATTATTATACAAGCAAATTTGTTGGTATCATTTTCTTGCATCAGAATTTTAATCTTAAATTGTTTCTGAGTTTAAGTCAATCTTGTTGCACAAGTATTTTATTTGCAAAAATTCAATTTAAAGCAATTTTTCGACATTATTCAACATTTTAAAATTTTATCTATAAAAACCAATGCACATAAATCACCACAAACTTCTTTTAGTTATGATAAAAACTCTACCAGAAACATGCCTCAAATTTCAAGTGTTGGGATCACATAATTTTTCTTAAAGGGCGTGACAAATAGCTATACAAACGATCCCGAACTTAACATTCCATTCTGGACGGCTTCCAACTGTCAAGTTGGGTTAATATTTTCTTGACACACAGGGAAATGCATGTTTTTTAAATCTCAACATTAAAACTGTGGCGTCCCAAGTGTGCGCTGGTACCAGAAGGAATGTAAACATAACGAACCGGTTCATATTTCTGTGTATAACCGCCGCTAAATCGAGATAAAACCTTAAATCCTACTGAAATCTAAAAGCTCGTAGGGTAGTTAAAGTCTACCCCGTTTGTTTTTAATCACACGATTAAAGCAAAATACTAAATTAGTGAGTGGCTGGCGCAGATTTCGTGCGCAAACTAGCATGCACGATTGTACAATCTATCGTGTCCATTTTTACACAATCAAAAGCAACACTCTTGACCTTTCTAACCAGAAAATAACATATTTTAAATTGCTATCGGTTGAAATATGACATGATTCTGATCCTACCATGCAAGGACAGGATCTCGTCACACTTGAATTCACGGTTATGTTGGTTTGTATACACACGACGTTTAGCAGAGGAGCGCTCGATATTCAATGTTTTACGTTCTGATGGATCCGAAGCGGCTTTTTGGAAATTTTATGCTCGCTTATCTGAGCGTTTATCAGAGCCTTTAGTAAGACATATTGATAGTTTCTAAGTAAGTACTAAACAGAACCAAGCAAATAGATTGAACATGAAGGTTGATAGAATCTTTAGCCTTTTGTGGCTTAGAAAAGACCATAAATTGTTCCAAATATTCAGGATTCTGATTATCAACTTTTTGACTGATGAACTGTTTAGTAGAAAAATGCTTTGTTGATAGTACTTAAATGATGCGGAAACAAAATTACACAAGAAATTCAATATGCAGATTTTCCTCAAGGTGCTATATATACTACATATATAAAAAAGTCTTGTAAAATCCTTTGTAGCAACCAAAAGACCTGACTTGATTTATCTATAGCGAAATAAATGTCACTGTAAAAAACAGTGCGATCTAGATCTTGATGTTGTCGAATAGCGCTTATGTATTATAAACTTTTTAAAATATCTAAACCAGTCTTGATATAAATTCTACCGCTCACTTTTCAAATGACATAACTTGTATTTGCTCTATATTGACTTACTAAAATGTCTTTTTTCCAAGGAAACGCTGCCACACTTGTGACCAGAGTCAGAAGACTTGAAAGAACAGCAAACAACATGTCGGTAAGATATTTATTTCGCTTGATGCTACCAGTTTGAGATACGCTGCCAAACACGTTAATGCTGCGAATACTGACTGATGCTGCTTGGTCAGCACTGCTCACGATGTCCCCTTCAACTGAAGCGTGTTGTGCTGAGCGTTCGTCTTTATCGGTAGATACGCAACCAAATCGCTCGCCCACTAATTAGATATTTGCAAAAAAGGTTACTTGAATAATGGTAACTTTGCCGCCACTCTTTATGGGCAAATTGGTCTTATTTGTAATTTATATTTCATTCTCTCACGAAACAGAACAGATAATCGATAATTATTTAATTGGGAAATAAATCTTTTATGACACAACATTGCTGATTTCTGTTGCTGCAGACTTGATTTGGTTTTTAATTCATTTTCTCATTGTAGTCGCACTAGCCCACTTAATACTGTTTATTCTATCATCATCAGCCCTGTGCTTCTCGTCTCCTGCTTGAATGCTGCCATTAAGAAATCTCCAAATCACCTTTATCTCTTTCATCATTTGATCTTCTCAACAAGATAAGGATTTTAGCTCCTTGTGGTAATAAACTGACAGGAAAGTTTCACTTGCACAGGCTCTGTGTTTCTCAATTCTCTTTTTATTAAATACTACTCTAACCAGATTTATATCTTAAAGTTTGTCTAGCTCGCTTTTTAAGATCTTTGCCTGGCACGGGAACATGTATTTCCAACATGATGTCATGTTTTGGCAGTAATGGCCAAACTTAAAAAATTGTTTCAGTCATAGATAATAGAACAGATTATTGTAAAGAGAAAAAGGATCTCTTCAGTCGACAGTTAATAGGGTCAGGAGTCCTACGCACTAATTTTACAGTACTTCTGGCTGCAAAACTTTCTTTTCGTATGAATTCACCTTTTCTTTTGAATATTGTTCCTATTTCGCGTCAACGTCAGTACTCAACCCCAAATATATAATTCTGACAGTAGATATTGTTAACAGTCAGTAATGAGACTTCTAGTCACCAAGACGTCAGTTAATAACGTTCTACGTACAATACTCATTTTTCCTCACTTCATCGATGAGTCCAGTATCATCGGACAATTGTCTCACAGTGTGAGAATACTGCACAAACTGTGAAGAATTTCCAATAAAATCTAAAAGTTGCAATTCCCTTCCCATGAAAACTTTTTCCCTCTTAAAGAGGTATTCAGGTTTCCCCAAAAGACACGCCCCCTTTGTTTATTGTCAATCCTTAGGGTTGTGGCATGTACTTGAAGAAGGTCGTTTCCCTTAAAATTGCAACCTCAACCTTCAAAGATTTTTTAGAGATAACATTTGAAAATTGTTTTTTCTCCAAAATATTGGTTATTGAAGAAGCTTCGGTCTGCACAAAGGTGGTGTAGTGCACCTGGCTATGAACATGGAGAATCTTTTCAAAGCACTTTCATACTTTCAAATTCTTATTGACTGTCAAGCTACTGTCAAACTACTGTCAAACTTGCATCATGCGATTGATATGTTGGTGGTATTAATTTGTCTCGAGGCAAATGATTCCCAACAAAATAAAGAAAAGGTTATAAAAATGCCATTTCTGCATTTCCTTCCTTTGACCACAACAATTTTATGAATGTCTTTACTGCTGTCCAACTACAACGACATCAAACCGGCGGCTGGTCTTTCCAGATATTCAAAATACAATACTAGAAAAAGAGTTTGATGCGCCAAAACTCCGCCTCTTTTGGAAGCCTTGATCTGCCTCATTTCTTAATCCTTTCGGTTCAAGTGAAACGTCATTGCTTTATTAGGGTTAATAGAAAGACCATTACTCCTTTACTCGTTCGATGTTTTGTGGTGGTTGTGGTAAATTTCAGCTGTATATGATGTTATGGCGCAAAGCGAACCCTCATTGTCCTTTAATGGAATATTCTCCCTTAAGGAACGCTTTGTTCTGAGTTTCCAAATATGCTACTAATCTAGATAAGAAAACTGGTACATTTTTGGAAAGACGTACGTTGTATTGAGTACGATTCTCAATAACCGGATTTACCTTACCGTGCTACTGTTCCTCTTATTGCTTTGTATATATCTACAATTTCTATCCGTTTGCCAATACTGCCTAGCCTGCTTTTTCGAATGCCAGAATAATATTTCTATAGCCAGCAATAAAAATTATTCGTTTTAGGGAATTATTATTCAGAATGTTACTATCTTTCTTGATAGGACCTTTCAACAATTACAAGCTAGCTGAAAAAGAACAGGCTAGTTGTCGAAGTTCTCTCTTCTACACAACACATGCTTCACGTGACCTACATATGACAAAATAGCGTTTTCAACTCTTTTGATAAAATTTCGTTAAGCATTTTCCAGCAAATCTCCCAAAAATCTAAAAAAGATATTAAACGTATTGATAACAAATTTGTTTGTTTTTGAAGCAGATTATCAGACTTTCAGATCTTGGGTGGTTAAAAACCTTGCTAAGATCTAGACTTAACTCAATCGAGGATGTTTTTTAAAATGAATTTCTCTATTAATGAAATTTGAATCAAATGCTTCTAGCTTCTATAAATTGTTAACATTATCCATGCTTCAAAGTCTTAGCTCAAAGGTTTCAATGTTCCTCTTTTCTAAGAACCAATTAACGTAGTGAGTCAATTTGGATTCCGCCCATGCTCTCTTGAAAACATAACGGTTTCAGAACACAAACTTATTAGATTTTAGGTCACTGTATAAAATTAGATAAGAAGTGAAACCTCTTTCAAAGGTTTTTCATGGGAAATGGTTGATGACGGGTCACAGGCTGCGCTCCCTTTGGCAGTTAAATGGAGATAATGAGATATTTGTGCTAGAGCAAAGCCTTATCAGAATTTGGAAGGTTTTGCAATCACTTCACGTAACTATGTGGGGAATCAGTATTCATTACTTCTGCTCAGTTCAATTAAATCAATCCCCAACATCGTTCGGTAGTTTAAACAAACCTGAGCACGCTGGTCAAGGTCAGCGTAATTGAATGCAGCCCTTTTCTCTTCACTCTGGCATATTTCCACATTCTTAAGACATCCAAACTGTTCTACTATTTTTGGTCTGTTTACATTGGGTCTTCAGAGGGTGAATGCATGTATGTAGCTGGGCTTGTATTTTTGACGAGGGGTACGTAATCTTTGGCATTAAAGAATTGTTTTCTCTTCAAATTTTCTAGATTTGAAGGTGTTTAAAAAGGTCAAAAAGAGAGCGTCAGGAAATCCAAATGGTGGAAAATAGCTCTCAGGTAAGGCTTTAGAAACTTTCGAAGGATAAACATCAATTTATGCATAACACTGAGCTTGAGGCAGCAGAGATTGACAAATCAAGAATGTCCTTGCAGTTGTTATTACGTTATCTTCATGTTGCTACAAAGCGTGCATTCTCCTATAAGATGATTTCACGAGGACTTTATTTCTCAATATGCGGATGCCTTTAATAAATCTAGGAAAATTTCTCAAAAAGACCAAAAACTTGTTTGATGAGTTGTTCTGTTGTACATAATTTTCTCACCAACATTGCTGCACTGAAAACAAATCATGCTATTAATTGACAAAGTAAAACGGTGGCAGTAGATTAGATTATATCTACAAAGAAGTACTACAAGGATTGCATCCAGGTACTCCACTTTTCATACGTATATTGTTATTGTTATTTAACAACAACAAAAAGCTGTTTATGCTGGCACCTTCAGCCATCATAAATTGCTTTTTACGAAAGATTTGTAGATTCAGTTTGATTAGGACTTTCGGGTACAGAAACCATAAGAAAGATACTAGCTTTTTTCTTTGATACATTAACATACATACATTATAACATACATTAACAATTGCCAGTTGCACCAGCTGAGACAAATGAATAAATGTTCTGTTCTATTAGAAATGGAGAAAACTCTTTCCCCGGTTCAAGGTTGACAGCCTTGAGAGTACCAAAGGCAAAATGATATCTGAAATTTCTCATTTTCGTTTGGGTATCGCTGTGGCTCTTTTTAATCTTGCGCAAATTACAGTTTGTATATCGAATGTTTCACTTCGACATTGGCTCCATGTTCTAGTTAACAGACAACCACACACTTAGATAAGCCTTTCTGTTAAAAAAAGTTGCCAGTATCATTCGTTAAGATAAAACAGCCTTTCAAAACTCTCTGATAACCTTGTGTCGGTCAGCTTCTTCAAAGTTAAGTCGTTCTTTGAATTGATTTCCATAAAGATATCTTTGCAACTAAAAATTTACTTTGTTCGTTCCAAAAAATATTACAAAGTTTTGATTTTTATATCCAGTAGCAAAAATCTCGTTAAATTGCAGCTTGATTCGTATTTTTACTGTCTTTCGACAAAATCCGTACATGAATTCTACACAATCGAAGATATTAGCTCAATAGATGTATTGTTATATCAATGTCTCCAACATTTTGCTCTTAGTCAATATTCAAAGGCTGTTATCAGTACAGAGTTCGCTTCAGGATGAAAGCCTCGTGATAAAATTGAAACTGTCTGTTGGTTTAAAATCTCTTATGCAAGACAATTGGATCTACCTTTGATAGACGAATGAACTATGTCACAACGTTTTGGCAAAATCTTTCCCAACTATATCGCTTTTGTAAATGCAGTATATTTCGAAAATGGCCCTTGAGTCCACCATAAACTCTCCATTGTTAATGAAACTGGATTGAGCCTATCCTCAGTAACGTATACCTATAGGATATTGTTTTATTGGAAGTGCTTCACTCTGTCATATTAATTATTAGATAGCGTCTGGTCCTCTCTGCACTGAAATTGAGTGGTGACGTCAGACCATATTCTTGGTTTCAAGCAACAATTAACATGCATTTCCTGTTCATCTTATCTCACGAAAATGTCAGTAATCAGACAGTACCAAAACTGCGATGGAAATAGCAGTTTCATTGTTTCGATTTGTTGCAAGATAAAAATAAGCTATAGCGCATTCAGAAAAGAACGAAGAGGGCGTGGAAACAAGAAAACTATTGCTAATACGCTCATTTAAAGATTGACGTTGCTACAGATGGTGACGTCAAAAATTTTTCTTTGGTTAATCCAAATAAATACTAGTTGTTCTCGGCCTGTGTTCAGCACAATCTTTTAGAAGTTAAAGAATTTCTAGAAATATCAGGTCAAGACTAAAAGGCCAGGAGTATGCTTTCTTCCAAAGCATCACTAAAGTTCAAAATGCTAGCAAGTGGCACTAAAGTGTCGATATTTGTTTTGGAAGGGAGAGATGGTGACTCATTGTGCTAGTTTTGACTATAACTACAAGTCTTCCATCCTAAAGTTAGAACAAAGCTCTGAAATCTTTGTTCTATTAACGAATCTTCACTGCTCAAAAGCCCCATCTATTGCAAGTTGTTTATAGATTTGTGGGAGTGGTAAAACTGCATCTTCAAGAATGCCTAGTTGCAGCAACCGACATGCCCTATTCGATAAAACCTACTTAACAAGCGAACAAATCACGCCAGCAATAGTTATTAGTCCTATTAGGATTATTGATACCCTGCTGATGAAATCTGTTCCATTGCAATCTATAAAACCACCCAGAAGTGACTCCATACCGATGCCTCAGATAACGATTTATCAGTCTTGGTATGTTTACTGACAAGAAGAACTGTCCTACACGTATATTGGCTGATTGGATCAGTCTGTATTTACTCATTTCATCTCGAGGATGCTTATGGTGAGGCTGCACAAATCTATCTGAGCATAAAAAAGGCATGTTAGCCATGAACTGAGTGATGCGTTGAAGATTCTAACAACATTTTGAGGGGCAATTCTCAATGGTGCGCGAACACTGTTGCTAAGGGTGCAACGTTTTACGGTAACACCTCCTGCATGAAGGGGTTCTACTAAATGTTTTAGAAATGAAACTGATCCACGGGAAGTTTTGGAAATGAGTTTTGAATGGGTTTTACTCGAACCCAGATGTAGATGCGTTTTTCTCTTTACAAAGAAACAAAAATTGAATGGTCAATGCATTGAATTACAAATAGAAGTCGTTTTGCGGTGGTCGAGAATTCAATATTGATTAAAAATAGTATTATTCTCATGCCACGTGGTAGATATATATAGTGTGCGATAAAGTTTTTCTATAATAGATTATGGGTGATAAATGCCATATTTTTATTCAAAACATTGATCCGCTAGTTAAACATGTTTATCTTTAACCTTGACTAAGTTATGTTATCGTACCCGTTGATAAAATAAGCATTTACAGTTTGAATGAACTATTTAGAGACCATTATCTATGCGTTGTTATTTATAGGGGTAATGTTTTGTGCTTACCTTGTGCACCAGTGCTCATTTTTAGATCCTCACCTACACTCACTTGGTTATAACGTAAACACTTTTATTTTATTTTATTATTAAAGATATAAGCCTTTAAAGAGAAAGGTTTATTTTTGTCTACCTGTTAAAAACTTCAGGCATATTTTTGTTTCATTGTTTAAGCTATTTTTTCTTTAAGACAAGATTTTTCATTAAGATTTCTTGGTTGGACTTAGATTTTCTTCGCTGGTTATGGAAGTCAGCTATACTGAAGCTTTCTTTCTTTGATTTTGGAAGTCAACTATTTTGGGTATTATAAAGATATTTTGGGCAATGTTCTTTTTACCTAGATGTTCTAATAGTTTATAATGCGCTCAGGTGTTAAAGCGAAAAAAGCGAAGGCTGCTTTGTCCTCGGGGCCAATAGTCTTGATAACTTCAAGGAAGTGCAGAGTGGAGGAAGTGCAGGGTGGAGGAATCATATCATAGAGGTGGTCCTTGCTGCCATTGAATTATTTAATACATTTACTTTTCTATTTGTCTGAGCGTGGATTAGTACGCAAATATTCTCACGCGGCAATACCGTGTTAATTGTTACCATGGTTGATTGATAAACACTCATTTGGAGCAACACAACTTTTATAGCTTTTGACATTGCTACGCTGTCTAAGGCTGGGTGTAGAAGGAAACATTAATTTGGAGCCATGTGCGCTTAGCGTAGGCTTTCAATGAAGAGCAGTGACCAACAAGAAAAAATACCAGAAGAAGGTTCCTTTAGAGACTCTTTCTAAAGTGTTTTGAAAAATAGATCATTTGATTATTGTAGATTGACGATGCTCTTTTGGTGTAGTGTGTAGAGAACGTATTCAAGAGTCTTATTCAGCTCAATTATTTGCTCAAGTAAATTGAAGTTCAGGCTGGCTGTTCTTAATTTTAACGAAAATCTGAGGCTGGATTGTTCTTAAATTAATAGGATGTGAGCAATGCATTTACTAGCTATTGCACTCTACCGAGGTGTTCAGGCCACATTTGCCAAAAAAATTAGATCCTTTGCCAACAAGTTTAAAAATTTACCAAAAAGCAACCCTATATGGCAAAAAACATTTTTGAGATGAAACATTGTTCAAAGTTGCATTTTACAGTAGCTCAGCCTCAGCTTGTTCTTAATTTGTTCCTAACTTTTAACCAATTTTAACCAATAGTGTTCTTATAATTTTGTTTTTATAAAAAAGAGAGTATTTTGTTGCATGTTGAGATCACATGTTTCTTCACAACTGAATTCGGTCCAAGAATTATAAGATTAGTGTTTGAAATTTGTTTGTTTTTTCAACTATTTATTTGTAGTAAATTTATTGTCAACTAATTGTGTGATTCGTGTTTCATTTCGCTACCGATACAATTTGCCTAAATATGTCTTGGTTAGCCAAAAATTTCTTATATCCTGTGGACTTTTCACAAATTTCTTTATCTCGAAACACTCTGATCATCGGGCATCTGTGCTTAAAAACACAGCAAACGACCCTGAGGAATTATTGTTTTGCTCTAAGATTTACTTATCTGTTCCCGTAGCCATCGGACGTTCTCTGTAAAACCCTCTTTATTTCTACGTTAACGAATCCGTCTCTTACCTTTGTGTTACTGTAACAAATCCCCTTAAGATCTCGATTTGATGCCCTATATCTATTGGCAGTATTGAAATCCACTCTACTTAAGGGGGCTTAAACGGGGATTTATTCGTAATAAGAAGATTTCGCTAATTGATTTTGTTTATTAGGTTTCCTCTGCCCATTTGATCCTACTGTCAAAGCTGTAACGGTGTGTACTGAATTGTCCCTTTGATTCCAATTTCCTTATTCACTGATACTAATCTAAGCACGGTAGGCCTTCAATGGGTTACAGCCCGATGAATCCATTAATTAGTCTTTGTCAGATCTCCGTAATACAAAGCTGTAACCTCTGCGCCTTGCAGTTAATGCGCGGACGCCGGTTTCGTCATCTTGCGGTTTCTGATTCCCAATCTTATTTTTGAGGGACATGATGTCCTTTTAAACGGCGAACGGTCAGCAGTGTTCCTAGCCGAATTGACACATCTTAACAGCCCATCTACAGCTGTTTTCTGGTATTTCGTAGCAAACGTTTATCAAATTATAGTCCGATAATGCCTAAAGGGTACAGTGTCAATTTTGAGAACTGGGGGATACTAGACCCGGTACTAATACTGAAAGACAATGCCTTGTAACGTGACGTCACTTGCCTAGATTTTTTTACAGATATGAAAATTCATATGCCAATACATTTTGACGTACTAGAAAGGGGGGTGACGCTCCTGTTAAGTCCTAGTGACTTTTTTATCAAGTTCTTTGCCTATTTAAGATATAAAATCATTTATTTCATTAAAAATAATTGACCTCTGTCTATTTCAATAAAAATAAAAGTTTGGTCCCTTACCCAAAGCCCATGTTGCGTTACAAGAGAGCAGCAAGGAGTTCGATAATTCATTACTAAGATGCAGGCAGTGCGCGCTCAAGGCATTTATAACATTAACAAAATCAACATCATGTAAGCATAACAATGACAGTAGTTGAGGAAATTACCAACAATTAATTGACGACCTCCACCTTGTATCTGTCCCCTTTTACAGCTGATGTGAGAGATACTCGACTGCCCAGAAGAATGCTTAAACTACATTGGTTACTATACCCAAATATAATAGAACTGTGCCATTATCTTTGGTATACCGGAAAGGATATCCTTGGTGTTGACAATTCGGTGACAGGAGTGCTTTAAACATGAGCGTGGCATTCATGACATGAACTTTTGTTTTCTTTGAAATCTTTATCTACATATTGTTTGCTGGATCAGTTTTGGATCTGAAAGTTATTAAGGAGTACATCTGAGCCAAAAGCACTTGGGAACTAAGGCCTATATCCAAGGGGTTATTTATTAGATGTTCTAGTATTCGAGAAAAACTCAAAATAGAGAAGCAAGACAAAGCAACTGGATGTCCTAAGGAGCTATTTGCAAGTATTTCATATATCTGAGATAACTTGAAAGGACTTATCATTCTCTTTAAGACGTTTGGATTACGCCCATTTAATCCTGTAAGTAAACTTGTTTGCTTTTCGGAAGCATAGACCCACGCTCTTTCCTTAAGCTCTTTCTTTACCAAAGTAAGTTCTAAAAAGGCTCTTTGTATACTGTATCAATGCATCTTTCTAAACTGCTTGGAACGTTACAATTTGTTTTACGGATCAAGTGAAACGGCTTGTCTTGGTAGATAAAAAAGTGGAGATGTTCCTTAAGAAATGCTGTCAGGAATAACAGGTAGCAAGCTAAATGGTCAAATCAACGCGAACGATTGACCTCCACACACTTCTGGAGTCTTAAATTATCGGATGAAAGTCTTTGTTATAAATTTGAGAACGAGCTTTGCGGTAGCTGTTTTTTACGCGAGGAGACGTTGATTGTATTCGGCAATTTCATAAAGTACGGTATTAGGCCGGTTTTGAAAATATAGTCGCAAAGCATGCCGGTTGCGCAAAAGCCTTCAAGGGAGGGCTTTATTGCGTTATGATATGGCTGTATAGTTTCAAGGCATGCCAGGTCAGAGAACAGAATGTAATTCAAAATTTCGTTTATATGCCTGATAAAAAACGATACCATCAGTTTTGAAGAGGGCATTTTACCAAATATTGATAACCGTGCTATCTCTTAAATAATACTCTCTTTCAATATCAATGTTGGCGTAAATTGAAATATCATCAGAAGTATTGATAACGAGTTGATATGATAAAATACTCTTTCTCTGGAGAGGATCTCTCCTTCAATCAACCTTTACAAAATTACTGGCAATCTCGACACATTCCTAAATGCTGGCAATAGTGATAAGCCTGGGAAGTTTTATGAAGGAAAATGGTCCTTGGTAATGAACCTTTATTCACGCTTTTGCTTTTTCTGAATTTCCACTCTTCTTGTGTTATATGATAATTAGCCTGCATTTCGTTTTGTTGTATTTGAATGATGCTTGTAAAGTAGTTTGTGGTTACCTATATTTTGACCTCTTAAGGGTCTTTCTTTATTTTGAACAACTTCAAATCTATCTAGCAACATAATTGCAATGAACCGTCGTTATATAGTGTAAGCAAGTTTATAAAGTAAAATTAAACCCGTGATATTATAATAATTATACAGCAAATTAATAGGTAGATATTCTTTTAGTTTTGACCAGAGATTGTTCTAGCTTAGTGCGTTTATGTTGACTGTGATGTCATGACAGTCCTAAAGCTTATACATGGAGACTTAGATTAATCCTGCAGACAGGCGGAAACAGGATACTCAATGTTGCAAACTGTCGCACCTGGCTGCGTTTGTGCCAATTTTCCTTGAAAGTTCATGAATTTCACCACAATCACGCTGGAGTCCCGACGGTTTGTTTTCAAATCTTGAAAGAAAACTTATCTCGGTTTTTAAAGACAAGCAAGGGTGATCCCTGAATGGTCTCTCTATACTCTGTATTACGTTAGACAGCACATGATTACGTATGTAGGACTCTTTAACTTTCATCTGTAAATCCCTGACAATATCCCAGGAATTCATTTACATCTACTCTCATGATAAATATGTTTATCAGGGAATTTTAAGCCTCGTCATGGCTCCTCTGTACTAGAGCTCAAAGGTCCTGCAAAGCAATAATGTAGTCATCTCATCCAAAAATCTTGATCGGTTTTTGAAAGCCTTTATCAGTTAGAATTCTTTCAGAGGCTCCTTAAAGCTCAAGGTTTGATGGCGGATTGAACACCTCAAAGCGATTTATGAAGATCTGTGGAATTTTCTGATTGATTTTGCATCGATCATTTAACTCGTAACAAAACATCTACTCGAATCTTAGTCCCATATAAATCAGCGAACAACTGTCGTTTGAGTAGCTTCTTGAATGTAAGGTATCCGTGTTATTCTACAGCACCACTTGCCATTACATAATTTCATTTATGTCAAAACGCAACAGAATTCTGTCCAAAGTAATAGTTGCAAAATAATATTTTCGCGTACTGTTTATAACATTGAAGCGATTTTTGCTGTATATATATTAATTACCTTTGAAACTTTTCAATTTCTTAACATGACGTAAGATGTTCATAAATTTTCCTCTTGTATAATAAGGTCATTTTCTCCCCTGCTCGAATGGTAGAAAGAGAACATAGAGGTTTGTCACTGTACAACACATGTCGATGCAAAAATCAACTTTCAAAGATCCCAAAAAGTTATATTTACACATTAAGAAAGTTTGTGAAAATTCCATCAGAATTATTTATAATGGATTACATCTGATTTCTAAAGCCAGAAGCCCATTGTCCTTCAAAGAACCTGACAAAAACCTGTTCCTTTTTTTTAGAATGACGTTGCTAATGAAAATTCCTACGCATTAATTTTATACCATACATTCGTACAAAAAGTCTCCCTGAAGCATTCGCACTACCTGAAAATCTCTTCAAGCTAAACAACATGTTCTCGTTTTCCATTAACTTCTTCCTATGTTCATTGAAATTGTGTGATATGAAGAAAATGAAACAAAAGATAACACCCACACTTTCACGAGACAATCCTTTTCTTCAAACGGCAAATCAACTGCATTCTTCTGCTTTTAAAGTTTTGTGTTGACTTTTTTGGATTCTATTAACATCTTACATTCGCATTGACAAAGATGTACTGAAAAACTACTCACTTGAATTAACCACGAAAGCCGCTGACAGCATTATCATTCAGTATTTTCTTTATATATTAGGACTTACACGATCTCAAAGGGTTGTTAAATATTAAACAGGAAGTAATCACTTCTAACAGTAAACACGGCTTAAATATTCATTTCCTCTTGAATGTGCTCTATTTCTTTTCAAGAATCTTGAACATCTTCCAACACCAACCCATTCTTTTCATTAATTTGCTCATCTCTTCTCTCATTTACGAATCTATTTCAAGCTCCTTACTTGCATACAATCAATGTGTGTTCCCATTAAACATACGAGGAACCTTTTTCCTTCATTTCCCTAAATCATTTAAAGTTTATAAGCGGAGAGAGAAATTATTAATACTTGCCAAGACTTTATATATGTAATTTATTAATCTGACGGGTTTCACTCAGATTTTCTTCTGCTTCCTTTTGTCTTTCCTTTTTAGTCTTCTTTTAATCCCTACTTTTTTCGCAATTCATCAAAAATAAATCATTCTCCTTTTATTCAATCAACCTTGTCCTTTCTATTTTGAAAAGTGTGCGCGACAGTTTACGCTAGACATTTTTACATCTTGATAAATATACATTTTTTACAGTTTTCATAATGATATATATAAATCCTAAAAAAAAGCCCAAGAAGATGATTAAGTATGATTATGAAAGAGACTCATTCCCTTTACTGAAACAAAATGCCTTTGCAACACTTCGAGTCAGTGAACTCTCTAAAATTTTTAACATAAAACAAGGGTCTCAATTTCTCTTATCTACAAAATTTGTAGCGATTCAGCCATCTCTTTCAGTTTTTCTTTTTCATTTTCCTTTAGATTATCAAATTCAAGTTTTCTTAAATCTACTGCTAACCGTCATAAACGTTCAAAACTTTGTGTTTAAAAACGGCACGTTTAAAGTATTAAATTCGACAATTACTAGCCTTTGACTTTTCATGCCTTGTAATGTGCAGCTGCTAATATGCAAAAACTTTAAAATGTCGTTATTATACCGAATAAATCTGTTATTGGCGCCAAATTAGTACTTCTCGTTGTTGCGAAAATTATATTCTTGAGCAAATATATATTTTATTATTCTAAACTCTTAACACTACCCAACAAAGAAGGTTCCCATAACACGATCAAGAGTTGTGAATTCAAGGAATGCAAAATTCTAAAAAGAAGCATGAGAAATTCAGCGAATGCAATAAACAACTCACCAGCTTGTATCTGATTCCGTTTGTTGCCTCTTCCTTTTTGGCACAATTGATTTTGAACACCGCGGCAAGAATCGTCATGCAAACCAACGCTTCGACCCTCTTATCCATTCTTGAAATTTGAAACTTTGCAGGAGCCAAAAATTCCTGAATTTTTTCTCTATCAAAATAGAGTTGATGCTTTTGATTATATTTCTCTTGATGATATTCTCAATCGATTACTCCTGTCAGTACAGCTGATTTCTTGGACTCTAGCTTAAAAACCGCAGTCTTAGTTGTAAGCTAAGCCACTCTCTCTCTCTCCTGGACTATCAAGCAATGCACCGCCGAAGAGCAATGAACATCATTATATATCAAGGTACGCCAATGCACTCGACTCCAAATGCCAAGTGATTCATACACTCTGCTATTTTCGTTGTGCTCCGTAGCTCAATGGACCGATCACTTGTAATGCTGCGCAGCGGTTGAGCGAGCTGACTCCGAATATGACATTGTCTATAACTGTGAGTGCAAACATACACCCTTGATCAAATGCTTTGGTTATCCTTATTATCCCTCGTGCAGTTATTTCAATGATGTACCCGTTATGCGATTTTATTTACAAATAAAGCCACCGTTACTCTCTTAAGTCCCGTCTTTCATTGATCCTCTCCAATTGTCCATTCTTTATTCATCTGGGCGGACCAGGCTTCCAGGGCGCGATTTGAAATCGCTCCAACTGAGCTGTTGTACCTTGCTGCTTGAGTCAATGCTGCAAAACTCCAGCTTTAAGAAGTTGCCAGCTGAGATAATTCTAGCTTCGAAAAAGTTCTTTTGGACTGCGCCCCTAAATTCTTGCTTCATATGAAATTGTGTAGATTGGATCAATAACTTGAGCCTGAATTTGCCATCATCATCATGAATCTCGTTATAATCTAGTTAAGCGTGTCTCATTCTTTTGAGATTTTGGATCAGATTTTCACTTGTACTTGATCCACTCAGTCTTAAAACCTATTTCATTAATGGGAGCCATCTAAGTAGCTATACTAGCGAGGCGAAGTATTTCGTTGAGGTCATCCTGGAAGTCGTTTCTTAGAAGAAAGTTTATAGGAACTGAGAATCTTCTTCTTTCCGACAGGTTATGTAATACCATGGATTAGCAAGAGGCGTTTGATTGTTGTCTGTTAATTTCAGGGATAAGCTTGTTATTTGACAAACTTCTTTTTACAGTATTTTAAAGGTATGAAAACAAAATAGCAATGGTTTTTTTCGCTTTTGATCTAAAGTTGCGGTGCCACAGAAACTGTTACTAAAATCAAATTCGGAGAGATAGCGAAACCACTGTTACAGATATCAGTTACCTCTAGGCTTAAAAATCCGTTTTAAAAGCAAACCTTTTCACTATATTTCACGGAAATCAAAAGCTTGTTGCGCAGTCTATACTTGAATGATAACAGGTATTGGTTCTGACCAAGTAAACTTGTTAAGATATAGAATTATATAGTAGACAGGCATAAGGGCTCTATGAATATACATTTTATGTCTACCTATTCAAAATGAAAACTATTTTTTATTAGCACAAGAAAAAAACGAAAAGGGATCTATTTTCAATATCTGTACATTTAAATTTTCCTCAAACGTTAACTTTTTTATCATAGCAATTAAAGTTTTCGGAAACTAAATGATCTTTTAAAGCCCTTTTTCAAATTAATAAACGATTTTCGTAAATAAACTCGATTTTGTCTATTCTACATTCAGTACAGACATGTGTCTGACGATTAATTATTCTTTTTTACTCTTTTTTAAAGAAATCTTTATAAATAACATTTATCTCTGGTATAAATTACATGTAAAAGTAGACTGAACAATTAAGTAACATTTCCCAGAAGTTTATTTCTGCGAAAAAAATTAAAACAATTCTTACATAATTCTTTGTTTAACAAAATTTGCTTTCAAATTACTTGAAATTCGGTGTCCATGCTAAAGTTTCCTTATACTTAAGAGCAAAGCTTTTCAAGTTATTTTGAACAATTCGAATCCGAGATGAAAACAATAGCCAAAAACAGTAACATTCTTAGCTACCCATGTTATGATGCTTACGAATTTTTCCTTTGAGTAAGAGTGAACTTCTACTAATGAACAATTCCCAATTACGGACATTTCCAAACAGCAGAGGAAATTTTCTACCCAAAGAATTCTTTAACCGTGATCTGGAAATTGAAAAAGCAACGTCTATACTAAGCAATGCAAAGCAAAAACTCCACTTTTAAAGGCACTGAGTCATGGTAAATAGGCCTTCTCTATAGGGGGTCATTTGGTTTCGGCGTGATCGTTGCTGTTTCACGTGATATTGGCATCCATTGTTAACAATTTGCTATTGATGAAAATTGTTTTGTCAATCAGTACGAGGTGAGTTCATGTGACCAGTTCAAGGTAAACCACTTGCATCGCAGTCATGAAAATCATGACTCAGCGGATTTTGGCACTTAGGGTATACCCAATCCACTTTATCATGACTCAATGCCTTTAAGAGCCTGCGTTTATGAGTCTACATTTTGAAAATTGATTTTTGGCACTTTAATAAACACATCACTTACCATAGTTTTCACAATACAATCGGAACAAAAATTAGATAAATCCGAAGACAAGAACTGACATTCTTAAAAGGTGACACAAACACAAACGCACCCTTTTTTCAGAAAAGATTTTGTAAGAATATTGGCGAAATTTAAAAGCTTATTTAGAATTTTATCCGATGTCTCACTTTTTATCTTTTTTTTATATTTTATTTCATTTTATCTATCACTTTAATGAATTCACTCAGAGAGCATGATTTCTCATCAAGCTTGTATTTTTAGTAAGTTACATTTTCTAAAAAAATTTTCATTATAGAAAAAGATAGTAGCATCGATTTGGACCTTTTTTCTCCTCTTCCTCGTCCCCGGTGATGTTTTTTTCAAGATAGAGCCATATCATCTGATTATCTGCGCTTCCGTGCCCCATCTGTAGTTTTTAATTTCATCAATTCATTTCGATAAACCAGCTGGCCCCTTAGCGAAATTTGTCCATGAAGTAAGTTTTCAAATGCTATCTACGATCCAGTAAACTAATCTATTTTGAAGTGGTAGTATTTTAAGTATTTTCTTTATTCTTGTTTATTTCTTGAAATAAAAATTTAGTCTAAACTTAGTATTTTTCTTACTCTTATCAAAGGTTAAATTAAGTTGTTTTAGGATTAAGTTACTTAAACTGAGATGTTTTTTATCATATGAATGGCAAGGGACGCTGGAGATGAACTTTTTCGTAATGAAATGTTATGTGATCTTCAAATAATTTTCTTGTCCTTCGTAAAGGCCTTGGCAATAGCAATTGTTTACTTTTCATATGTTTAAACTAAACCGATTAAAGAGTTTAAATCATTGTCAGTAGAAAATGATTCAGACAGATTGTTTAGGAAAAACGTCTCATTGGTAATGACTAACAGACATTAAGTAATTCAACCAGCCTTTCAATGCTCCGACAGGCAAATAACACCAGCTATTTCTTTTGAAGTTTGCACGTAACTTGTAGAAATGCGAAATATTTGTCTTGTTCTTTGCCGATTATGTTTAAAATAGTTTTCGTAGCCTATGAAAAGAATGTATGAAGAATTAAATGAATGATATGACTAAAAAAGATTATTTGACAAGTGATATTACTTTTTCAATAAATCATGAAGTTTAGACTGTCAATCATTGTAACACTAATTTTACAGGGCTAGAAAGAAAGACTATCTATATTGATCAGTCACTTATGAATGACATGTTTAAAACAAATGTATTTGTTAATCTGAAGGCAAGACATTACAATAAATGTAACTTAAGCATCATTTTGCCGCCTTAATGTTTATTTTACATTGTTATGCATATGCACGATGGCTTTTAAGCAGCTACAGACATTCCGTTACCGATGGCCTCGATCTGAAGGCTTTATGTAGCCTTATAGAGGCTATAGCCCCGTTCCAGCGATTTCTTGCAGCACTCCTAGTTTGAATTGTGTACAAATGAATTTAGCCATTTCTTCCTGCATCTCTTTTTGAACCAGCTATTTCTGATTGCATCTCTTTTCTTTAACAAAAGCATGCACCTTTTCATTCGGTTCAGATACAGCAAGTTTTTTTAATCAAACGCATGAAAGGTGAAAGTTGCGACAAATGATCTCTGGACGGGAATAACTATGATGTCATTACAATCTTTGATCTCCATATGTATTTGTAGGCTCACACCTTCGTTCATTGTAGCAATGCCCACTACGTATGAAAGATCATCACAGGTTAATTAGTAATGCAAATATTATAGATTTTTAAATAGTCCTCTTTACTATTCGTATAATTCGTATAATAAGATAATTATCTTAACTATTCGTTACAATTGCTTATTCAAAGGAAACAGATAAGGAGTCGGCCAGGTCTTCTTGATTCTTTCTCTTTTCACAATGTTGGTCTTTTCTGTGTAAACAGTGCATTATTATTAAATTTTTATTCATTTCTTTATTTATTTATTTATCTATTTATTTTCTTCCCAGCTTAAGAAGCTATCTTTTTTATTCACAATCCAAGAAAGTCCTTTTGTCAAGAACAAGTTACCGTAATGATACCATTAGGAGAATAATAGGCACTAGTACTAAATGCTATATCAAAACTTTGTGTAGATCAAGCCACGCTTTCTTTCAATCTTTACAGTCGCAACCTAATTTTAAATTTGAATTGTTTATGTTTTACCTCGATTTTGTATTTCCTTAATTGGATTATACATACTGAAACTCGTGCCATCATTCCACCCGATTCCTTTGGATTAAAGTTTAGAATTATAAATCTTAAGATGATTATCATGCAGGGCGGAATCTTTTTGGTAATTTCGTTGATTATTACAAAACATGCCATGTTTATGCCTATAAATTAATCAAGATAATGCATTTAGAGCCGATGTAGAAACTTTTAGCTTAGCTTGTTTCCAAAACCTTTGAAGAAGTCATAAAACATTTTTTAAACATTATTCCAGAGTATTTGCAATGTTGTTATTGCATTCTATTGAGCGGCGGTTTGTTTGGTTTTAGAGATCAGAGTAGATTTATCGAAAATTTCATCCAGAACACTGTATACTTGTTCGTCATGGCATATCTCGATGACCTCAAAAATAATTTGGATCACTTTTCTTTGTTTACTCCATATCGTTCATATTCATTTTGTTGTTACCAAATTTATTTGCCCGAGAATTACAGGCCCAAAATAAGCCCCTATTTTCACCACTTTTTTCATAATCGCAATGTTTGATATAATGTAGCAGTGAAAGCATCTCCACGATAACTTATATATCTCAGATATGTATTCTTAATGTTCCTCTAGACCGTAAAATGATCAAACATCGTTGTGTTATGCTTTGAATTTGAATATGATTTTGATATGTATTCCTAATTTTCCTCTATACTGTAAAATGATCAAACATTGTTGTGTTATGATTTGAATTTGTATATGATTTTGATATGTATTCCTAATTTTCCTCTATACTGTAAAATGATCAAACATTGTTGTGTTATGATTTGAATTTGTATATGATTTTGATATGTATTCCTAATTTTCCTCTATACTGTAAAATGATCAAACATCGTTGTGTTATGCTTTGAATTTGTATATGATTTTGATATGTATTCCTAATTTTCCTCTAGACCGTAAAATGATCAAACATCGTTGTGTTATGCTTTGAATTTGAATATGATTTTGATATGTATTCCTAATTTTCCTCTATACTGTAAAATGATCAAACATTGTTGTGTTATGATTTGAATTTGTATATGATTTTGATATGTATTCCTAATTTTCCTCTATACTGTAAAATGATCAAACATTGTTGTGTTATGATTTGAATTTGTATATGATTTTGATATGTATTCCTAATTTTCCTCTATACTGTAAAATGATCAAACATTGTTGTGTTATGATTTGAATTTGTATATGATTTTGATATGTATTCCTAATTTTCCTCTATACTGTAAAATGATCAAACATTGTTGTGTTATGATTTGAATTTGTATATGATTTTGATATGTATTCCTAATTTTCCTCTATACTGTAAAATGATCAAACATTGTTGTGTTTTGCTTTGAATTTGTATATGATTTCAGTGTTTACTTCAACTTATTTGTCCGCTTTTTGTTCAAGATAATGATGACGTCATAAAAATGATTTTCCAGAATTTAAAATTATATTTCAAAATCTCAAAAATTACTGTAAAATGCCTCTAAACATGCAAAATCATTTAGATATTTTAACTGTTTTCACAATACTCTTCTAGATTAGGTTTTTAATACTTTTAAAAAATTAGAAAGTATAGTTTGGTGACGTCATCATTTTGCTTTTCTCTGGATAATTGCCTCAATTCTATATAAAGAAAAGCGTCAGCTCCTTCATTCCCTCTCCACCCAACACACCCACCAAACAACTACAAGCACAACAAAATAACCCATAAAATTGTTTGCCTCGTGATTTAATTTGACTGTTGTGCCAAAGCGATCAATGCGCAGCATTCATCAACAGGAGCTGAAGATTGTGGGTGAAACTCAGGGGCCTAAATGCATGGGGAATGTTGTCAAACCACAGTTGCAAATTTCGTAGCCTTTACTCTCCCATAAATAATCGTCAATTTACTTCCGTGGTGAAATTGCCAAGTCACATCTTCCCTTACTTTTTCCCTAAGCCATGTACCCAACTGCTTAGATTCACAAAGAGTTTTCATCTCTTTACGATTTTTTTTGATGAATTACTTTTCCATATCTGACAAGCCTAAATCTTGAAATTTATTGGTTTGGAGGTTTTTTTGAGGTTTAACTCGTGAACACATGTTACGTGGTTTCCATTACCAGGTTGTTTAAAATCCCCTCATTTTGCTTCATACAGTTGCTTGTTTTGAATCTTTCATCAGTACGGTGTCTGCGTTAGGAAGATAAGATTAATGATGATTGGCAAATGCACTTATCTCAACGTAAACGGTGTTGCATTTAGAGATATGGTGTTCAACTGATAAAGCTGCAGACATAGCAGACGGCATTTTATCAATGCCAATTTCATATAACGGGTTTGTAACTAAATGACTTTGTAGCAATCTTTCATGTTACAATCAAATTAAACACACTTTCGGAATAGTTCCAACATAAACCATGATTTCAAAGCCCAGTGTTTTTGAAATTCTTGAAATATTTCTTCCTAACAAGACCTTTTGAAAACATTCTTCTCACTTTTCGTATAATGGTCTTTTGTATCAAGCTCATAATTTCCATTTTGCACTTTTGCCAAATGGGAAACAGTGGCAAACCAAAGGGAATTTCTTTTTAAAGAGAACTATTTAGTCGTAGGGTACTAAGGGTTGCAAGCTTATTTGAAACTTATTTCTTCAAATTTCTGCATTTAGCGGTAATTTGAATGTCGTTTTATGAAGATATCAGTTATATTTTCCAAGCACCCCGGACAAATGGATTTACCGCGTAAGTGGGCAAATGTCGATATCAAATTAGTATATAGTCTCCTAATCTGTGATAGCTTGGAGCCTTGACTCCCAATGTAGTGCCACTTAATCCCAGGAGTGCCGTCCTAAAAAGTTAAGAAGGGAGCTATGCGAACGGCTAGAAGCCCCACCCAAGTTCACACCCTTTTCCACACCGTGTATATTGCATTCATGTTAAAGATTCTCTGTTGTGTATATCAAATTATTCAAACTATTCATCTTTTCTAAAGGCTAATAGAAATTTCACATTCATGTAAAGTCAATGGGTTAATTCACATTGCCAAGTAAGTAATTTTTCCAAGCAAACTTCTACTGGCTTGTTAAGTGGGGTGAGCCCCACCAACACACCCTGCGTCCCCTCAACGGTACCACTGCTCAACCCTCCTTATGATTAAGCATGATTTTCTATCTTTTTTGTTTTTCAGGTAAAAGTTTTGAATATGTGAATGGGCTAACGTGTGTGCAGGACTATGACCATGAAATTATACATAAAGAAGAAGAGAGAGACCTCGATTGATCAAAAGCCAAATGGAGATGGTTGACTTTAGCCAGGTAAGACTGTTTCCCAATGTTAAAATCAGTTTGTTCTTGAGCTTGCGCAAGCTCTCTCAAAGCATTTGCAGATTCCTTTTCTGAAAATATGACAGGTATGAACTAATACATAAAAATAAAGACCAAAAGATACAACAGGTTTCTCATTATCAAATGCTATGTTGTATTGGCATTCTCTATACTGCACTATAAAATTTTGCTAAAAACACAAGGCAAGAAGATTCTTCATCCTCTCGTAAACCAATAAGCTTAACATCTCTCTGAAAAGAAATAAAGGAGGCATATCCAGTTGTCAACAAGCTGCATTTTTTGGCGCGCGAAACCAATAGCGGGCTAGCAAGGGATGCTGGGATGCTAGACTTCAGTCGTATCCCAGGCCCAACTTGGATCCATTTGCCGTTCGTTGTGTTCTGTAGTTTATTAATCATATTCTACTGAACCATCTCAGAAGCAGAACCCCCTTAAAATGCTATCATTCCGCTACATTACCAAACGAATAGGTCATCAAGGCCAGAAAACACAAGAAATCTTGTCTGTGTTTCATCAAATTCTGCTTCATTTCACAGTGACATTAAGAAATCTACTTTGCAGCATAAGCACGATAAAATAAGTTTGTATACGAAACCATAAATAACATTAAGATCGTATCCCAACCGTTTTACTTTCACCTTAACTTAATCAAATGGGCGAGTGACAAACAATACGCAAACAGTCCGCTGTAATAATATCCTTCAGCAGTGCGTTATCGACAGAGTTTGTGGGTATCGGTTTTACACACCCAACCTAATGACTTAAACAGTGATATCATTGAAGAGCATAAAACACATAGTATACTAGTTCAATTGTGGATATAGGCCTAATCATCACTACTCTACACCGAGTAGCTTACAAGGGACTGTTATTTAAATCTACTATGTGAAGAATTTTGAACGATATTTACACCATAAAACTCTCGTAGTTGGCAAACATGCAAGGGTATAGTTGTTTTAAAGACTTAGTGAAACAGACTTAGATATTGTAAACTGATAGTAAAGGATGTAACTCATGGGCTAGCTATCTAGAACGTCTGTTGGCTTTGTGCAAGGCAATGAGTCGATATAAAAGGAGACGCATGGCCGAGAACAGCTTGCTGACGTGTTTCTTAAGAGCATATCGATGAGCTTATGTGATTGGCTTAAATTTCCCATACTGTACGTGATCATAATAAGCACCTGTTTATGTTCTGAAGATGGCCAGCAATCAAAATTGGTCACTTGCCAATTTACATGAAGATCGTATATCCTCATTGATGATATTCTTTCATATAGACTCGTTGCCTTCAACAGCAAGATATGTACCTTGTAGGGTTAGTTTCTATCTATAGTTGCCTGGTTAGCTTTAAAACTGGCCCTGAATACATAGGATCTGATTATCATCTCATGATTCGGAGCCACGTGCTTTTCTACTCGTTTTCTACTTGGATATACAGCGATAAATATAATGACAAAGGCAATTCTTACATAATTTTTTACAACGTATTTACAAATTATGCTTGTGAATGTTAAGTAAATGGTCTGAAAATAAACCGTAATATTGTAAGATACAAATTACAGGCTCCTCCACAGCGAAACAATATTTCGATTGCCATTGTCTATACGCTCATCTTTAGAAACTGACACCTGTATACTAAGGGAGGTTTTGATTGGCCCTTTGATTGGTTCTCATTCGGTCTCCATATTTTTTGATGCAACAATTTCATTGATACATTAATAACTATTTGTCATTATTGAGGATATAGCACTTAAATGGCCTCGTCTGAATAGTAAAAATGTAGAATTTAAGTTGGCTGTTCATAGCTACACACAATCAGGTTCATTTTTGGTACCATTTGTAGTACCAAAAATATTCGTGGTGGGGCATACAAATGACCAGCTTCTATTGTGACCATGCAACACTGGTAGATTTAGGCTTTTAAGTTCATCGGAAGCGACCAACTCTTGCCAATAGAACTTCTTTCTGTTCTCAAACAGGTTAGAGAATAGATCCCACTTGAAACAATTTGGGAAAACCCTCAAATAACGCCCAGAAAGGTTCCAAAATGGTACTCTTAAAAAATCGTTCGATTCAAAAAGAGCTTGATTCTTAAAACATCCTTGCAAGCCAAAATCATTTTCTCTATACAAAGGACGCTATCAACTGCCCATAAATTTTCTCAATCGTAGAACGATGTATGCTTCAGCAAGGTGTCCTTGCCTAGTATGGAAGCTGTTATCGTAATATTCCAACCAAAAACCAACACTTTGCAATATGTTTTGTTTTTCTTTTCAACTGATATTTGCAAAAGTATAAACAAACTGTGAACAGTTCCCTGAACAAACTGTCCCCTTGTTCACTGCTTCTGTGAAGGAGCTCATTGTTTATGGACAAAATTCACGAGTAACAATAAAACCTGTAAATGAAAGTATTAAGACCTACATCAATATCTATTACAAATAAGGACAACTGATCCAGGCATGGATCCTTTCACAATGGGGCTACGGAGAATAGTTTTCGTTTTTGCTATGGGTAGGGCAGTGAGTCTGCTTGGAGCAATATAAGTGCTTATTGCCTTAGTTTCTGCAAAATAAGATGTTAACAAAATATGTACTTTGTGCTTCATTTTTGGTATTTTTGCGTTTTAGTCTTACGATCAGAGAGACCATTATCAAATAGTCTTACATGCGAAATAAATAGTTGAGTCAGTCACAAAATAGTTGAGGCATAATTAAACGAGCACATGTACTGTCTCATTCAATTTATTATAATCCGTTCGTAATTTTGAAGTCGATAAACCAGGCCTAAACATTAGTTATGCTTTTTAATCCCATTGTCTTTCGCTGCTCATATCTTAGCTAATTTGCAACAGATCTGACTGTTTTGCACAGTTGAAGGATTTATATACTATTTGTCTAGATTTTTTGGTTCAAGATCAATTGTTATGCAAGTTTATTTTTATAGTGTGATCACTTAACCGCTATGTTCCAAGGACACGATACAGGTTTGGCCAACAAAATGTTTATTGGCTTAATAGGTCCCCACTTAGAACAATTAACTCTGCAATCCATGGTAACTCTGTTTTTGCCAAAACATCAGTCATGAAGAGTATATTGCAATGTGCATGATGCTTGTGTTGATCTGTATGATGAACATCAACCCCCTTGTTTTTATCGTCAATCTTTCATTGTTTCAACGTAAATTAAATTTTTTGCCAATATTCGATAACACGAAACTGTGGCCACGTTTAGTTGAAGTCTTGGAAAATCCGTGTGTATACTCTGCCATTTCGTTATTTTTTTCGTTCTGAAGTGTTCGTGTTTCTCCGCACTACACATTCGTTTGATTCGCATATCATTTGTATCGACGAGCACGAGCATTCACCATCATTCTGACATGGGGCTTTGAAATTGTTGCACTAGAGGAAGCAAACGTTTATCAAACAAGAGAAAAATTTCATGTCTGATTAAGGTTGCTTGATCGACAATGCTAAGGGACTAAATGTGGTGTGACAGTCGCCCAAACTAAAAGCTGCCTCACAAAAAAACTACTCAAAGTTCAAAAATTTAAAATCAGAGTGGGAAAAATTATTTTAATAAACTATTAGATAGATTTTTGTACATAAATGGCAATATAGTGATAAGAATTTAGCTGGCAAAATGTATGTATTAATTTTAGTAGAAAACTCACAGGTGCCAGTAGAAACTTTCCAATCTCAGTGATGCTTCGAATTGCCCTGCAAAACCCTCCGTCACATATAGGATACGCTCTATCGCAGTCAACTTGTGTTTGACAAGCCTAAAATAAAAGACAGTGTCAGCATTTTGCTTTACTGCGCTTCTAAGATTGATGTTGCTACATGCTACAATACTGATTCGTTGTTAGACGCAAGTGCATAATAAAGCAGGGATAGTGGGTCAAACGTAGATTTATATATTCGGAATTTCGTTGTTCCCATTATCGTTCAATAAGTTAAATAGTGCTCCGTGACGAGTAGGCAAGCTGTACACGCTCTGGTGTATAGAAAATGATAGCCACAGGATAGGCAAGTCCGAGTTTCACGCGCAATGTTATAAAAAAATGTTCCTATGCATGAATCAGATGTAACTGTGTATATGAGAATATAAAATATATGTTAGTATATATAGTGTCATCAGCTGAATATGAATTGTTGCCAAAGTCATTGTCGAGCGTTTATACTTTGATAAGTGTTGATAAGTTTTTAGATATTTCACGTTACCTTTTTTCAAAGTCATTTTAAAGTTTATAGTATGTTTCAAAATGCCAAAGCTTTTTTATTCCAAGGTCAGGTCACATCGATATTTCTGTTTTGTGTATTCAATTTTACATGCTTTTCCAAAGGTAAAATCCAATTTTAAAAATCTGAAGGTCGAGCTTCCGGTAGCGTGAGTTTCGGTCATTTAACAATATGTCAGGGCCTATTTTATGGAAATTTTCCAAGACCACACTTTAAGAAAAGTAGGCTGTATATGAAGCATGGAATTTCAAAATATCGACCGTTGCCGTAGAAAGCGTTTTTCTTTATTCGTCAAAAACAAATATATTCAACATAACACGATTACAAATATGTTTCTATTATAGCCTTTTCTTCATGGACTCCGACAGTAACAGTTGTTAAGGGTTTACATTGCTAGAAGCTCTAAAATTCATACTTATTTTGATATTCAAGGACACGCTGAGCCAAAAAATTTGTTTGAAAAGCAGGGGGCTCCAATGAGAGCAGGGGGCTATTAGATTTTTGAAAAATTAATAATGGGGGGAGTCCATTTATTAGGGGCCTTAGAGTAAACTGGTCAGTTTCAATTATTTCAGATTTCAGAAATTGACATCAGGTTTGCCTTTCATATTTTTTTCTGATCCTTCTCTCTTTGTAAGCATCATCTGCTTCCGGAAAAACTTCCGGGAATGCTACCGGGAACCATTCTTGCTCCTTTGCTTTCGATACGAATGTTCCCGTCGTTGCTTTTTGTTTATCCAAAACAAAGCAGCTGAAGTAGGGTCAAATTCTGATACGCTTGGCATGTTTTTAGACACATACAGATAACTGAACATCGTTTGCGGAGACAGGGAGGCACGGTCATTTGTTTTTATTTTGTTGTATGTGCTGATCAAACGTTGAACGTCTGCAGAATGTAGCTTAGCTGCTACGGTCCTTGCAAGGGCTATTCGAATTACCATGGACTCATCATAGCTAACATGAAAAACCCCATTCCACAATTTTGAATTTCCAAGACAACATTTTGGATTTCCAAGACCACAAAATGTGGGAAAAACCACACTAAAATAGGCCCTGCAATATGTTTATCATGCCTAACATGATCAGTGGCCTTTATTATGTTGATTAAAACTTTCTAAAAAATCAGGAATCTTGCTAACTGGCTAAGCAAAATTGATTAGTGGCGAGTCTCAGAAATCACAGGCTTCGTTTTACAAAACGTTGAAGTTGTCGAATCGTTTCAAATTCCCTTTGCTGTACATTTTGAAATCAGCATTTATTAATTATTGAATCTTTTATAATAAATAAAAGGAATCCTTCAAAAAGTCTTTAGTAAACGACACGTTACAGTTTTTCGTAATAGACGAAACTTTGCTCTGAGGAGTGATTTTAAAGATATTTTACTTTCGGTTCCTTCTAGCAAGTTTCTAAATTCTCATGAACGTCCTTTTCGTCAGTCTTTTTTCTAGCAACATCATTCAAAGCACTTAATCAGAGTTTTCCGAATAACTTTAAACAGAGATTTCCTGGGCAGTGGCAAATCTAGCCTTAAAAATCCTGGGGGGGCTAGCCGGGGGCAAGCTTTCTGTTATAGGGACCAACGCTAGCTAGTTATTACTTTGTGAACTACTAGAACGTAAAGCAGTGGCGTTGTGGCTCATAATTAGCTACAAGGCAATAATTTTAAGCGCCCTATAGATAAGCATGTCCTTGGTACAGCTCTATCAAGGCTGTTATAATAGTTTTATTAGTAGCGTAATGAGCAGCTGCGTTCCGCAGGAAAAATTACGAAAATAAATTGTTGCTAGGGGTACCTAAAGTTTCGAGACCCTTCGTTGTTTAACTAAAGGTAACTTTGGGCCGTTACTCCACTGAGTTCTAACTGTTTAACAATAATGCACAAACGTTAGAATTTCAACAGAAGAAATATACTTAAAAAATAAAAGGCTAATAGCTTTGTAAAGTTGATTGGAAAAATTTTTCCATATTTGTTATGTCTTCTATCCAATTTCCATGAGATCAAGCAAATCATTCTTTTACACAGGATTTAAAATTCGTAGGGTTTCGAAAAGCAATAATAGATTGCCAAGGTATACTGGGATGGTATTGGCTTGTCCCAAAACTGGGTTTCAGAGCAAAAAGGTATTTAAATGGTATGCGGAGAATCTTGGTTTGGGCTTACCCTGCGCACCCCACCCCAAGAAAGTGTATCTTCCTGATAACATATAATAAATATAGAATTTAAATGCTTGTCAAGAATGATTTTTTCTTGGTAACTACAGAAAGGAGCCAACATTTCATTAATATTATCCTCGGTTACAAGTCAAAATGCTCTTAGCTTGTCAATGCAATAAAGATCGCATTGAGCAAAATAGAGAGATCAACTCTAAGAAAGTCAAAAAGCGATTGAACAGCTTTGGAAGAAAACATTGATTTGTTGATAGAAACTTTTGAAAAAACTGGGGGGCAAACAAGGGGCAAAGAAAATTTCTGGGGGGCATGGATGGGGGAGCCCATCTTTCATACACAGTCTTGTTTTCGTGGAATATAAAAAAAAGATTAAGTAATTTCTAATGGAAATACTCAGACATATATGATGGACAAAATGGAGAGCGCAAGAGAGAGGGAAGAGGATCATCATTGCACAGCAGTCTTTTGATCGAAGCTGTTTTAGTTGTTTGTCGGTTACAGGATCGATGCAAAGAATTTCTTTGAAATGCGTTATGCAAAACAGAAGTGCTGGGATCCCTTTGCTTGCACTCAGAACAGCACCAAAAACTGTACAAGCACAGCATCCTTAGTTTCATCATCCGGATCTCGGTGGACCACCATTGTTTTATCCAGGATATTTCATGTGGCTACGTTTACTACCACAATGAGCTCACCCCAAGAATAGAGAGGCCTGTTACATAGGTTGCTCATGACTACAAAAGTTCTTCAACTAACAAGGTGCAGAAAATTGTTAAAAAGCGACATATTTCTATACACATACTTTTTAAAGGTGGGGTTAGTCTTTAGCAAAAAACCATTATCTGTCATAGGAGGTCACCTTTGATATTTTCATGTAGTGTATTGTTTTAATGAATTGGCTATTTTATCTTTCTTTTAGTTGCATTTATCATCACTTCATCAGCGCCCAAAATGTTCTCAACAGCACTTCTAAAGTTTAATTTCCCTTTTGCATCCGCGTTCTGTTTTGCATCTGTGTTTAGTTCGACTATCATTGATATTTCGGAATCCCTTTCTTTGGCATATTTTTACTATAATAAAGATGTTAATGTTAATGTATAATAAAGATATAAAGAGACTACAATTTCGTTAAGGTCTCATTAATTTGCTCGTAGAAATATCATTCCAGCTATAAATAAACTCATTTGCTAATTTATCAATCATAGTAAGAAACGCGATTAGGCTTTATCGTCTCTTCTTTAGATTATTCTGTGCAGATAATAATAAGCAGATTATCGTTTTCACGCAATTGTGATGTCGGTAACGCACTTTTGATTGCCAGAAAAATATTCGCAGTCTTTTCACCATAAACTAAAAATTCAATTTAATCTAGAGAACTGCAGAAACATTTTGAGGCGATGTTGGTGTTCCATCCATATTCCATATCTAAAAACCCTTTTATCGTCTGTATCTGCAAGTTTCCATACATGCAAGTTAAGATGAGAAATAAATATTCTAACTTCTAAAATTATCTTTTCATTTTTTAATTCAGACTGACCCGGTATTAGAAATTATTTTGAAAGCAAAAGAGGCAAAAACATTTTATCCCAGCTACATATAGCCGGTGTGGTATCATAATTAGCTGCATATTAACAAATTCCAAATGTTCTTTTGAGCCCTTAAAGGTCCTATAGACGGCGAAAGCCCTCCCATTTCTTCTAAGCTGCATGTTTCTTTTGTGCTTAAAATGATTTAGAAATCAATCTGGATTGGCCTTTGGCGTTTTTCCACTCAACATGGATAACGTGTCTATGGCTATTCCATCAAACCACGCCTACAAATTGTTGCTCTTCTGAATAATTTTAAGGAAAGATACTTAAAATGGAAGGCTCTTAGCACAATCGAAAAATACGCCCTCAGCATTGTTGCTATCAGATTGTATTTTAATGCAGATGGACTTGGGAAATTTTTATGTCAGTCAAGAGTTTGATAGCGCTTAATAAATTGACCGATGTTTGATCATCAGGGTGGAGACACGATTGATAATTTAATGATGAGATAAGATACAGAGAGATATCGCCTTATTTGCTTTATCGAAAAGGGCTAGCTGTCTTCTCGCGAATACTTCTAGTACAAAAGTGCTCTTGACAAAGAAATTCCTTAAATTTGTTCAACAGATGTGGAGTATGTACACATGCATTGCATATTCTTAAAGTCAGAGAGGGTGGTACTTGTGTCAGTTTGTTTGCTCGGGTCAAGAAGCTTGCGTGATACGCTGATAGTTTGAATAAATTGGTTGGGTTTATAATTATTTGCTAGTCTAAGTGTTACGTGAAAATGGCCAGGAGGTGACATCGCAATAGTGGCGGAGGTCCACTTCTTTCGATTCTCAAAATCATTCGAAGAATATAGTTGAAATTTGGGAAATGGCGTTGTAGGCTATGAAATCTGGAGATTTACCCTAGATTTAGACCATAACTTATTTCTAGGTATATTTAATTATGAAGCACTAGGAGCCATAATCGACAATGAGGTCATCTGATTATACAAAATAAAGCATTCAACCAACAAACAGAAAAAAGAATAAAAATTTTGTCTGAACCAGTCAAAGTGTCAGAATAGTTGTCAGACTTGCGGTATCCTATTTAATCACAAACGTCGCTTCAGATTACAACGTTGAAGAAAAAAGTTGTTTTTATTCACTCCAGGATCTAGGTTGTTTCGCTAGGAAACTAAGACTTTTGCAACTGTCAGATTTTGCTCTTTAAAATGAATCATGCAACAAGGGAGGTCAAATGGTGGCAGTGGTATTTTGCTGCATTTTCTTGACAAATCCTGAAATATTTAAATTTGAGGCGTAATCTCTCTTTCTGCTGCTCCTCTAAATTTCTCAAATTGTTGAAGGCCCGAAACATCTTTTTATACTTTATGATTATTCATTGACTTATTATACTATTAACTATACCCATTACATTTAATAAAATACAAGCGATAACTCGCAAATTTTTCATAATGTCAGTAGTGAATGTCAGTAGTAGTGTCTAAAATTCATTTTGTGACTTGAAAAACGGATGACTCAACTGCAGTTTAGCCATCGCTGTTCTTGTTCAACCTTTCCCTTTCACTGTCTCGGTATTTTCATAGCCAAGGAGCTCTACAACTTTGTTGTTTTCTAAATTCCCAAATCTAATAGGAACCTTTTAATAGGATCGCCTTTTCTTAGGTTAAGGCTGATCAACAATTACAATTTCAAACCAAGCTGCGATGATCTTATGCCAAATAATGTAGATTAACGGTTTGGAGTTGGAAAGCATGCTAAAAATTCACTAATTTCCAATCCAGTGATCAGTAGGGCCTGTGAATTGATTGTTCTTGTAGACCTTATAGACGACCTCGTCCATATATCTATATTTTAATCAAATGGTGAATTATAAGCCATTTATTAATATAATATTGATGACGTCAACTTGGTTTTTATACGTTTCGAAGAAGACATGCTAATAATGACCTTTTTTAATTTGTGTTCTGATAGTTTTCTTCAAAGAAGCACCTTGGTACTTGTGCTGCATATTTGAACTTACGTTGAAAATAGAAGAGAAACTTCAAAATGTCCCTTTTCATGCCAAAATATTGAGATGCGTGTGAAAAGAGGGAAAAGAGAATAAGACCAAACGTAAGAAGGGGTGAACCTTCAGTCTTATAAGGAACATGCTAATTTTTATGTACTAAAAACTTCTTAATGCTTTATAAAGAATTGAGTACTCAAAGTTTCTTGAAAGTTTCTCATGAGAGAAAACTATAATAGCCCAGAAAGTAAATCCAGGGGTTTAGCTTCACGACAACAGACTGACAATGGCAGTAATATAGCATAACTATCAATATATGTTAAGTTAAGTAGGCGAGTGAAGATTTTCCGATTATTCGAAGATAAATAAGTGCTTTTTTGTCTCAAAGTGTGACAATTTTCTGAGAATATCTAAAGAGTTTTTTAACAGTTGGAAAACTTTTTTCTATGTTTCTAGCCTAAAGTTACATGTACTTTTCTTTGCTGTTTCCATTTTGTGTTCGTGTGAAAGCAAAAGCAAAAACAATATTTTAGAATGAGCATCAAAATTTCCCATCTTTTTGCAACTTATTTGGCAAACACTTAATCTACCTGCTACAAAAGTTGCATTATCATCGTATCTACGGAACCGTACACGCTATAGTGACAGCTCAAAGCTGTCTTGTACTGAACACGAAAGCGAGTACAACTCTGTCTTTACAGCATCAAGCACTGTTCAACAGATCGGTAAATAGAAATATTTGTTTATCTTCAATATTCAGTCATAAAATGTATTATACAATGCAAGGCTTTTCAACGAAAAATATAATCTCCTTACTATACCAGTACCAATAGTGCTGACAAAACAGTAACTTAATATACAGATACACGAACTTAGCAAAAGTATCGCACAGGTTCCTGTATGTATCCATCATGGCTCAATTTTTGTGTTTTTGCAAATATTGCTATTGTTCAGAAAGAGACATAAATCAAGAATTTTTTGCATTTGCTTTTTTCAGTATCAAATTTTGATAAATTTTCCACCATTTTCCAACTAAAGGGTCATTTTACATATTTTGTGATTTACTGTGGACGTTTGAATTTGGTTAGCTACAAAACTTTTGCTGCAGTGCCGCCGTTTCTGTCTCAGCCTGTGCGATACTTTTGCTCACTAAGTGCATATATATGATAGGCCAAAGAATAATTTACGTGTTTATATTCATGGGATAATATGCATTAGGAATTTACCAGTAAAGCAGACAATTCCTTCCGCAAAAGGGTTTTTGAAAGTATTATAAACTTTAGGTTGAGTCCGAAAATATGGTGCTTGAATTGCTATTAGCCGCGTGGACATTTTCAAAGAGATAAAAATTAATAGTTTAACTTGCGTTTTGGAGGGGGTTCAAAATGTTTTGATCCCTTAAGAATGGGTCGTTATCTGTACCATTTTTTTACCCCCAACCCAGTACATAGTGCGTCAGCATTGACAAATTTAGCTCTCATATCTAGATGTGTACTTACCTTCTGCAAGCTTTTGCACGTAGTTCTTCGCAGGCCAGTTGTGATAATGAACAAGACAACTAAAACTGCAACTTTGAAGGCCATTTCTTCTATCCTCAAGAACTGTAATAAAGATACTTCTTATCAAAAAAGCCCACATTTATACTACTTCTAACTATAATTCAAAATAAGTTCGCTTTAAAGCTTTGTTCTTATTTTTCGTGCATAATTCATTGCTATTTATAAAGACTTTATATCCTGGCGCTTGTCAGAAAGTCAGAGTCAAAGAAACTGTTCAAGCCAAAAGGCCTACACGTTAATATCCTTTTTCAGTAAACAATGAAGCAGATAGTGGCATGAGTGTGGTAGCTGTGAGTCTTCTGTCTGCAATGGTAATTCTTTTGGATTCTGTGTAAAGCAGAGGCCAAACTTACAGCAATATTTCGTTTTTAGTTCATTTTGGCATTTAGCATAGGCGTTATTCAAATTTAGTTATGACTTTTGCTCCTCGGCGTTACCTATTTTTCTATTTAAAATGCTATAAACCTGCGAATACTGTGATAAAGATTTTACTTCTGATAGTTGATTTGTTTTAGAATCCAGTTGACTAAGTCAACACGAGTAGTGGGCATTGGTGGCCAATGTGGAGTCTTTTTATAAATTTCTCTTCTATTTAACCGTTAATAAAGTAGTGTCTGTAGTCTGTCACAAAATGAAGGATAGATCTAGCTTTAGGTCGTTCGTATTATCAGAAACAACGGAATTCCTGGTGATCTGATAAAATAAAACCACTGTTACAGTTCTAGACAATTGTTTCACAAATTTTTAAAAACCATTACATTGAAAAACCCTTTTGGGAAATCTTTCTGAGCGTTTAAAATGACATCCCATTATAGATTATAACTTGTTGTCAATTAAAAGTTAATACATGTTCCCAACTTGATACTGATATAGTAATTCTATAACCGAAAAGCTAGCCAGAAATGCATCACAGACATATAAACTATTTCGATCATCTTTAGTAATGCTGAGGCTGGAATAATTTTATCAGTGGCGAGAGACTTGGTCATTTGAACAAGCATATCTTCTCCCTGTCAGGAATTCGACTTACCTTCCATTAACGAAATGATTCAACTTTAACACCTTGAAAGGGCTTTCAGTCGTTTTTATAAGAGTTTCTCGTTCTCAAAGGGTTATACGTTGTTGCATACCTGATTGGGATAAAACCGAACGAGAAAAGCCCGTGAGCAGCGAGTCTCTGTCTCAGTGGCAAGAGTATAAGTGTAAAAATTTCCAGCAATATGGCAGCAGTTATAAACGTGATGCAGTAAGTGAGAAAAACCACAATTTTTGCCACAACACAGAGTGTGTGCTTCTGCAGTTTTGCAGCATGTTTTTTGCCACACTATCCCCCTATTGCATTTGGGCGTGGTACGATTTTCTTATTACCTGAAGTCATGAGTTTGAAGCCATCGAAAAGGCTCACAGAGACATAGCTAGGTTTGCTTACAATAGCCTAAAGAAACTGTACATGAAAGAACATTATTCATGTCACTTAGAAAAATTGATCTACAAAACTAAGAACCAAAGACTAATGATAAAATAGGAGATCAATTTTTTGAAAATATTTTAAAGTCCAGGTCTTTAGAAAAAAACAAATAAAAATAACAGGTTTACAAAGATTGAAATGTTTGTTATCAGCATGATTCTTTTATTGAAATACTTGAATTCCTCTGTCAGATCTGAATGACAGCCTAACTTCATTGGATTATGAGATTAATAAAGATTAATGAACGGCTTTACACCCATTTATTCTAAACGCCACCTATATTGGCTTTGATACAGCCATAAGAAAGCTGACAGTGCAACAAACATGGCCGTACATAGAGGGTATTAGCGTCTACCCCTCGGAATATACCGAAGGAATTTGTCCATTCATGACATCGATACATCGATAAACAATAATAGTAAAATAACGATGAATGTAAGTAAATTGTACCAGGAAAAAAATTGATTAAATTAATAACGACTTGTATTCTTATGTACACATCATGAAACATTTTTACTTATTCGTCAAGAGAATTCATCGTTATTATAGCATTATATTGTACCGCAATAGCGTTAGCTTTGGCGATTTCATCATGACCAATGCTCAGGGTTTATAAGAAATTTTGCACTTAATTGTATATTTTTATGTGGAGTGATCTATCGAACTTTTTTATAAGCAATTCGTGACACCGATACACTAAAACAAATTAGATTCTCGACGTAATTCCTCAGTCCCTGAACGATGATTATGAAGAAATCTTGTAGCGGTTTGTTGAAATCTTCATGAATTATTCATTTATGTATCTCTGAGGCTGTCTTGTTTAAAATAGAAGTGTGATTTTTATAAAAGGTAGATGGAACACAGTAGTATCTCTTGGAGTGGTTTTTGAACTTGCAAAGCATTAAGTGACATTGGCAAGGAAACTATTCTGTCTCTTCCAAATTTTCTAAACCCAGATATCAGGTTTGTGAACCTAAGATTTCAGGATCTGAGAATGACAGTGCAAGTCTTTCTTTCATAATTGACTTCTTCGTCAGTTGTGACGTATCTTTTTCTATTCTAGCATACCTGAAATTAATCTCTCACACCTGTTTCCTAATCTATGTAGCATGGTTATGTTCTTGTGTGCATGACAGGGGACCAAAAAGAGTATCCAGGTTTAATAGACGCTCACCTTTTTGCTTGCTTCAACTATTTGGCTTTTTACAGCTAAAACGATGCTGTTCTTCTCAGAGTTCTCTCCACCTGGCGTAAATATCAAATTTTGATTACTTGATCAGACAAAGATGCGCTGCATACAATTTACAAGAGCGAGTGTTCCTTCAGAACTATTCGGGACAGTATTATACTGTGAAGTTATCACGGATCAATAGCTTTGATGTAAAGCCTCTTTGTGTAACCAGTGCAGTCATTTGAAACCTATTAAACTGCCGCACTCTTGGTTTGGTGGAATGACCTTCACTTATTCCTTTCATGACATTTCTTATCTGTCCCTGCGGAGGTGGATTCCATCTTAAGATTATTCTCACTATACTGATACAGTTGACCATAGACGTTGACAGGGCGTCTCAAAAAACTCACCCAAACGATTACGGCCACTGGCATGCAGTTGGTCTTGCTTTTCTTTATTTATCACCTAGAAAAAAATTTCACTTGTTGAATTGGCACTGTTCACTTCTTCTGAGAAATCTATACTTGCAAAGCCGGTAAAATTTGCATCCAGTTATTAGAGTGAAACCGTTGGAAAGTCTTTTGTAGGTGTATTAAAGATTGAGATGAAAAAAATGCAACGATTCTGCAATACTGGTATTTTACGTTCATATCTTCTGACTTTTGATATTAGTAAAGATTTTCAGCTAGAAATAGAAGAGATGAGAAGAAACTCAGAAAATTCACGATTCTTGCCCCACTGTAAAAAACTCAATTTCGGCCACTGTATAGATTATCAAAAGGCGTTATCGTTCTCTGTTTAGCAACCATTAAATATATCACCATGATCACTGTGGGTATCAGAAGATACATATCGCTGTCTACATCAGATTCGATTGCTCCACCTTTGAACCGTATCTTTTCGTTTGCGATAAAGGCGGGCTCTTTTCAAAATCAAACAAAATGTGGTTCATTGACTCTTCTTTTAATCCGGTGGAGTCAAGCATTTGAAATGGTTTATAAATGAGTTCAGAGACATTCTTAACACTGTCTACGACGAAACATGCAAAAGCGGTTGCGAACTGGAAGCAGTTTTGGACACAAACGCCCTCGAAGTCAGTAACGGCGAAGAAGTACGATGGGATTTCAATGGGACAATTAAAGATACTGTCTTTGGGATGGGATGCAAAAACCCCGAATCCCGGAGATTGGTTTAAGTTGTCTTAGTGACATAGTATACTGATCATTGCTTTCTTTGTTCCATGGTCTATTGTGTCGTGATATCTTGTGGGATTATTATAACGGAACTTATCAAACGTCGAGAGAACGAACAGATAAGAGCGCATAACGGTCCTTTTCTTTCCATTCTTGAATATCTTCTCATCCGTTCAAAAGAGCAGCCCTTACAAAGACGTTCTAATAATTATGCAATTATTATTGCCGCTATGGCTGGCGCTCATTAGAACATCTCTATAAAAAGCAACCGTGATAATAGTACCAATAAACTCTGTATGATAGAGAGCGGAAATGCCTGTGAGGAAAGCCAATTGCCAGCCTGTGCTTGGTTGCCAAATCTTATTGGTCAGGAAAGGGATTCTGTACTGATTTCAGTCTTATACTTTACAGCAATGAACGACCTAGACACCGTAAAATATCGTAAAATATATCACGGATATTGTGTGCAATGCGATTAGCCAATCGTTGGAATGTTGCCGGGGCATTTATTTCTCCAGGCTACATCATCAAAGTGATTAAAAATTGTTCTAAAGTGGCTATCTGACTCCAGGTTACATCATCAAAATGATTACAAATGTTAACAATTGATTTCCAGTATTTCAGGAAAACGTCTGTGTTATCAACTGACTCCCAGTACTCAGCAAAATGTCTATTTTGTCAGCTGAATACCAGTATTTCAGAAATATTTCTACATCATAAACTGTTTACCATAAATTCTTCATACTTAACCTCCGTTTTCAACTGATTACCAGTATTTCAATGGAACTGAATTCTTTTTTCAGTTGATAATTCAATGAGAAATATCTACCTAAATTTTGCCAACTCGAAATATCTCAACTTTTATCATGATTTTAAATTATTACAAGCGTGCAAAATCTTTTGATGATAATTATGCTCAATTTGTCACTTTTTTCAAAGCTTTTTTAACTTTGCAAATTTTGTCATTATGGAAACTTTGAAGCACATCTATCTTCTTGTCGTGCAACAAGCTCTATAAACAGCATAAAGATTGGCGATTAACTACAAATGTCACTACTGAAGCAATGACCGTTTTGAAAGAATAGACCATTTGCTGACAAGATTCGGTTTTTCGGTTTTTAGAGCTGCACCCTCTCAATTGTCCCACTGTATGAAGTAAGAAGTAGGCCCTAATGTAAGAAGCAGTTGAAAGAGAACAAAAACCAATTTAACAGTTTAATGAAGAGCAAGCATAATAAGGTTTAGGCATAACTGCGTGGCCTAGTCGCCATTATCATAATTTATCAACAACAGGAATAGAACAACGGCAACAATAAAGATGTTGCTATGACGTTGCAGCTTAATTACAAAACTTGAGAAATGCTCAGCTGGTTTCTAAAAGAATAAGAGTTTCATATTTCGTACCGGAAAATCTACATTGAGAAAAGTTCGTCCCATGTCAGAAACTCATTTTCGTACCGGAAAATCTACATTGAGAAAAGTACGTCCCATGTCAGAAACTCATATTCGTACCGGAAAACCTACATTGAGAAAAGTACGTTTCCTGTCAGAACCTCATATCCGTCCCGGAAAATCTACATTGAGAAAAGTACGTTTCCTGTCAGAAGTTCATATTCGTCCCGAAAAATCTACATTGAAAAAAGTACGTTCCCTATCAGAAACTCATATTCGTCCCGGAAAATCTACATTGAGAAAAGTACGTCCCATGTCAGAAACTCATATTCGTACCGGAAAATCTACATTGAAAAAAGTACGTTTCCTGTCAGAAGTTCATATTCGTACCGGAAAAGCTACATTGAAAAAAGTACGTTCCCTATCAGAAACTCATTTTCGTACCGGAAAATCTACATTGAGAAAAGTACGTCCCATGTCAGAAACTCATATTCGTACCGGAAAACCTACATTGAGAAAAGTACGTTTCCTGTCAGAAGTTCATATTCGTCCCGAAAAATCTACATTGAAAAAAGTACGTTCCCTATCAGAAACTCATATTCGTCCCGGAAAATCTACATTGAGAAAAGTACGTCCCATGTCAGAAACTCATATTCGTACCGGAAAATCTACATTGAAAAAAGTACGTTTCCTGTCAGAAGTTCATATTCGTACCGGAAAAGCTACATTGAAAAAAGTACGTTCCCTATCAGAAACTCATTTTCGTACCGGAAAATCTACATTGAGAAAAGTACGTCCCATGTCAGAAACTCATATTCGTACCGGAAAACCTACATTGAGAAAAGTACGTTTCCTGTCAGAAGTTCATATTCGTCCCGAAAAATCTACATTGAAAAAAGTACGTTCCCTATCAGAAACTCATATTCGTCCCGGAAAATCTACATTGAAAAAAGTACGTTTCCTGTCAGAAGTTCATATTCGTACCGGAAAAGCTACATTGAAAAATGTACGTTTCCTGTCAGAACCTCATATCTGCCCGGAAAATCTACATTGAGAAAAGTACGTTCCCTATCAGAAACTCATATTCGTCCCGGAAAATCTACATTGAAAAATGTACGTTTCCTGTCAGAACCTCATATCCGTCCCGGAAAATCTACATTGAGAAAAGTACGTTCCCTATCAGAAACTCATATTCGTCCCGGAAAATCTACATTGAAAAATGTACGTTTCCTGTCAGAACCTCATATCCGTCCCGGAAAATCTACATTGAGAAAAGTACGTTCCCTATCAGAAACTCATATTCGTCCCGGAAAATCTACATTGAAAAATGTACGTTTCCTGTCAGAACCTCATATCCGTCCCGGAAAATCTACATTGAAAAATATACGTTTCCTGTCAGAAGTTCATATTCGTACCGGAAAATCTACATTGAAAAAGGTAAGTTTCCTGCCAGAAGTTCATATTCGTACCGGAAAAGCTACATTGAAAAAAGTACGTTTCCTGTCAGAAACTCATATTCGTACCGGAAAATCTACATTGAAAAAAGTACGTTCCCTGTCAGAACTTCATATTCGTACCGGAAAATCTACATCGAAAAAGGTAAGTTTCCTGTCAGAAACTCATATTCGTACCAGAAAATCTACATTGAAAAAAGTACGTTTCCTGTCAGAAGTTCATATTCGTACCGCAAAATCTACATTGAAAAGGTAAGTTTCCTGCCAGAAGTTCATTTTCGTACCGCAAAATCTACATTGAGAAAAGTACGTTTCCTGTCAGAAACTCATATTCGTACCGGAAAATCTCGTTGAAAAAGGTAAGTTTCCTGTCAGAAGTTCATATTCGTACCGGAAAATCTACATTGAAAAAAGTACGTTTCCTGTCAGAAGTTCATATTCGTACCGGAAAAGCTACATTGAAAAATGTACGTTTCCTGTCAGAACCTCATATCCGTCCCGGAAAATCTACATTGAGAAAAGTACGTTTCCTGTCAGAACCTCATATCCGTCCCGGAAAATCTACATTGAAAAATATACGTTTCCTGTCAGAAGTTCATATTCGTACCGGAAAATCTACATTGAGAAAAGTACGTTCCCTATCAGAAACTCATATTCGTCCCGGAAAATCTACATTGAAAAAAGTACGTTTCCTGTCAGAAGTTCATATTCGTACCGGAAGATATACATTGAAAAAAGTACGTTTCCTGTCAGAAGTTCATATTTGTACCGGAAAATCTACATTGAAAAAAGTACGTTTCCTGTCAGAAGTTCATATTCGTACCGGAAAATCTACATTGAAAAATGTACGTTTCCTGTCAGAACCTTATATCCGTCCCGGAAAATCTACATTGAAAAATATACGTTTCCTGTCAGAAGTTCATATTCGTACCGGAAAATCTACATTGAGAAAAGTACGTTCCCTATCAGAAACTCATATTCGTCCCGGAAAATCTACATTGAAAAATGTACGTTTCCTGTCAGAACCTCATATCCGTCCCGGAAAATCTACATTGAAAAATTTATGTTTCCTGTCAGAAGTTCATATTCGTACCGGAAAATCTACATTGAGAAAAGTACGTTCCCTATCAGAAACTCATATTCGTCCGGGAAAATCTACATTGAAAAATGTACGATTCCTGTCAGAACCTCATATCCGTCCCGGAAAATCTACATTGAAAAATATACGCTTCCTGTCAGAA